AACAACCAAACGGACGACCGAACAGGCTGCATGGGGCGACCATGTCAGCAGGGGGTTAGTGAGAGCCAACCAAACGACTGAACAGCAGGCTGCGTGGGGCGACCAGGCCAGCAGGGGGGTTAGTGAGGGCCGACCAAATGACTGAGCAGCAGACTACGTGAGGTGACCAGGTCGGCAGGGGGGCAGTGAGAGGCAACCAAACCACTGAACAGCAGGCTGCATGGGACGACCAGGCCAGCGGGGGGGGGGGGGCAGTTGGGGGTGACCACGCTGGCAAGGGTGAACAGTGAGGGGCGACCAGGCCGGCAGAGGGGGGCAGTGAGGGGCAATCAGGCAGGCAGACAGGTGAGCAGTTAGGAGCCAGTGGTCCCAGATTGTGAGAGGGATGTCCAACTGCCGGTTTAGGCTTCTGATCCCTGGCATCAGGCCTAAACCGGCAGTCGGACATCCCCTGAGGGGTCCCGGATTGGAGAGGGTGCAGGCTGGGCTGAGGGGACCCCCCCCCCCCGCACGAATTTCGTGTACCGGGCCTCTAGTTGGTGCATAAAAAGGCTATAGATTTCTGGGTGTTAATTTTGTATCCTGCTACATTGCCAAATTCATTTATTAAGTCTAGTAGTTTTTTGATGGAGTCTTTGGGGTTTTCTATGTATAGTATTGTGTCATCTGCAAACAAGGAGAGCTTTACTTCTTTTCCAGTTTGAATGCCTTTTATTTCTTCTTGTCTGGTTGCTATGGCTAGCACTTCCAGTTCTATATCGAACAGGAGTGGTGAAACTGGGCATCCCTGTCTTGTTCCCATTCTTAGGGGAAATGAATTTAGTTTTTGCCCATTGAGTATGATGTTGGCTGTAGGTTTGTCATATAAGGCTTTTATTATGTTGAGGTATGGGCTTTTATCAAGAAAGGGTGTTGGATTTTGTCCAATGCTTTTTCTGCATCAATTGATATGATTATGTGATTTTTGTCTCTCAGTTTGCTTATGTGATGTATCACATTTTTGATTTGCAGATATTGTACCATCCTTGCATCCCTGGAATAAATCCCAGTTGGTCATGGTGTATGATCTTTCTAATGTAATGCTGAATCCGATCTGCTAGAATTTTGTTGAGGATTTTAGCATCTATGTTCGTCAAGGATATTGGTCTGTAGTTCTCTTTTTTTGTGGTATCTTTATCTAGTTTTGGAATTAGGATAATGCTGGCTTCATAGAAAGAGCTTGGAAGTGTGTCTTCCTCTTGAATTTTTTGGAATGGTGTGAGGAGGATAGGTTTTAGTTCTTCTTTGAATGCTTGGCGGAACTCCCCTGTAAAGCCATCCGGACCAGAGCTTTTGTTTGCTGGAAGATTTTTGATCACTGTTTCAATTTCTTCGGTAGTTATCGACCTATTCAGGTTTTTTTATTCTTCTTGATTGAGTTTTGGGAGCTTGTATTTTTCTAAGAATATGTCCATTTCGTCTGACTATTCACAACCATTCTCTTATTCTGGGCTATACTGCTAGGCTCTTTATTCAATATGAATAAAACTAAAACTAAAAAATAAATAAGACTAAAAAAAATGCTATTTAAACATGATATTATTTAAAATCTTTTAAGGACCATGTTGTGGTAATAGGTGAAAAAGAAAATGACCCATCAATTTGCTATTCTATCAGGCTCCTTTTCCTTATATGTCCATTTTGTATTCTTTGTCTAGAATGCCGTATTATCTTTATGTGATTGTAATCAACAATGCTTTTGTATACCAAATTTTTAGCAGCAGCCCTCATATGTTAATTTATATTTTATCCTTCAGGGCAGGGGTATATGGCCCTTGAAATCATTTGGTTTGGCCCTGCCAAGGCATTAGGGGTGAGTTAATTAAATGTTTGACCAAATATAGCAGGCTAATTTTTAAGTTGATAATTTTGTATGATTCAGGAATGACGTTATAAATATCCAAATGGCCCTTGGCAGAAAAAGGTTCCCCACCCCTGCTTTAACTCATGATTACTCTTAGCAAATGAAATGTTTAAATGTGTTTCATTCCTACCTTGTTTTGGTAGCTAATATTCAAGAGAGTCTTTCGAGTTGGTTTAAGGAGAATACTGTGATATTAATCCTTCTTGAGCTTCATCTAGTCAATAGTAGGGTATATTTAATGCTCTTAATTTTTACTTAGACACAAAGCTGGGATCTTGTTGTCTATAAGAGAGGAAAACAGTTAACTAGTGTCCTAATTATGCTTTTTTCATCTGCTGTTGACCATTTGTTTTTGGTTTCATCTAAAATTTTAATCTTCATTAGAATTGTTGGATCTGACTAGAACGTAATGTTCTATTTCCTTAGTTTGCTTTTGAATATTGACTTTGATAGAGATATAAAAATTTGCCCAAAATAACAAATAAGCTTCGTAATAGAGCTCTGCTGTTTCATTTTGATACTTTTCTAACTATAACATCTGATTTACATAAGCTCCTGGTTGATCTCTCTTGAAATTCATAGTTGCTGTTTTTTTCTTTTTCTTTTTATAAGTTGCCTGGAAATCCTGTGGTATTGCTTTTATAAATGTTTCACAAATTTTTCTTACTTTCTCCTTTTATTTAGACATTTATATTTACTAATAGATGGGCTGTTTTTGTGTGTTCTATTTCCAGGTTTTTATTTTAAACAATTTAAAAATCAATTTGATTAAAATATATATTTGTATAAAATTTGGTTCCCAATCATATACACCACGTTTTAAAGTCTTTAGGACCAGGATTTCAGATTATGGTAAAAAATAAGTTTCTCATTATCATCATATCTTGAAAATTCAGAAAAATATATTTAACCCTAGCCAGGTAGTTCAGTTGTTTGGAGCATTGTCCTGTATACCAAAAAGTTGTGGATTCGATCCTTGGTCGGGGCATGTACAGGAAGCAACTGATCAATGTTTGTCTCACACATCGATGTTTCTCTCCCCCCCTCCCTTTCCTCGCTCTCTAAAATTAATCAGTAAAAACATATCCTTGTTTGAAGATTTAAAAAATAAATTAAATTTTTTTTTAATATATTTTTAATTATATGTAGCTGTTATATGTCCTATCTTTTACATGTTTATCTCATATTTTCATTAGATTTTCAGCTTTTTTACCTACTAATATATTTGTTGTGATAAAAAAGATTTGATGTGATAAAATGCTTCTCTGAAGAATTACTTCAGAGAAAAGTAATTTTTATTTTCTCAGTTTTCTTCTGCCTTTTCCCTTCATTATTTTTTAAATAAAGATTGAAGAGATTATTGACAAATACAGCAGTTGGGCTCTGCTGTTTTTATTTTGGGTAAATATGAAATAGGGAATTTTTATAACAAGTTAATTTATTTTACTTTATATTTCCTTTAAGACCTATGTAGCTCAGACTTTGATATAGAGCATATGTTTATTTTTTATTTAACTTTTTATCATGGAAATTTTCAAGAGTACACAAATCAGAATCCTCTCTACAATGCATCTGATTAGTATTTCTCTTAAGTGTCTTTTAATTTACAATAGTTCCCACTCTTTAAACTCCATGCTGTATACGTATTGAAGAAACTGGGTTATTCTAAATTTGACTGGCTTTATACTTAAGATGTGATTTCACTTGATTGATGGCTTCATTAGATTTGGGTTTGATTTTTCTTTTTGTATCTCATTAAGATGCATATTTCTGCTTAGCTTACTTTTTTTTTTAATCCTCACCCAAGGACATTTTTCCATTGATTTTTAGAGAGTGGAAGAGAGAGGGAAAGACAAAGAAACATTGATGTGAGAGAAACACATAGATTGGTTGCCTCCTGTGTGAGCCCTGACCAGGGCCCGGCCAGGGAGGAGCCTGCAAACGAGGTACATGCCCTTGACCAGAATTGAACCTTGGACCCTTTGGTCCCCAGGCTGATGCTCTATCCACTGTAAATGGGGTCTTTTACCTATTTTTACTGCATTTTTTCCATTACTGATTTCACTAGTTATTATTGTATGTATGAGGGCTTAATTTCTGTGTGTATCTATATCCTGTTTTAGTATATTTTCTTACTGTTTGGAATAGTTTTTCCATTGATTCTTTTGGGTTTTTCAATTAAATATATTATTTGAAAATTGAGGTATAGTTCCTTCCACATACACCCATACCCAGTTGTTATGCCTCTAGGCTAATTGCATTGGCAAGTACCTATATAATGTTATACAGTGTGGAGTCATTTTTCCTGACTTTAGTGGGAAAGTGTTTAGTGTTTCCTCACTAAAGTGCTGGCTTTTTTTTTTTTTAAATAGCTCTATGTATGAGAGGTAGAATTTACATATTGCAACATTTACCCATTGCTATTGTATAATTCAGTGATTAATTTTTTATTTTTTTTAGTAAATTTATATAGTGGAGCAACCATCACTATGATGCAGTTATAGAACATTTCTATTCCAAAAAGTTCCCTTTTTCCCTTTTATAGTGACTTATAATGTTGGCAGGTGTATGAGAATATATTTATGTGGGTGTACGTATATGCAAATACGTATATCCTATGCCTGTATAAATACATTTATATCATTTAAAGAATTACTATTGCCCTAACTGGTTTGGTTCAGTGGATAGAGCATCAGCCTGCGGACTGAAGGGTCCCAGGTTCGATTCCAGTCAAGGGCATGTATCTTGGTTGCGGGCACATCCCCGGTAGGGGGTGTGCAGGACAGCTGATCGATGTTTCTCTCTCATCGATGTTTCTAACTCTCTATTCCCTCTCCCTTCTTCTCGGTAAAAAGTCAATAAAATATTAAAAAAAAAGAATTACTATTAATTCCTATTTTATTTTTAATTCAGATGAATAATGTTTAAAAGTTTTCTTTTGATGTACATTGTTAAATCAGCAGGCCAAGTTGTAGTCTGACATGGTATAGTGAAGAACTCTTTCTAATAAAACATTACAATATAAAGTTTTTCTAGGAGAAAAGGAAGCTAGCATTTCATATTCTGAAACATTTCTGTCCCGTGTTGTTTGTTAAAGAGGATGGCATTCCCTGTGGATGTGCTGGATAATTGCAGTCATGAGGAACTGGAAAATTCTGCTGAAGATTATATGTCAGACCTAAGGTGTGGAGACCCTGAAAATCCTGAGTGTTTTCCTCTTCTCAATGTAACGGTAAGGTGTTCTGCGGTGCTTCTTATGAGTCTTTTCAGTTGAGTTCATACATGGAATTAATATCCTTTTATTTTTTGTCATTTTAAAGTGTTAAGTAAATTTTTAAAATTTGTATGAGAAGACATCAGTAAAATGCATAAATAATGATTGGTTAGTATAGTAACATGATCAGGTTTTAAAAAGAAACTCTACAGGTTGTTGTTTAATATTTGTGTTGTGCCTTTAAAATTAAGTAGTTTATCAGTTTTTCTAAGACTGGTTTCCAAATTTGAGCTAACTCAAATTTTCTTTAGATTTATAGTTTGTGATATAAGAATTTTTTAAAATAAAAATATCAGCAAACCAGTAAATTATACATTTTTGTGTCACAAACCTCCCCTTTTCTAAAATATTAAAATAAAACTTTCAAATTGGCAAGCTGTGTATGTTGTTAGAATTCCACTGTGAACTTGATGGTAGGCAAATTCTCTAACATCTAGGCCTCAGATTTTTCTTCTGGAAAATTATGTTGATTTAAAGGATTCTTTAAGTCTCCTGTAGTACCAATATTTTATAATTCTCTGAATTGTAATATTTTCTATAAATGAGGAATTAGCATTGGATTAATGAAGGCAGAAAAAATTTAAAGTATTGTATGTCTCTCTAAAAAAATTACCTATCTGGTGTCTTTTACTAGAAAATAGAATCCCATCCCCTCCAATAGTCTAAATAACAGATGTAAACTATAGTTGTCTTTTAGTGACTTTATGGACCATATCTTTCTTTTGTTTTTATTTAGATTTTTGGCTAGAACACAGTAATATTTATTGAAATAAACTTTCATTTCCTGCCCCCCCCAACATAATAAACTTCTCACAAAAGGGAATTCTGATTTTCTTTTTTCTTTTTTTTAATATATTTTTATTGTTTTAGGGAGGAAGGGAGAAGGAGAGAGAGATAGAAACATCAATGAGAGAAAATCATTGATTGGCTGCCTCCTGCTTGCCCCCTACTGGGGATCGAGCCTGTAACCTAGTCATGTGCCCTTGACTGGGTTCGAACCCGGGATCCTTCAGTCCGTAGGCTGATGCTCTATCCACTGAGCCAAACCAGCTAGGCCAGTGATGGCGAACCTTTTGAGCTCGGCGTGTTAGCATTTTGAAAAACCCTAACTTAATTCTGGTGCCGTGTCACATATAGAAATTTTTTGATATTTGCAACCATAGTAAAACAAAGACTTACATTTTTGATATTTATTTTATATATTTAAATGCCATTTAACCAAAAAAAAATCAGCCAAAAAAATGAGTTCGCATGTCACCTCTGACCCGCGTGTTACAGGTTCGCCATCACTGAGCTAGGGCTACTTTTTTTTTTTGAGACTAGAACTATTGTATGTGAAATGAAGGTATATAGTTAACATTAACGTAGAAAGAGTTAATATTTTGGTAGAATCATGGTGTTTTTGTGCGATATTTTCTTCACAGACTCTTCACTAATGTTTAATCAATTGTCATTTCAGATTCCTATTAGCCTGTCAAATGTAGGCTTTGTACCTCTTTATGGTGGAGATCAGACCCAGAAAATTCTTGCTCTTTTTTCACCCGAGGACTCACTCACAGGTCTCTTTTTTGCTTAATCTTTAAAATTGAGGAGTTTTTCTCCAAACAATTAGAAATTTATTAAAAGGTAGTTACATGAAGGAATTGAAAAAAAGAAAGAAAACGTGTTTCAAACTTAAATTTAGGAAAATATAATTCTTAATTGCTTACTATTAAATGTTTAATGAGTGAAATAAAAATAGTGTAAATGGGGCCATATTGTATTATAAAAGTATGGGTATACCTAAGGGTATCTATATAATAACCTTACCAAATAGTAATGTTATACACTGTAAGACTTAAAACTTAAATGTTAATCATTTATTCTATTTTAGCTGTGGCACTTTACCTGGCTGATCAGTGGTGGGCTGTTGATGATATTGTAAAAACATCTGTCCCTTCTAGAGAGGGGCTTAAGCAGGTAATACGATCTTGTAATTTTAAAAGTTTTTTTCTGAGGCCACTTCACAGTTATGTTTCCTATAAACAGTGATAGTTTTTGAAGTTATTGAGCTCTTCTCCATTTTATTGTAACCAGGTTTTATTAAACCCTTAGAGTTTCATTGTGCTAAAGGTATGTGAGAATTGGGTGAGGAAGATTGAATGCTTATGGGTTAGTTGAACTGTAGTGACTACCCATATCGACTTCAGCTTCTGATTTCTTGTTAGGTAGAGATAAAGCTAGTTCTTCTCTGTGTGAGGTTGCTTAGGTTCTCTGTCTCTAGAAGACACTGACCAGGAAGGAAACTTGCTTATCAATAGGGTCATTTTGGGAGGTTCTCAGCAGCATACCGCAAAACTTGGTTTTGTTTTTTTTCTGTCCTAATCACTGAGTTTCATAAAAATACTTAGAGGAAGACATAGATGGCATGCATGTCCATTCAGCATGCCACAGTGCTGAATGGGAGAACCAATCTGTGAAAGGCAGAATTAAGAAAAAAGGGGAAGATCTAACATGATGAAAATAAATAGGGATAAATGTAGAGTAGTACCCATAGGTTCAAAAAATTAACTGCACCATGTATACCATGAGGCCCAAACTGAAACAGCAGCACATAGGAAAAAGAGTGGGTGTTAATTAGAAGCAAATGAAGGTAGGCAAGAAAGCTAATTTAAAAACCTTAAGTTTATGCAGAAAAGCCCCACTGTCCTAGCAATATCTTTAATGTTTATATCTGTAGTATCTGCATGCCCATCATGAAGACAGGTATCAGGTGACTGGAGCAATTTCAAGGAGGAGGACAGGAATGGCAAAAGCACCCAAAGTTGCATTCGTCTTTTCCTTCAATTGTTTAGAGTTGGTATGGAATGTAGGGGAATCTTACGGTTGTCTTCAGATATTTGTAGGCTGTGTGGCTCCAGAATACCTTTGGGAAATAAATTTTAGCTCAGTCTAAGGAAGAATTTTATGCTGATCAGAGCTGTTCAAGCTAGTAAAAGATTGCCTTAAAGGCCTGTGAAATCATAGGGTCTGGCCCTGCCAAGGCATTGGGAGTGAGTTAATTAAATGTTTGACCAAATATAGCAGGCTGATTTTTAAGTTGATAATTTTGTATGGCCCTCGAATGATGTTACAAATATCAAATGGCCTGTGGCCGAAAAAAGGTTCCCTACTTTGCAAGCTAACAAGCTTTGTCATGTCATGTGTTTGGTATTGGAGATCTCCCACTAGAGATGTTTTTGAGAGTAGAGTGTATGTTAATGTTTTCTCTCTCCACTTAATTAAAAGGTACTCTTGTTTTCTTTAAGGAGTCTTTATGGATATAATTCTTGTTTTTAGCAGTGAAAGGTGTCTGTTGGGAAAACCCCACTGTTTGATGCCAGAAAGTTGGTAAGGGGGGTCCTGGTGACCATGTAGCCCTGCCTATAAGAAGTGAGGCTCAGTTTCCATTCTGTGGTTACCCCAAGTATGTTTTCACTAGACTTCCCTGGTGCCACTATCATCATCCCTCATCTGGTCTGTATATGTGTGTGTGGCCGAAGGGGCAGGCGGGTATTCCTTATAGTTAGACAACAAAAACACAACTGTTAAATGAACATTTTACCTGGAAAGGGTGAGACAAATTCCTTTCCCAGGAGCATTATTATGTCTTTGCTCATCAAATGAGGTAATTGGTCTTAAAATCTTCAGGGGATAACATGAAGCCTTCTTCCCCCCACCCCCCATTATTATTTTTAATGTGGAAGCTGAAAAGGGGTGAAAAGGGTTGAAGCAGTAGAAGCGGTGGAGGCAGCAATTAGGGAGGTTGAGAGCCCTGGTATGGGCAGCTGGAAGCAGAAAGAAAACACTGCTAACTAGGAGATGCTGGGGATTGGTGCACTGGAAACTCATTTTGCCAGTTTTAGAATTCTGTTGAGAGGCAGTATTCATGCATAATATGTGTGTAGAAATGGATTGTTATTGGTATGAATGATTAGCCTTGCCTTTGTGATAATAAAATGTTTTACAGATCATTTTGAACATATTCAAAGTGCTTCGAATGCTGGTACGAAGCAGGGAGCAAGGTAAACAGCATCTCTCAGTTGATGCATATTATAACTGTTGTGCCTGGTGTTTGACTCTCTTTGTAGGTGAGAACTCTTGGGGAGAGAGTGGTTCTGTATGTTCTGAATCGAATTATTTATAGAAAACAGGAAATGGAGAGAAATGAGATCCCATTCCTGTGTCATAGCAGTACTGATTATGCTAAGATTCTGTGGAAGAAAGGAGAGGCCATTGGGTTTTATTCAGTTAAGCCTACAGGTGAGTCTTTAAAAGTTATTTAAACTGTTTATAATGGAAACCTCCTTTTCAAACCCCAACTGTATCAACAATCCTTTTAAATGAATCTCGAGTGCAAATTGAGGTGATTTTACTTAGTATTTTGGGGGGAATATTTAATTCTTCTTTACCTGTGGACCAAATGCATAGCCCTTTTTGCTCAGTGCTGCTGATTTAGCCTGACATATTAAAGGCAGCTTTGTTAATTACCATGAAAAACAAAGTACTTCAGTATATAGTATTTAGAGAATCCAAACAGCTTTGAGATTGTGAAATCTTCTAAAGTTTGGATTTCTGATCCTAAGACCCAAATATACCCTCCTCCTAAGTGACTAGAGCAGCTTCATCTTGTTTTACCTGTTTTCCTGTTCATTTGCTCTCTAGTTGTACTGGAGCCAGAAAGATCTAACCTGCTTACTCCATGTAAATAAATAACCAAATAACAAAGTTGGTCTTGTTCTGTACTTTAACCAAAAGACCTTTCACTGAGAACGCTCGTATTATTTTTCTGTCATTTTTGCATTTCAACCCTTCCAGACTTAGCTCATCTGGTCAGATCCAGTGTAACGATCATATGAAATTCACTGCTGATTTGAAGAACAGTTATGACCATTATCTTAATCACATAGTTAATACATATTTATCATGAGATTATGCATACCATCAATAAAAGGAAGGTCACTTTTTCTCAAGAATAAAATATTATGATCTAGAGTTTAAAACGGTTTTGTTATTTAGTAAATACTGTGGTTCTCCTTTAATATTCTATTTTATTCTTGTATAAATTTGAAATAGAATCAGTGATTCATTTAACTCCAGAAAGATGTCATTATATAGGGGCAGAATAATAATGTCTGTTAAATGGAAGCTTACTGCTGCATTGCATAAAAGGCATCATGTTGTTTTTAAAATGTTTTAAAATGGCTGAGGTGTGCTTTCATTTCGTTATGCTTTATTTTATGTGAGATCATTCCTGTGGGAATTGGAGGCTTTTTCCTTTTCACACTGGCTCCAGGGTTTTTTCCTGTCTGAAATGAGCTCATAGATATTTTGATCACATATTACTTTATGCTTTTTTTGTTTACAGTTTGCTTTAGATGAAAGACACACAGTTAACGGGCGTAGCATTCCCCTTTTAGTGTTTCTGGTCAGTATTTGACTCCAGGAGTGTGTTCCTCTTCATTTTATGTGCATCTCGGGTTCCTCCTCTCCTCTGAGACCTGGCCTTTATTTTTGCTTGTTCTGCTAGTTAAGTTTTTGGGGTTTTTTTTCTTTTGGTTATTCCTCATCCAAAGATTATTTTTCCATTGGCTTTAATTTTATTTTTTATTGATTTCAGAGAGGAAGGGAAAAGGAGAGAGAGAGATAGAAACATCAGTGATGAGAGAGAACCATTGATGAGCTGCTTCCTGCACGCCCCACTGTGGGGATCAAGCCCACAACCCGGATATGTGCCCTGACTGGAAATCCAACCGGACCTCTTGGTTCATAGAGTGACGCTCAACTACTGAGTCACTCCGGCCGAGCGCCATTGAATTTTAGAGGGAGTGGAAGGGAGGGGGGAGACAGAGAGAGAGAGACCGAGGAGGTAGAACCTGCAACCCAGGTACATGCCCTTGACTGGGAATTGAACCCATGATCCTCTGGTGCTTCTCTGCTGATTGCCTTCCACCCTGACTATTAATTTTTGTTCTTTCTTGCTTTATGCTAATTCCATAATAATGGAATTAGTTGTGCTTATACTATACTTGCCTTTGAATCAGTAACCAGTTAATTTAGTCTGGAACTATTTTTAAAAAAATATATATTTTATTGGCTCTTTACAGAGAGGAAGGGAGAAGGACAGAGAGTTAGAAACATCGATGAGAGAGAAACATCAGTCAGCTGCCTCCTGCACACCCCCCACTGGGGATGTGCCCGCAACCAAGGCACATGCCCTTGACCGGAATCGAACCTGGCACCCTTCAATCCGCAGGCCAACGCTCTATCCACTGAGCCAAATCGGTTAGGGCAACTATTTTTTTTTTTTCCTACAAAGAAAACCCAAACATAAAATATTTTGGAAAAACATCCCATAACATATACTAAAACACTTTGTGATAGAAATATTTTTTACATATCAGGAAAAAGAAGTGTACCAGCAAAGTGATAAAATCTTTATTAAATACAGGTCTAGTTGAGTGAAAGCCTTATGCTATTACTTACGATATTTTAATTAAATAGCAAATCAGTATATGGGGATAATAGTTGGGATATAAAAATAGTCTTGGAATAAAAAAGGAGGCTTTGTTTATGAGGTTAAATCTTATTACAGTACAGTGAAATTTAAGAAACTATATAAATTCTTTTTTGCTTGAAGTAAGAGATTGCTATGAGGGACTTATTTATTTTTTGGATTAGGTAGATGTCAGATTATTAAAAAATAGTTTTATACACTAGTTTGTTGTGTGATCTTTGGCATATGTGTATTGTATTCTGAAGTCAATTAAAAGAGCTGCTTAGTACTCCAGCTGAAAGAAGTACTTCTAGTAGGGAAGTGGCAGTAGTGATAGAGAAGGAAACTGATTTGAGGGAGCTTTTTGTGTGGTGACTCCATTGCCTGTGTGGGAAGGGATAGAAGAGTAACCAGTGATGAAACTTGAGGGTTTTGGCTTGGATGCTTAGGTGGGAAACTGTGAACTAAGATTGGGAATACCGAAGAGTGGACTTGGTAATACTTGAGTTCAGTTTGACATGTGAACTTCATTGTGCCTGTGGAACACATAAGTAGGGATAGTACACAGTTAGAAATGTAGGTCGGGTCACATGGGGGGAGGTGTGGATGTTTATGTGGGCCACAGAAGTCAACACATTTTTAAAGTAAGGATGAGATCTGTCAAAACCGTATCAAGTGAGTATATGTGTTTGTGAATATTGGCATGGGGATGTACGTAAGTTACTGAAGTCAGCCTGAGGTAACCAAACAAACATAACTGTGGAGGGAGTCTGCCAGCTACCTGCTCAGATGTGATCATTGGTCTCCTAAAAGTTAAAAAGGAGGTGTGTTCACTTCTGCAGCACATACACTACGTTCAAAAGGAAGTGCTAGTCTGTTGGGAGATAAAAAGAAGAGGAAAGTTAGCGGAGGCTGCTGGCTAACCAAATAGTTGTGCTTCCTCTTCTGTATTCTAGTCATTGGTCAGCAGCTGCCCAGTTAGAGATGATATTTTCTAGTCACTTGCACAGTTGGGTGGGGCTGTGTGATTAGTTCTCCCCAAAGTAATTAAGGAAATGATATTTATGACATCAGGTCAAAGTGGTTAAGATGCGTTCCTCTTCATAATTTGTCTGCTGAATGTAAAGGATTCGAGGACCTAGGGGGTGGGGAAGCCACAGATAGAAGGAACCTGAGTTCCTGTGGTGGTACTTTGCATTTCCATATCAACTTTAGGATCACCTTCTCAGTTTCAGGAAAAAAATCCAGCTGGGATTTTGAGTCTATACATCAATTTGGGGAGTATTGACATCTTAACAGTGTTATATATTCTGATTCATGAACATGAGATGTTTTTGCCATTTATTTAGGTGCTCATTAATTTCTTTTAACAATGTCTATACTTCTAAGTTTACAAGTTTTGCACTTCTTTTGTTAAATTTACTCGTAAGAATTTTATTGTTGATGCTATTGTAAATGGAATTATCTTTTTTTTTTAAGTATGTTTTTATTGATGTCAGAGAGAGGGGAGAGAGGGATAGAAACATCAATGATGAGAGCGAATCATTGATCGGCTGCCTCCTGCATGCTCCCCACTGGAGATCAAGCCCTAAACCATGGCATGTGCCCTGACCTGGAATAACCGTTACTTCCTGGTCATGGGTGAATACTCAACTACTAAGCTACACCAGTGGGCAGGAACTGTTATCTTAATTTCATTTTCAGAATGTTCATTGTTGGTATATAGAAATACAGTTGATTTTTGTATGTTGATCCTGCAACTTTACTAAACTTACATGTCGGTTTTAATGAATTTTTAGTGGATTCCTTAAGGTTTTCTATATATAAGGTTGTGGCATCTGCAAAAATAATTTCACTTTTTTCTTTTCAACCTGGTGCCTTCTATTTTATTTTCTTGACTTATTACCCAACCTCTAGTACAATGTTGAATAGAAGCGGTGAGAGTGAACATTTTTGCCTTGTTCCTAATCTTATAGGGGAAACATCCAGTTTTTCACCATTAGGTGTGTTGTTAGCTGTGGGTTTTTCATAAATCGCTTTATCAGGTTGAGGATGTTGAGTATTTTTATCATGAAAGGCATTGGATTTTATCAAATACTTTTTCTCCACTTATTGAAATGATCATGTGGTTTTTGTACTATTTACTGGTACGTTTACATGAGGTCTTCCTTTGGAGTAAATCTCAGGAATTACAGAAATTAAAGGTTAGTGGACATCAGTATTTGGATAAATGGTAGAAGCCCTGGGAGTAGGTGAAATTATCCAGAGAGAGCATATAGAAAGAGAAGGTAGTCAAAGAGGAAACTTAGAGGAATATAAATATTTAATTACCATGTGCAATAAATTTAATGTAATGAAGACTTCACCTAAGGTAGCAGTTGTGGTTTTGCTGTACTAGGTAATTGTGCTATTGTCTACAGCTATTGACGTGTCTGACGATCTCTGGTAACGTGAAGTTTTTCTTCCCTTTATTTGATTGCCTTTGTATAACCCATATACAAAGTATAACTATTTAAGGTGTAGGCAAGGAAGAGAATCAGCATGGTTTGTTGAAATGAATATGTACAGGTGGAGCCAAAGTAGGCTTACAGTTGTGAGTACATGAAACAGTTTATTCTTGTATTATAATTTACTAATTATTGCATTATTTTCCAAACTGATGACAGTGCTGGGAAGCAAGATCTCAACAAAAAATAATGCTTCCCAGTATGATAGTTTGCAGCTTCTTTCATGCATTTGGATTAAGGAGGGAATGTAAGGAAGATTACATGAAAAACAAGTTGGGGATTGAGCTATAGGCTAGTTAAGACTATGTGTTCTTTTGAGGGTAGCGAGGCTTCTAAGGGCTCTGAAAATGAGCATTTCAAAGGTATGTTAATATAGATGCGCAAAAAACGATGGACAGAGCTTGCTTAAGGCAAAGATAGACCTCTCACTAGAGAAGTTATATGCCTGGGGTGTGACTACCCACCATGACCTGCCCAGTTTGGAATTTTTGATCAGATCACCCTGTGAGGTTACTTTTTGTTAGTGTTATTATAGCACCCCCTTTAAAAGTGTTTAAAAAGAGATTATTGAAACAGCTTTATTTATAGCCCCCCAAATTGTAAACAACTCAAATGGCAGGAGCCAGGCCAAGGTGGGCAAAGGGAGAGGAAATGGGGGGCATCTGTAATAACCTCAACAACAAAAATAAATTTTAAATATAGTAAATAAATGGATTTCAGTTAACCCATATCATGCATACTATTAAGTACTGATAGACATAGCATGTACTCGATTTCAAAATCATTGTGTTGGGAGAAAGAAACCAGACACGAAGAAAACATACTGTATGATTCCATTTATGTTATTCTAGAAAAGTAAAAGCAAATTTGTACTGGCAGAAATCAGAGACCCGGGAGGGATGGATTGGCCGTAAAAGGGATGGAGGGAACTTTTTGGGATAGCACTCCATTTATATCCACTGAAAAACCATTTTTAGAAAGACTGTTAACTCATGTTTTCTAAAAGTATATATATATATAGGTCTTTCAGTGTGAAAAATTGTTGGCTTTCTGTTCTTATGATTGCAGGAAGCATATGTGCCTCATTTCTTACCCAAAGCTACCAACTGCCAGTTCTTGATACAATGTTTATAAGAAAGAGCTATCGAGGCAAAGATTTTGGGCTTCATATGCTGGAGGACTTCGTTGATTCCTTTACAGAAGATGCACTTGGCTTGCGGTATCCACTGTCCTCTATAATGTACACAGGTAAATGGAATAAGTGAAAAATGTTAAACTTGTCTCTGACTAGTTTCTGTAGAATATTGTAAATGTGCATATAACAATATTAAATAAATTTTGATTATTTGATACCCTAGGCCAGTGATGGCGAACCTTTTGAGCTCGGCGTGTTAGCATTTTGAAAAACCCTAACTTAATTCTGGTGCCGTGTCACATATAGAAATTTTTTGATATTTGCAACCATAGTAAAACAAAGATTTATATTTTTGATATTTATTTTATATATTTAAATGCCATTTAACAAAGAAAAATCAACCAAAAAAATGAGTTTGCGTGTCACTCTGACACGCGTGTCATAGGTTCGCCATCACTGCCCTATGGCTTAATTTTGCAAATGTGTCCTTATCTCACTATATATTATATATATAATTTTTATATATATATAATAAATATATTATATATATAATTTTTATATATATTATATATATATTGGGGGGTATGGTAGCTTTTTAAAAGATATGAACTTTAATTTTTTTTAAACTGTTTTGTTTTTTAAATATTTTTTTTATTGATTTCTGAGAGGAAGGGAGAGGGGAAGAGAGAGAAACATCAATGATGAGAGAGAATCATTGATCAGCTGCCTCCTGCACACCCCCCACTGGGGATCCAGCCCACAACCCGGGCATGTGCCCTCACTGGGAATGGAACCATGACTTCCTGGTTCATAGGTCAAGACTCAACCACTAAGCCACACTGGTCAGGTAGAGCTTTAACTTATATACCATAAAATTCACCTTTTTAAAATGTTAATCCTCACCCAAGGATATTTTTTCCATTGATTTTTAGAGAGAGTGGAAGGGAGGGTGGGAAGGGGGAAGAGAGAAAGAGAGAGAGAGATAGGAGAAACATTGATGAGAGAGAGACACATAGATTGGTTGCTTCCTGCATGCGCCCTGATGGGGGCTGAGGATTGAACCTCCAGCCCAGGCATGTGCCCTTGACCAGTAAACAGACCCAGGCACTGTCCATTCCCCCATTTCTCCATTACCTAGTAAACACTAAAACACTAGCTGCTAGGGCTTATCTGCCTTTTTTGTAAGAGTTATCTGAGTGGGTGCGAAGTGGCCGCCAATAGTTTTGGATTGCATTTGATGTTGAACATTTTTTCATGTGCTTATTGACCATTTGTATATCTTCTTTGGAGAAATGTCTATTTATATTATTTGACCACTTTTGGGGGGGGTTATTTGTCTGTGGTAGCTTTTAAATTAAAAAAGAAAGAAAGAAACCTCAGACATATATGAAAGTATAAAAAGGTAAATACTTATGTACCACTAGCATGTACCATCTATGAGAAATGGATCCTTTGCCAACACAGTTGCACTCCTACCTAATTAGCTTACTCCCTTCCCTGAAATAAGCATTGTCCTCAGTTTGGCATTTTTCCTCATGCATTTCTTAGACTTTTAAGATATATATGTACATCCTCCAATAATATGTCATATTATTTTTAATATTTTAAAACTTTATATAAATGAAAGGTACTGTATGAATTCTTCTTTAGTTTGCTTTCTTTACTCATCTTTATGTTTATTAGATTCATTAATGTGGATTTACATAGCTCTATCATTTTCAGTGCTGTTTAGTATTCCATTGTATGGCTATACTATGTGGTGATATTTTAAAAACTATTCATATTTATCTTTATAAATTTATATTTGCATTTGTATAAAGGCCAAACAACTGTTTTTTCTTCATGTAGTAAGATTTAATCCTGGAAAGTAATTTATTTGAAAACTTCAATAAAATATAATTTACCATCAGATGTTTATTTTCACTAAAAATATATTTTCTAGGTTTCCTCTCTCTTTTTAATATTAAAAATCTAGAAAACAAGAACCAAATGTTGCATCCCCATTTTGAATTACAGTTTTTCTCTAGACCCATACATGTGAATGGAATGAATCCTTGTATCCCCTTTGATAATTTGAACATAGATTACTGCTTTACTAACTTTGGGGAGGAATGGAAATTCATCCACTATAGGAAGAACTCCTCAGTACTTCACTCTTTGTTCTTTCATTTTGAATTTAGGACCAAGTTTTGTAAAGTTCCATTCAAAAGAAACTGTTGGGATTTTGTTTAGGATTGCATCAAGTTTACAAAATAATTTGGAGAGAATTGGTGTTTTTACACTATTGAATCTAACAATCCTTTTATTTAGTTCTTCTTTTATGTCCCTCAATAAAATTTAATAATTTTCTTTTTAAAGGTTAAACACATCTTTTATTTGGATTTTTATTGCTTGATCACATTAAAACTTTAATATGGAATTTCATTTAGAATTTTTATGTAAATGAGATGACTGTATAATTTTCTTGAGTTGCTTTGGTGTTTTGGTATCAAAAAGTTATGCTAGCCCATTAAGTGAGTTGGCAGCTTTCTATCTTTCTGTTTTCTAAAATAATTGATATTTTGGATTTCTAGAAAATTCTAAATATGTTTTTCAGCTTGCAAGCAGTACTTTGAAAAGTATCCAGGAGACCATGAACTCCTTTGGGAAGTTGAAGGTGTTGGGCATTGGTACCAGAGAATACCTGTCACCAGAGCATTACAGAGAGAAACACTTAAAATTACAGGTAAGAATGTTTTAGTTTGAACACATGTCCCACTTAAAAATAGCAGTGCCTGATGGTAATGGTGCCTTATACTCCAGAGCAGTGGTGTGCTGTGATGTGATCTCTCTAGTAACAGACCCTCTTTCCTAAAGTATGATATTTTGTTATGTATTAATATTAACATTTGAGTCACTAAGAATAGCCCAGCAGAATGTAATAATTGCTGTGTACGAAATAAACAGAGATACTGAAACAGTATAGAATAGGCATCAGGAGATCAAAGATAGTCCACAGTCTCATGTATCTCTCCTCAAAGTCACAAAATACAGATGATTATTTAAGACTCTTTATAATTGAAAGGTTTTATTATAAGACTAGAGGTCTGGTGCACAGATTTGTGCACTGATGAGTGGTGCGGCCTGCAGGGATCAGCCCGCTGTGGGAGCGCCACTCATTCCGGTCAGCCAAGCGGCACTCCCACTGTGGGAGTGCATTGACCACCAAGGGGCAGCTCCTGCATTGAGTGTCTGCCCTCTGGTGGTCAGTGAGCACCATAGCGACTGGTTGACCAGTCATTCTGGTCGTTCTACTGTTTAGTTGCTGGGCTTTTATATATATACTAGAGGCCCGGTGCACAAAAATGTGTGCACTCGGGGGGAGGAGGGCCCCTCAGCCCGGCCTGTGCCCTCTCGCAGTCTGGGACCCCTCGGGAGATAACGCCCTGCTGCCTTAGGCCTGCTCCCGGGTGGCAGAGGGCAGGCCCAATCCCTAGGTGCAGCCCCTGGTCGGGCTCAGAGCAGGGCCGATTGGGGAGTTGGGTCGCCGCCCCCTGTCATTCACAGAGCAGGGCAGATTGGGAGGTTGCAATGCCACCCTCAGTCACGCTCAGGGTAGGGCCGATTGGGGGGTTGGGGCACTGCCCCCTGTCATATTCAAGGCAGGGTCAATGGGGAGGTTGCGGCGCCACCCCCTGTCACGCACAGAACAGGGCCCATCAGGGTGGTTGGGGCTCCTTACCCTGTCACGCACAGAGCAGGGTCCATCAGGGGGTTGGGGAGTTCCCCCCTGTCACGCACAGAGCAGGGCCCATCAGGGGGTTGAGGAGCTCCCCCTATCAGGCACAGAGCAGGGCTGATCAGGGGGTTGGGGTGCCTTCCCCTGTCACGAACAGAGCAGGGCGGATCAGGGGGTTGGGGCGCCACACCCTGTCACATTCAGGGCAGGGCCGATGGGAAGGTTATGGCTCTACCCCGTCAAACACAGAGCAGGGCCCGTGGGGGGGGGGGATTGGGGCGCCACCCCCTATCACCCACAGAGCAGGGCCAATCAGGGGGTTGGGGTGCTGCCAGTGTCACACTCAGGGCAGGTCCGATTGGGAGGTTATGGCTCTACCCCGTCACACACAGAGCAGGGCCCGTGGAGGGGGGTTGGGGCGCCTTCGCCTGTCACACACAGAGCAGGGCCGATCAGGGGGTTGGGGCGCCTTCCCCTGTCACAAACAGAGCAGGGTGGATAGGGAGGTTGTGGCCCCGCCCCCTGTCACACACAGAGCCGCAGGGCGATCAGGGGGTTTGGGCGCTGCCCCCTGTCACGCTGATCCCGGTGCCGGGAGGCCTCTTGGCTCTGCTGATCCCGGTGCTTGGAGGCATATTACCCTTTTACTATATAGGATAAAGGCCTGGTGCATGGGTGGGGGCCGGCTGGTTTGCCCTGAAGGGTGTCCTGGATCAGGGTGGGGGTCCCCACTGGGGTGCCTGGCCAGTCTGGGTGAGGGGCTGAGGGCTGTTTTCAGGCTGGCGGGTGACTGAAGCTCCCGACCGCTCCTTTTTTTCTTTTTTTTTTTTTTTATTCTGGGCCAGCTTTAGCTCTGAGGCTTGGCTCCAGGTCTTAGTCCTCGGCTGCTGAAAGCAGGTATCTGGTTTGTTTGGGTTCTATAATTGAAACACTGTTTCAACTCTAGCTCTGAGATTCCCAGCTGGCTGAAAGCAGGTTTCTGGGGTTTTGTTTAGCTTCTATATTTGTAACAATGTTTCACACTGCAAGCTCAGAGGCCCGCAGCGGCAGGCGGGGAACATTGGAGTCCTCCTTCACTGAAGCAAGTAAGCCTCATGTTAGTTTCAAGCTGCCTGGCTGCCGGCCGCCATCTTGGCTGGCAGTTAATTTGCATACCGCCCTGATTAGCCAATGGGAAGGGTAGCGGAGGTACGGCTAATTACCATGTTTCTCTTTTATTAGATAGGATAGGTAGGGGTGAAGGGGATATCCTACACCTAGATTTTCAACAGCCTTCTATTCATGCTGCTCTGAGGGTTTTTGTGAAAGTCAGAACAATGTTATTAAAACCGAATACTGATTGGGTTACAATTTGTAAAATTCTTCTACACACAGCAATTCCTCCAAATGAAGCTAAAAGAACTACGTCTGGAGGATATGGTCTTGCATCTGTTCCAGAATATGAAGCAGGAACTGAAGATAGTCAGTCTAGTGAGATGCAGCTAACTGTAGGTACACTGTATATTTATTGTAGGAAATAATTTTTGTTTCTTTAAAATAGATTCAGTGAATATTTAAATTTTTAAATGTTATTGTTCATTCAACAGACATGTAATTTCTACTGTATATGTTTTCTGGCATCTTTTAATTGGTTACTAAGGACTTAATTTTCTTTGAAAAATAATTTGGAATTCACATAAAATAATATAGAAGAGAATGAAAATCTGTAATCCCACTTCTCCAGAGATAGCAAATGTTAATATCTTGCATATAATATACATGTATCTGCATACATTTTATGTTTGTTTTCTTTTATGCTAATTCTAACTGCTTTTCTCACAACATTTTTTTGGAGGCTGCAAGGGTGCATAACATAGCATGTTAAGCATTTTTCATGGCATTACTATTTTTCTACTGTTTTTAAATATGATTGTTAAACAGCAGCACACTAGCCTATTATATGTAAACTAAAGGCCAGATGCACGAAACTTGTGCAAGGGGCTCAGCCCTCACAGCCAAGGCAGCTTGCCTCGGCCCTCGCAGCCCTGGTTTTGTCTGGAAGGTCGTTTGGCTGTCTGGTCTAATTAGCATATTATGCTTTTATTATTATAGATGCCATCATTTATTTCCTTACATACTAAGTTTTACATTTATAATGTAACTAGAGTGCTGGGGTTCCACCCCAGCAGGTCCAGGGGTCCCCAAAGGTGTGGACGGAGTCAGCGAAGAAGGAATGACACGGAGAGGGCGTTCAGATGATCATCATAGCGAGGTTCTCTAGCCAAGTTCTGGTCAGGATCTCCAGTGAAGTTCTGGTTAGGATCTCCAGCCAGGTTCTGTGTCCATGTTCTCTTGCTAGGTTCTCCAGCAAGGTTCCCCAGGTTCCCCAGCCAGGTTCGGTCACCAGATTCCGTAGCCAGGTTCCTCAGCCAGGTTCTGGCTAGGTTCTCCAACCAAGTTCTGTAGCCAGTTTCTGTCCAGGATCTTTTGTCATGTTCTCTCCAGCGAAGTTCTTCTGTCTCTAGGTTCTGTCTTCTAAGTTCTGTCTTCTAAGTTCTGTGTTCTAAGTTCTGTGTCTTGCTGTCTTGTTACATCTGTATTTATACCAGTTGATTCAATCCTATCAATCTCTATTACAAAGGTTAGGGCGTTTCTTATCTCCATTCCAGGGAGTAAAGATTATGTAGCTTAAGCATGATTGTTCGTAGTTAAAGTGATTAATTACCCTCCTGGCACTTAGTTAAGAGGTTTTATTCCCTCCCTAACTTCAGGGGAAAATCCCTACCTGGGGAAACAACCTTTCTCAGAGACCTTGGTTAAAACACATAGTGCCAAGAAGGTGAGCAAACATATTAAGAACAGTATGCCATATATGCCAGGTCCCTTGAAACAGCAAGCATGGACCAGCTCCCGGCACTAGAGGCCTGGTGCATGACATTCACACACTGCCAGGGGGAGGTCCCTCAGCCTGGCCTGTGCCCTCTTCGCAGTCCGGGACCCCTCAGGAGATGTCCGCCTGCCAGCTTAGGGGCAGTCAGACATCACCCTACGGGTCCTTAGTGCTGCCATGGAGGCAGGAGAGGTTCCCGCCACTGCTGCTGCGTTCTCCAGCCATGACCCTGGCTTATGGTTGAGCAGCGCTCCCCCTGTGGGAGTGCACTGACCAACAGGGGGCAGTTCCTGTGTTGAGCATCTGCCCCCTGGTGGCCAGTGTGCATCATAGTAACTGGTTGTTAGGCTGTTTGGTTGATTTACATATTAGGGTTTTATTATATAGTATGTACACATTTGTACATGCATCATTGTGCATATGTTATTATTTCCTTGCACAGATAGGTTTGTAGAAGTGGAATAAGTAGTAGGCCAAAGGTTATGAAGTTATGTGGGAACTGTGAGGCTAAGTTTCAATAAGTGTATGCTAGGCCTTTGTAGAATGAAATGCACTTTGCAAATACTAGGTAACCTGAAATTAGAAGGGCAATTCCCATTACTGTGGCTTTCTACTTTCCTAGAATTTCCTTGATATTAGTTAAGATATGGGTCTATCGATGGGATTCTAGAAGTCTGTTTTTATGTAGTGTTTTTTGTGGTGGCGCTTATTACAGCTATATTTGTTTTGTACACACTATCTGATATATCTTTTGTGAGTGTTGAGTTTGCCTATGTAAAGTCAGGTGCATTTCAGAGACACATGCTTAGGGGAATTATTTGTTCCTCTTATTTCCTGTTTTAATTAGCATAAGTGAAGAATTTCAAAGTGTTTTTAAGGATAATATGAATAATAACTATATATAAAGAATTAGAGTTTTTAAATTTTTTTCTACATTTGGAACTTCAAACTTTAGAATATGCCCCAATTCTATTATATTGCAGTCTAAATTCCTCAGTTATACTCAGATTCACTTAGTTTTGGTCAGATATCATGAAACCAGGTAAGTAGAAAAATCTAATATTCCCATATATGCAGTGATATTAATTATTTATTTTAATATTAAACAATTTTAAATGTGTCATTTAGTGAGAATATATTAAAATTACACTAGGTCAAGGTTGGCAGCATGAATTAGATTTTTTTATTTTAGAACTTCATATTCTTTATAGTACTGGTTTAATAATTCAAGGAAAATATTTCTCATATTAAGCTACTTATTACATCTCTCTTTTTATCAGTAACCACACGGGGAAGTAGTTTTATTTGTTTATTTTTACTACATGATGTATTTTTTAGCTTTATTGAGGTGGTATTGACAAATAATTGTATATCTTTAGGGTGTCCAACTTTGTTGTTTTTTTAATATATTTTGTTGATTTTTTACAGAGAGGAAGGGGGAGAGATAGAGAGTTAGAAACATCAATGAGAGAGAAACATCGATCAGCTGCCTCCTGCACATCTCCTACTGGGGATGTGCCCGCAACCCAGGTACATGCCCTTGACTGGAATTGAACCCAGGACATTTCAGTCCGCAGGCCGACGCTCTATCCACTGAGCCAAACCGGTTTCGGCATAGGGTGTCTAACTTTGTTTTGATATACATATACATTGTGAAATGATTATCACTACATGATTTATTCTTTAGATGATGGTATTTCTATTTGCTTTTTCCTATTTTTGGACAGAAAACATTACATGTACTTCACTTTTTGTACCTTTTATTTATTTATCTTTATGTCTTAACCTTGTCTAGTTGAACTATAGGCTTCTCGAACACAGGATCTTTATCTTATCCATCACAATTGTTCCTTTGTGTGTGTCCTATAAACACACCTTGAAGTGTAGGTGCCTATAATATTGTAGAGTTTTGATAACTGTGTGACTGGATAGCAGTTTATATAGTAAAGTGGGTACCTTGGCACGTGCTAGGCATATAAATTATGGGTCTGTTAAGCCTGGGTAAAGCAGATGGTCCATTATTAGAACAGATAGGTGAACAATTACACTATAGGATAATAATGGCCTTAATAGAGCATACATACAGCAAGTGATTGCAGGTACATAAAAGAGAATGTATGACTAACTCTATGCAGGGACTGGAATTGGTGAAGTAGTAACTGAGTTGAGATGACCTTTAAGAAGTGTGTGGGAGTTCTGTGCCAAACGTTGCTAGGGCATTCCAAGGGATGGCATGGATGAAAACACAGAGGCGTGAAAGAAAATGGCATGTTTGGAATGGAAGAGCATTTGGTATTGGAAAAGTTGGGAGTTTGTATTTCAGGAAGCGATAAACTATTACATTTTATTTTTTGTAATGCAAAGGAGTAGCACAATTTACAGATGGGAAGCACCACTGTCATCAGGGTGGAGAGGATTACGGGCGTGTGGCTCGAGTGAGGGATGCCAGCAAGGAGGCTATTAGAACAGTTCATGGTGAAGATGTAAAAGGCCTGAACTAAAGCATTGGAAATACAAAGGAGGGGGCAGTTTTGAGAGATTCTTAAAGTCAGAATTGACAGGCTTTGTGGTTGATTGAATGAGGGATAGGAAGAAGTCATTACTGTCTCACAGCCATTCTGGTTAGACTGAATTATTACTGTCACTTAACCAAGATAGGGAATACTATTGGGAAAAGATGATTAAAATGATATTGTTCAGTTTGAGACAGGTTGGATGTGAAATTAGATGGAACATCCACTGGGGAGATATCTTCTTAGAAATAGAGCTTTGGAAGTTGGGGGAATTAACTTGTATAGATATTGAAGTGAAGGTAGTAGATAAAATGACAAAGGGAAAGCATGGATTGAAAAGAGAAGGTAGCTGAAGACAATACTGGAAACTCCAGTGCTTACCACTAAGACATGAGATGGCTTGATAAGTTCTTAGGCTCATAATAAACTGGGCTGTAACATAGCCTTTTTATTTCTTACGTAAGTTTAATTGAATAGTGAGTACAAAAAGTGCTATTTGAAAATGTTTTAAAGATTTTCTTTGACACTGAATAAAGTAGATCCACAGGGAGAAAAAATACTCTACAACATTTGGTTTTAATCTGTATCTCTATTTTAGATTGATTCTCTAAAAGATGCCTTTGCAAGCACTTCTGAAGGTAAGAAATCCAGCCGATCTATTAGAAAGTGTTTGAGACACTTGGAATTAGGTGTGTGTGTGTGTGTGTTCCTTAGAGCAAGTGAAGACTGACCCAGCTCTAAAGTCTACTTCTGCATCTAATGCCACCATTTCCACTGATTTTGCTGTGTGAACAGAGAGAGCTATAGTACCTCTCTTCCTCATTTTCTTACCTATAAAATACAAGACAGTAACATCTGCCTTGTTTATTTCCCAAGATTAAACAAACCCCATTTCTACTATATTGCAGTCCAAATTCCTCAGTCATACTCAGATTCATTTAGTTGTGGTCAGATATCATGAAACCAGGAAAAGTAGAAAAATCTAATCTTCCCACATATGCAATGCAACTAATATTTTATTTTAATATTAAGCCAAGTAATTTTCTATGTATCATGTAGGGAGAATATATTAAAATTACACTATGTCATAAGGTTGGCAGAGATTATTGGGAGAGAATATAAATGAAAATGCAAAAACTCAAGACACCATGGAAATGTGAGAAACGAATATTAACAAAGTCTGATATGAGAGAAAGGTAGTGTGTAATGGTGGGGATATATGTAAACTAGCATAGTTCTTGCATGGCTGCTGTTTTTTCTTAGGTCATGATAAAACACCAGTTTCCACTCGGACTCGAAGTAGTCATCTGAAGCGGCCAAAGATTGGAAAGCGGTTTCAGGATTCTGAATTTAGTGGTTCTCAAGGGGAAGATGAAAAGATAGCTGAGACTTCACCTACAGCTTCAGTAATTAAGTAAAGTATTGTTTATTTTACCCTCATTATTTTGTTTATTTTATTTGTGTATTATTAATATTTAGTATTATTATATTGTTCATGTAGCAAATGACCTTGGTATAGGAGTTTGTATTTGAATTTTTCTACAAGATAATTGGTTACACTTACCAGTGGTGTCACTTTGACAATGTTATAGGGAGAATTTGCTAATAAGAGAGTGGAATAAACTCATAATTTAATCTCATAGGCATGAAAATCCAGGAGAATATTCTATTGATTATCCCAAATGTGTCATTATCTCCAGCTTTGAATTTGACAGTAGCTGTAATTTTTAGTAATGCTTGGGTGTGGTTAATTTTGGAAACCCTCAGTTTTACATTATAACGGATTCATTTCACTGGGGTATTGGATATAACATAAGTTAGTGGTAACTATAAATGGTGCAGTCAACTCCTCTAATCAACAGAACACATGGGTCAGAGCTTTTCCTCTATCTTCCTTTGAAGCTTAAGAAAACAAGATTTTTAATTTTATATTTAAAGTACACTTCTTCTGCCCTACTAGTCCTACCAACTGTTCCTGAATCAGCCATTCATAGTTTTGCCATTTTAGCTGTGAAATTATTTTACTCAGGTAGAGAATTTTGTGTCTATATTAATTTCCTTATGTAAATAATTTTTCATTTGTGTAATTGCATCAGCATGTAAATATTTTATTTTTGTAAAAAATTCATGTTAAAGACAATATAAATAGATATTTAAATCTAGTAATTTGTGAAAAGAATAATAAGAGTTTAGATAATTATGGTTTTCTCATGGAGCCACATTTTGATGTAATATCCTTTTTAGAAGGAAATGCAACAATGTATTTTAAATTGAACATCTCAGAATGATGTGGAATTCGGTTTGCTTTTCATAAACAGAACAGTAACAGTGAGGCTATATGCTTGAATGCTTACTCAGATACTACGAAGAACGTAATTTTATCTTTGCCCTTGAAGAATGCCTAGTGGTTTCTAATGCATGTATCTGTCTGTGGCTCAGGTTAAGGGCACTGCAGGGTAGATTGTGATGGTGTAATAATAGAAGTGCAAACGCTGTGATGCAGAGGGGAGCGTGCCTCTAATGGAGGGGATGGAGACGTTTGGTATTTGGGCCAGGGCTTCAGAGATAAGTGGTAACTAAATAAGCAGAGTTGGGAGAAGATTTCTAGTCCAAGGGTTCACAAACTGTGGTCCATAGGTCAATTCAGGCCCACTACCCAATATAAATAAAATTTTATTGTAAAACATCCATGCTCATTAGTTTACAGGTTTATTATGATTGCTTTTGAGTTAAGTGGCAGAGTTGAGTAGTTATTCAGGGACCATATGTCCCACAAAACATAAAGGAAAGTTTGCTGAGCCTGGCTCTATGCCATGGATGTCCAGAGAGTTTCCTGTAATGAAGGAAATGTCCTGTGTCTGCCTGCCCAGTGTGGCAGCCACTACCCATGTGCCATTCGAGCACTTGAAGTGTGGTTGGTGCAGCTGAGGAACTGAATTTGTTATCTCATTTACGTTTAATAACAAATAGGAACACATGTCTTAACGGCTACCATATTGCATGTGCAGAACTAGACTACAGGAATAACATGAACAAAGGCACAAAACGAAGAGGAATGTTGATACGGATATATAAGGTAAATGGTAGTGTAACTGAAACCAAGTTTCAACTGCCTGCTGCCACAGAAGCCAAACTCGTGAGACAGATGCTGGTGAAAAGGAAAAGGGTTTATTCAAGTGCTGGTCATCTGAGAAGATAGGGGATTCTTTGTCAAAAGCCCATCTCAACACCTCAATGCAGACCGAGGTTTTTATAAGGAGGAACAGGGAAAGTAGAACAAAGAAACCACGGTGAGGGAGTTGAGTAGTTCTGTACATGCAGGCCAGCACAGTCCATTCCGATATGAATCTCGAAACTGGTGAAGTGATGGTCTGGTGTGCATCATCCTGGTTCATCGTTCTGGTTCTGCATCATCCTGGTTCTCTGGTTAAAGATTAGCAAGTTTCCCAGAACTGGGAAGACTGAAGGGCAGAGTCTGCTTCGTCTGCAGTTAGTTTCTAGGATTCTTATACAAACATGCTCTTCATCTGCAAGCTACATATTAGTCAGAATCAGCATTTACAGGAACAGTGTCAAAAAGAACGGTGGGGTGGGTTACAGTTTCTCACTCTTTCAGTAGTATCTAGTAGGAGGTAAGAACATAAGGGTCTGGTCTTGTTAGGCTTTAAAGGGAGATATCCCTTATTCTCTAAGCCATAGAGAACTATCAGAGTTTTCTGAGTGGGGCTGTCACAGGTACAGATATGTATATGAGAAACACAGCTCTGAAAAACTTAACTAAAGAGTAAGTGTTAAGATGAATTGGGTGCCCTAGTTGGTGTGGCTACGTTGGTTGAGTGTTGTCCTGAGCTCTGAAAAGTTGCCGGCTCGATTCCCAGTCAGGGCACATGCCCAGGTTGTGAGTTCAATCCTGGTCGAGGTGTGAATGAGAGGAACTGATAGATGTTTCTTTCACATCACTATTTTCCCCAACTCTTTGTCTGTCTGTCTGTCTATCTATCTATCTATCATCTATCTATCATCTATCATCTGTCTATCTAGAAAAGATGAATTGGGGAGAAGTTACTGTGAGAATTCTCCAGAGAGAATTGGGGCCTGAAAATGGTAATAGTAAGTTAGGGATATGTTTGAAAGGCATTTCGGAGGTAGAACTAAACCGTATCATTTATGGTCCAAATTGATTTTTTTTTGAGAAAGAAAAGGGGCTTTATAATATGCCAATGCTGGGATAAAAGCTTTAAACTGTATGGTCCCAGGTATACTAGGATGTGGGTTTACTTTAATAGAATAAGATATTATCAGATATGGATAAAGGAAAGGTCTTGTTTACATGTCTGAAAATATAGTGATGTTATTAATTGAACTGGAGAACAAGGTAGGAAAGAACAAATTTATAGGATGAAGAGATTGGTCTTGGACCTGTAAAATTTGAAATTGTTGACTGAACAACACTTAGTTGATTCTCTGAAGTGTTACTTTATTAACAGATTCCTGAAATTTATATTCATCCTTAAGAAAACATGTAAGAATTTTGTTTTGCTTTTAGATTGGAGTCTACTTCACACACATCAGAGAGCTCAGAAGAATTACTAGAAGAAGAACATTCACAGAGTGTGGTTGAATTTGAGGACGGAAGTAGTGATAAAGATGCTCATTCAACACCTAAAATCCAGTCACATCTGGAGAAGCAAGATGGTGAAAAGGTAGGAGATCACTATTTATTCCATAAATAAAATGAATGGAAGTAAGCGAAACTTTAACTTTCTTAATCTACCTTATGGAACTAGTTGGAATACTTTAAGGTCCAACAGGTCTTCAATTGCAATCCTAATTTGGTTAGGAGGATATGAATGAGTTTCCCAGAAAAAGAAACATATTTGACTGCAAATTCCTGCTAAAATAACTAATTCATTTTTTTAAACACCAGAAAACATACAGGAAAATTCTCTGTGACTAAGTAAACTCTTTATCTCACTTGTTTTCTTCAGCTCCTCAAATATTTATCCGTACCTTCTTTTTTCTTCTCTATTAATTTCTTGTTCTTCTTTTTCTTAAATAGCTTTAATCTTCTCTCTACAGATTCCTTATTTCTTCTTTCATATGTGCTGAAGTTTCTTTAAAAATCTTTTACCTGCTTGCTTAATCCAGCCAGCAGCTAAACAAGTGAAACAACATTACCCATTTTATTTTCTTAATTTACACCAATTTAGCTTCCCTCTATTTCTTGAAACTCTGTTTTTAAATAACTTTTTTTCTTGTAGAAAATTTGGAAAACAAAGTACATATTTTAAAAAGAGACTAATGGGTTGCTTCCATATATTGGCTCTTGTAAATAATGCTGCAATGAGCATAGGGGTGCATGTATTCTTTCAAATCAATGTTTCAGGTTTCTTCAGATACATTCCAAGAAGTGGGATTGCTGGGTCATAAGGCAATTCCATTTTTAATTTTTTGTTTTATTAATCCTCACCTGAGGATATTTTTCCATTGATTTTTAGAGAGTGGAAGGAAGGGGGAGAGACAGAGAAAGAGAAACATTGAAGTTACAGAGACACGTCGATTGGTTGCCTCTCACAAGTGCCCTGACCAGGGCTGGGGATCGAGCCTGCAACTGAGGTACGTGCCTTGACCAGAATCGAACCCATGACCCTTCAGACTGTGGGCCAACATTCTATCCATGGAGCCAAACTGCCTAGGGCCCATTTTTAATTTTTTGAAGAACCTCCACTGTTTTGCATAGTGGTTGCACCAATTTGCATTCCCACCAACAGTGCAGAAGGTTCTTTTTTCTCCACGTCCTCTCTAACACTTGTTGTTTATTGATTTATTGATAACTTTTTTGATAGGTGTGGGATGGTGTTTCATTGTGGTTTTGATTTGTGTTTCTCTGATGATTAGTGATGTTAAGCATTTTTTCATGTATCTATTGGCCTGTATGTCCTCTTTGGAGAAGTGTCTAGTCAGGTCTTTTGCTCACTTTTTAATTGGGTTATTTGCTTTTCTGGTGTTGAGTTATCTGTGTTCTTTATAAGTTTTAGATATTAACCACTTATCAGATATATCATTGTCAAATATCTTCTCCCATTTAGTAGGTTGTCTTTTTGTTTTCTTGATGGTTTCCCTTACTGTGCAAAACCTTTTTAATTCGATGTAGTCCCATTTATTTTTTTCTCTTGTTTCCCTTACCCAAAAAGATATTTCAGAAAACATATTGCTAAGAGAAATGTGCGATATTTTACTGTCTATGTTTTCTTATAGCAGTTTTATGGTTTTGGGTCTTACATTTCAGTTTTTAATCCATTTCGAGTTTCTTCTTCTTTTTTTTTTTTTAACTCTTTTTCACTTAGGCAACGGTCACATTTTTAAAAAAATATATTTTATTGACTTTTTACAGAAAGGAAGGGAGAAGGATAGAGAGTTAGAAACATCGATAAGAGAGAAACATTTATCAGCTGCCTCCTGCACACCCCCCAGTGGGGAAGTGCCCGCAACCAAGGTATATGCCCTTGACCGGAATCGAACCTGGACCCTTCAGTCCACAGGCCGATGCTCTATCCACTGAGCCAAACCGGTTAGGGCTCGAGTATTCTTATACTAGTGGCCTGGTTCAGGAAATTCGTGCACAATAAAAGGGGATTAATTAGAGGAAGTATTTCAATAATGCTATTTGCCCTTTCTCTATAATAGAAGAGTCAGAGATGAAAGAAAATTAGTAAAATGTATATGAAAATCTTTTCAGAGTCTGGGGCGCACCATGGGACCCAGAGTCAAGTCCCCGCCCACCCACATGCGCCTCAAAATCATGCGAGACCAAGACCCGGCCGGGCACCCTCCCCCATTGGGCTAGATCCAGACCCAGCCGGTCCCACCCTTGTCAAGCCCTGCTGGGTGGGGGGTGCTGCCTGAGGTCCCCTGGCCCAGCACTGGGGTGGGGGGTGCTGCCTGAGGTCCCCCAGCCCAGGTCGGGGAGGGGGGCACACCTTGAGGTCCTCTGTCAAGCCCCACCAGGTGGGGGACATGGCCTGCGATCCCCTGTCAAGCCCCGCTGGGCGGAGGGTGCGGCCTGAGGTCCCCCGGCCTGGCGCTGGGGTGGGGGGTGTAGCCTGGGGTCCCCTGGCCTGGTGCCGGGGTGGGGGGTGTACCTTGAGGTCCTCCATCAAGCTCCGCTGGCGGGGGGCGTCGCCTTAGGTCCCCTGTCCCAGGTTAGGGGGCACGGTCTGAGGTCCCCTGTCAAGCCCTGCTGGGTGGGGAGTGTGGCCTGAGGTCCCCTGTCAAGCCCCACGGGGGCAGGGGGGGCGGCGGAGCCTCAGGTCCCTGCTGACTGCTCGTTAAGGCTTATTACGGGAACTCAGCCTCTGCTGTGGGCACAGCCATCTTGTGTTACGGGACCCCTCTCTCCCCCGCCCCCTCCATTGTGGGTGCCGCAATCATTGTGGTGGAGTGACGGTCAATTTGCATATTCCTTCTTTATTATATAGGCTGTGGTTAAGAAGGTGGTCTAGCCACCCCAGTGCCCATCAATACATGAGTGGATAAAAAAAGCTGTGGACATATATATACACAATAGAATACTATTCAGCCGTAAAAAAGAACAAAATTGTACTTTTTGTGACAGCATGGATGGACCTAGATGGTATTGTGCTAAGTGAAATAAGTCAGGCAGAGAAAGATAAATACCGTATAATTGCATTTATATGCAGAACCTAACGAACAAAATAAACAAAAATAAAACAGAACAGACTGACAGTTGTCAGAGGAGAGGGTGGTGAGGGGGCTGGGTGAAAAAGGTGATGGGGTCAAACTGTACAAATTGGCTGGCTGGGTCCTCCGAGAAGCCCTGCGTGGAAGCGGGCGTGGGGGCCCCTGTGGCAGGGGGGGCGCTCGGTGCGGAGAGTGCAGGAGGCGGGGTGACTCCCGGAGACTGCGGCCCCGAGGAATGGGTGGGTGGAGGGTGCCCGGGGGGTAGGGTCGGGTCGGGTCGGTGGGCTGCGGCGGGTCCGGAGGTCCGAGCCTGGCGCAGAGCCTGCACCTTCCGCTGCCCGCCCTTCGGGGACTATCAGAACTGAGCCAAGAGGCAGGTGCACCAGGCAGATGGTCTGAGTCCTGTTTGACAGAAGAGAAACTGAGTCACCAGCTCAGGAGCCGCAGGGTCAGCGGGCCCGAGGGTGCTGGGTCCGCCTGTGGCGCGGAGGGTGGGGTGGGCCTGTGCGTGGAGGTGGCCTCTGTCTGGAGATCGGTTTCTCTTCTGTGTCCGTGCCTCTTGGCTCGGGTCCCCTGTGCTCCATGACTCCGGCATCTCCTGGCTTCTTCGCGTTGGTTTGGGATGGTTCCTGTGCTTGGAGCCACCTGAGTGTGCAGGGCCTAGGCCAAGGAGGAAGGGGAGGGGGGCTGACTGTGGGTCGCAATAGGAGTCTGAGGTTTTGGGGAGACCTTCCTGAGCTATCTTCACCCCAGTCCTGGTGCCAGTCATTTATCCAGTGTAATAGGGGGGAGGAGCGCTAAATTCTATGTCCAGCTCTGCTGTTTGCCAGTTGTAAGACCTCGGGAAATCTCTTCCTTCTCTAATTTCTCTTTTAGAAGATTGGAACCCACAAAGATAGCAATAATGGTGGTCCTTTATTTTGTGCTTACTTTGTGTCAAGCACTGATGTGTTCCACTTAATTCTCCCAATAGATACAAAAACTGAAGCTCAGAGAGGGCATATAATTTGTTCAAGATTACACAGCTAATAGGTGTCAGAGATTGGATTTCATCCCAAGTCTGACTCCATAAGCCATGGCCTTAACCAGCAGGCTAGCCAGCCTTTAGGACACACTCCCCAGTGAGAGAAGAGGGAGGTGAAAAGTTCGAGGACCCCCCGCTCCCTGTTAGGTTTTATTTAGTTCGTGGCCAGCAAAGACTTGCCCTGACCCGACCTCCTAGCCTTTCCTCACCTGGTGCTGCTGCCTCTGAGCTCCAGACTGAAGGGGCAGCAAAGAAGTGGCCTGTGACCATTGCAGGCCTTCTTCACACAGGGCTTGGGTGCTGGGCCCTGGGGTCAGCTTCCAAGACAGTTGCTGTTTCAATCCATCATCCATCCACCCTCCTCAAGGAGCAACCTCCCTAAGAGTTGGATACATGAGGCAGGGTCTCTGAGCTCTGTAGGCCTAGCTCCTCCTAGAGCTGAGGCAGTGAGAGGCTGTGGCTGAGGTTGGTCCAGCGAGTCCCTGAAACCTTTCTGAGCTTCAGTTTCCGCATCTGTTACAGAGGTTATTAAGACTCCCACGGGGAAAGCTGCTGCCGCTCACCCCGTGTCTTCTGGCTGCTTCCCTCTTTGCTGCCCCTCCCCACAGGCTCCCCCTCTGCACCTCCTGGGGACTGTCATGAATGGTGCCCCTTCCCTGGAGGACGGGGCCTTCCCCTCTCCTCCTCCCTTGCCACCACCCCCTCCCCCTAGTTGGCGGGAGTTCTGTGAGTCCCGTTGCCCTGGATTTTGCCCACCGTTTTCGCCTGTACCTGGCCTCCCACCCCCAGTATGCAGGGCCCGGGGCCGAGGCTGCCTTCTCCCGCCGTTTCGCTGAGCTCTTCCTGCAGCATTTGAAGCTGAGGTGGCCCGGGCCTCTGGCTCCCTCTCACCACCCGTCCAGGCCCCTCTGAGTCCTGGTGTGGAGATCCCGCCACATGACCTGTCCCTTGAGAGCTGCAGGGCGGGCGGGCCTCTGGCTGTGCCGAGCCCTTCTCCATCATCTGAGGACCTGGCCGGCCTCCTCCCTTCCTCGGTCTCTTCCTCTTCTACAACCTCCTCCTGGAAGCCGAAGCTAAAGAAACGCTTCTCCCTCCGTTCAGTGGGTCGCTCCGCCCGAGGTTCAGTCCGTGGCGTCCTGCAGTGGCGGGGGACCGTGGACCCTCCCTCCCCAGCCGGGCCCCTGGAGACCTCATCAGGCCCCCCAGTGTTAGGTGGAAACAGCACCTCCAACTCCTCTGGTGGGGCTGGGACTGTTGGCAGGGGGCTGGTTAGTGGTGGAACATCCCCGGGGGACAGATGGACTCACCGTTTTGAGAGGCTGAGACTCAGTCGGGGAGGAGGGACCTTGAAGGATGGAGCAGGGATGGTGCAGAGGGAAGAGCTGCTGAGTTTCATGGGAGCTGAAGAGGCAGCCCCTGACCCAGCTGGAGTGGGCCGGGGAGGAGGGGCAGCTGGGCCTACCTCAGGGGGAGGAGGGCAACCTCGGTGGCAGAAGTGTCGCTTACTGCTTCAAAGTGAAGGAGAAGGAGGAGGAGGAGGAAGTCACCTGGAATTCTTTGTACCACCCAAGGCATCTCGGCCTTGGCTCAGCATTCCCTGCTCTACCATCACGGATGTGCGGGCGACCACAGTGCTGGAGATGCCTGATCCGGAGAACACATTTGTGGTTAAGGTGGAAGGCTCCTCAGAGTATATCCTGGAGACAGCTGATGCTCTACATGTGAAGGCCTGGGTGTCTGACATCCAAGAATGCCTGAGTCCGGGGCCCTGCCCTGCTACCAGTCCCCACACCATGACCCTCCCATTGGCCCCTGGGGCCTCATTTCTTACAAGAGAGAACACAGACAGCCTGGAACTGCCCTGCCTGAATCACTCAGAGAGTCTGCCCAGCCAGGATCTACTGCTGGGACCCAGCGAGAGCAACGACCACCGCCTGTCCCAGGGGGCATATGGGGGCCTCTCAGACCGCCCTTCAGCATCCATCTCCCCTAGTTCCGCCTCCATTGCTGCCTCCCATTTTGACTCAATGGAACTGCTTCCCCCAGAGTTGCCACCCCGCATCCCCATTGAAGAGGAACCCCCAGCTGGGACAGTTCATCCCCTCTCAACCCACTACCCACCACTGGACATTCCAGAAACAGCCACAGGGTCATTCCTGTTCCAGGGGGAATAGAGGGAGGTGAGGGGGAGCAGCCCCTCTCAGGATATCTTTGGTACCACGGGATGCTCTCTCGACTCAAGGCTGCCCAGTTAGTACTGGCCGGAGGCACCGACTCCCATGGTGTTTTCCTGGTACGTCAGAGTGAGACGAGGCGGGCGAATATGTCCTCACTTTCAACTCCCAGGGCAAGGCCAAGCACCTGCGTCTGTCGCTGAATGAGGAGGGCCAGTGCCGGGTCCAGCACCTGTGGTTCCAGTCCATTTTTGATATGCTCAAGCATTTCCGGGTGCACCCCATCCCTCTGGAGTCTGGAGGCCCCAGTGATGTTGTCCTTGGCAGCTATGTTGTGTCCTCCCAGCAGCAGCAGGGTGAGCAGAGCAGGTCTGCAGGGGAGGAGGTGCCCGTGCACCCAAGAAGTGAGGAGGCCGAGAGCAGGCCGGGAACCATGCAGGGGTGTGCGAGGGAGATTGACGCTACCCTGATGCCTCCTGCACCCTCATGCCCTTTGGAGCGAGTGACTGTGTAACCGAACACCTCCCACGACCCACCCCCACCCCCTGAACCCCCTTCATGGACAGATCCCCCACATCCTGGGGCAGAAGAGGCGTCGGGGATGTCAGAAGTAGCAGCAGCAACAGCCACAGCAGCCAAAGAGAGGCAAGAGAAAGAGAAAGTGGGCAGGGGAGGGATCCAGGAAGAGCTGGTCCCCGTGGTTGAGTTGGTCCCCATGGTTGAATTGGAAGAGGCCATGACACCAGGCATGGAGGTCCAGGGAGGCCCTGGATCTAGTGGGGTCCCTAAAGCAACACCGATGGTGCAGCTCCAGCAGTGACCACTAGGAGGCGATGGAAAAGAAGGGGGCCACCCCAGAGCCATTGATAACCAGTACTCCTTTGTGTGACACCCTGCCCCCACCCTTTCTCCACTTTCTTGCTCCTTAGCCCTCAGTTCCTGAGATGGTGGCTGAGCAGGGACATAGAGGAGCAGTAGGAATCCCCTCCCCATATGCTTCCTTACCCTTAATGGCCAAGGGCATATATGTTGGTACAAGAAGAGATTCAAGCCGAAACCGGTTTGGCTCAGTGGATAGAGTGTCGGCCTGCAGACTGAAAGGTCCCAGGTTCGATTCCGATCAAGGGCATGTACCTGGGTTGCGGGCATATCCCCAGTGGGAGATGTGCAGGAGGCAGCTGATCGATGTTTCTCTCTCATCGATGTTTCTAACTCTCTATCTCTCTCCCTTCCTCTCTGTAAAAATATCAATAAAATATATTTAAAAAAAAAAAAAAAAGAAGAGATTCAAGAGTCCCGTTAACTCCCCAGTTCATACACTACAGGCGCCCCGTCCCCTGGGGAGGGGACTTGGGTTCCATTACCTCTCCAAGGGGCTCTATGGTCAGCCCCGCCCCTGGCGGCCATTTCCCCATTATCCCCAGCCCAAGGAGGGGTGAGGGGGAAGGGCTATCAGTAAATATTAAGGTGGTGGTGGTGGTTGTTTTAAACAAAATGGAGAAGAATAAATAAATAAAAGGGTTTATCTCAAAAAAACAAACAAAAAACCCCTACAAATTGGCAGTTACAAGATAGTCACAGAGATGTAGATTATAGCATAGGGTACATAGTCAATAATATTGTGATAAATATGTGTGGGGCCAGGTGGGTACTTGAAACAGCAGAGGACCACTCTGTAAAGTACATGATTTTTAAAACTACTTTGCTGTACATCTGAAACTAATATAGAATAATATTGAATGTAAATTATATTTGAAACATAAAAAAGGTTTATGTGCACCTATCAGTGATGGCGAACCTTTTGAGCTCGGCGTGTCAACATTTTGAAAAACCCTAACTTAACTCTGGTGCCGTGTCACATACAGAAATTTTTTGATCTTTGCAACCGTAGTAAAACAAAGATTTATATTTTTGATTTTTTTATATATTTAAATGCCATTTAACAAAGAAAAATCAACCAAAAAAATGAGTTCGCGTGTCACCTCTGACACGTGTGTCATAGGTTCGCCATCATGACCTAGATGCTTATGGGCATATATATATATTTGTGCTTTTTTCTCTTTTAAAAACTTAATATTAACTGTACATACTTCATTTAACCAGTTTCATTTGTCCAACAATACATTGAGCACATACTGTTATAGGTCACCAGTGCCACTTCCATTGAATTCCAGTGGATTTTCTGACCTAGATTGACTACTCTCTCTTCAAGATTCTCTAGCTCCCTTGCTTTTTAACACTACTATATTTTAACTTCTTGGTTTTCCTATCTCTTAAGTTTTGTTTTGTTTTATTTATTTTTTGACTGTCCTGCTTTTTCATCTAAAAGACTCAGTTCTTGACTTTCTGCTCTTTGGTTCATCCTCTCTCTTTTGAAAATGCATCCAATCTAATGGTTCAATGAGGGGATGACCAATAACTGTAGACTTTCAATATTGATCCAGAGTGTAGTCTCATAATGTTACTTGCCTTCTGAATATTTCTCTTTAGACAGATGTCTTTTATCATCTCAAATTTAGCACAATCGCTATTCTTTCTTATCACTTCTGTATTGAGCCTTGTAAAAAATGTCTTATCTTTCATTCAGTTCCCAAAACTAAAACTGGCTGGACTGAGTTGTTCTCTTCTGTTGCTTCTCACTTTTAGTTACCAGAATTCTATTTTTTAAAGCTTTTGCTCTATTTTTCTCATTTTCTTCCTTTTGATATGTCTTCTGCCTTAATTGGTTCTTTTATGAGTTTTATTATAATTGTTTTCTTTGTGCAAGTTATTTTGTATATCTAAGGCCCTGATTTCAATAGTCCTTTTGGAAATGTTCTTTATATGATTTCAGGGGTTCTATATAATTCAGCCAAATCTATTTCTGAACACTTGAGTGCGTCAGTTTTCTTATTATTAAAATGGTAATAAGATGCCTTCTAATTACGAGAATATCAGTAGGATTAGAAATATTAGACATTAAATAGAAGTCTTGTATATTGATAAACATTGGAAGATTTTTAGAAATTGCAGGGTTTGTGTTATCAGATCACTTTTCTATATTTTAATGTGAGGTAAGGAGGAGGATTGTTCAGAAATGATGCTAAGTTAACTAGACAGGGAACTGAGATTGGGGGCTCGTTTTATCCCTGCAGGAACCTGTAGCCAAACTCAGCTTCCCACAGGATTGCTAGTGTTCCTTCCCCCTGGCAGGGTAAACTCACTTCCTACAGGCTCCAAAGATGGTAAGTGCTGAGCAGCTGGTGTTCTGTAAAGAGGTGGCACCACATCTAGACCCTCTCTGGTGCCTTTTTACTGAAAAGGTTCCTCCCATGATTGCCCTTGAGAAGGAAGAGCAAGAAGGGGCAGGGTTTCATGATTGAATCTCAGACCCACACTGTCCATAGTGTATCCAGTTCCTGTCCTCTCTCTCCATGAGAACAGGAGGAGTTTGGGGGACTTGTGGATTCTTTTCTTTATTGACCCTGCCTCATACATTTCCCCTTTTCCCCGATAACACTATTCTTTAACCCCTGCCCTATAATGTGGTAGAATTTATCCTGAGTCTTGGTACCTGACAGATAGGACTGAGAATGGACCCACATTACATGACAAATAAGTGAGTCTGTAATTATGTCCTGACATATTCCTCCCCTGCCCCCTGTAGGAATCTGAAGTAGAGCCTATGAATGGTGAAGTAATGGATGATACTATTAAGACCTCTCTTATAATTGAAGAGGAGGACTCCACTAGTGAAGTTTTAGATGAAGAATTTAAATTGCAGCCTTTTAATTCCAGTGAAGACCCTACAAATCTAGTTCCGCTGGTGGTAGAATCTTCAAAACCCCCCGAGGCTGTTGCACAGGATAAGGTAAGAGGGAAATAACCTAATATTTTGTTTGCTTTGTTAATTCTCACCCAAGGATATTTTTTCCATTGATTTTTTAGACAGAGTAGAAGGAAGGGGGTGAGACAGAGAGAAATATCGATGTGAGAGGGACAAATCGATTGGTTGCCTCTCACATGAGCCCCTGGGAGTAAGCCTGCAACCGAGGCCGTGCCCTTAACCAGAATTGAACCCTGGACCTTTCAATCCGTGGGCTGATGCTCTAACCACTGAGAAAACTGGGTTGGGCTAACCTAACATTTTATAGTTAACATATTCTAGTGTTGGTGACATGGCAAGGGCAGAGTAGTATGTATATTTTCCTCCTTTAACATGTACAGTTTCTTTAGAAAAATTAAATTTTATACTCGATTCAGTATTTTACAAAGATGCAATCAGTAATATTTCATAAATTCAAATCTTTATAACCTATTCATTCTTACCAGATTTATGTTTACAAAATGAGTTTTACTTTGTAGGTAAAAGCTTAGAAAAATGGCTAAAAAAATTTTTGCCAAATATTTGAGTACCTATTTGCTTACATGATCATTTTAATTTGTTTTAATTAAGGAGGCATCAGATTAGTGGGAAAAACTTGGACTATTTTAAAAGAAATTTAATTTTTTATTTTGAATATTTAAATGTAAAGCTAAAAAACTATTGTATAGAATTACTTTATTAGCGTCTAGGATAAATAAATGAATAAAATTTCCATTCCCCTTACGTGTCATCTAACAAAACCGTAGTCAAATTTAGTGGGGTGGCACAGTGTCAAGTTCCAAGGGACTCTTGGTTCTGGCTCCAGTAACACCAAGAAAATAAAAACTTTTGAGCTAAAAGTTTTGAAAAATCTTGATATGAAGTTTAAAACATCTTAAGTACTTTTTGAGTTAAAATTATTCTTTTTATGATATCTTTAAAGCAAGAACTTAATGTATGCAAATTATCAAAGACAATTTTGAAGAAATTGACTTGTACTCAGAATATGTACACATGGTTAAGTAAAGTAATGAATACTGAAGTCTTTAAAATGCAGTTTAGTATCATTACATAATGGTTTCTAAGAATAATTTACATAAGGTCTATATTGCACAAGTTTGCTCACCAGGTTTTTATTTTTAGACCTCAAATGTAACTGACTCAGAAGTGTTGTTAAACGAAGGCCCATCTGATGGAAAGGGGCACACAGAAGAGAAACTGCCACAAGTTCCAAGAAAGAAGGCACATTTTGGGAGTTCAGACAATGCTGCCACTATCCCACATGAAGAGCAATCTGACAGTGGTTTTCCAAACTCTGCGGTAGCTGAATTTTCTGAGGAACCGATCTCTGAAAATTTGTCACCCAATACTACTTCCTCATTGGAAGACCAGGTTGAAGAGGGGGTGTCCGAGCCCCAGGAAACATCTCCAGCTGTTCCTCAGAGTTCTTTGATAGAAGTTGAACTTGAAGATGTGCAGTTTTCACAGAATGCAGGACAGAAGAACCAGTCAGAAGAGCAGTCGGAAGCATCTTCTGAGCAACTGGATCAGTTTACACAATCAATAGAAAAAACTGTGGATAGCAGCTCAGAGGAAATAGAAGTGGAAGTGCCTGTTGTAGACAGGCGGAATTTAAGAAGAAAGGCCAAAGGATACAAAGGACCCGCTAAGAAGAAAGCCAAGCTGACCTGAATGAAGAAACGCAGATCACAAATCCTCTTTGTAACATAACTGTTTTTAAGATATGGTAATAAATAGCACGGGGCACAGGACAAAAATTCCAGAATTTCACTCTGAGCTTATTTATGATGCTGTTTTTCCCTCCTTCTTAGGACTTAGGATTCACCATTGTTTTTAATTTTCAGGTTACTTTGAGTAAATACAGTTTTTTAATTTTTATTAACCATGTTTTGATTTGGGGAAACCAGATCATACTGTATTTTCTTTAGTAGTTGGGGCCATCTGACTATTAATATTTCAGGATATATAAATTAAAAAACAAAGTAGTAGGCTTTTCATTGTGAGGATTACAGAAATCTTTTACACTTGAGTTTTAAATAGTAAACTTGGGGAGTGTTCTAGAAGTTTTAGCTTAACTATCAAAACTAATCACCATTTTAAAAAATGTAGGCATGCCTAAACAAAAATGGCAGTAAATTAGAATAATTTCGACTAAATGAGAGCACAAATACATAAATTTTTGGTCAAAGGTTTATGAGGGCGGTATTTTGGCCTCTTAATTCATTGTAGTTTAGATGCAGTTTCTTCATTTGACTTTTCCGAATAGGTACAAACTTTCCAACTCACTCCTTATAACATCTAATATTAACAGTAGTGCTAGGGATTTAACTCTGGCATGTAGGTACTAATATAATTATTTAAATTTTCTTTTGAAGTTGGGAACTATACTTTTGTCTTCACCTAGTTAACACATATACATTAGAAGAGGCCCCTTCCTAAGAGTTCTTCTTAATCCTGCTATTGCCCTTATTCTAGAATCTTATTTATATTCCTCTCAGCGTTCATCCACTTCCCTCACAGAGTGAATCCTGTCAAAAAATCTGCCTGCCTGCCTGCCAGCTTATGCCCTCAGCATCACTTTGGGTAGGTATGAAACTACGCCCCACTTAGATCTGGATGACAGCAGTAACGCTGCCCTAGGAACTGTTACCAGAGCTTAAGTCAAATTGAGGCTTTGTCCCTTCGGTCTTGCTTTTACTCTTGATTTGTTTTGAGGACAGGTTACAAGCCAGCCTGTTCATTGTGTTGCCATAGCAAAGGCCTTTGCCCAGGAAAACTTAAAAACAACAAAACCCTCAATTGTTAATTTTTGTAGAGTAATTTATTTAGATATGAACAAAATGGTTATTCTTAGGATCCAAAGAGAAATTCGAAATAATACCGCTCTTTGGAAGTATTATGTGTACTCAGATGTGTACTTAAGTTGAAGAATGCTTTGAGACCACTTAGATTGTTTTTAAAACAGGCTTGGTTCATTATGAAAAAATGAGTTAGAACTTTTTGTCATTATTTGACAAATAATGCTAAGGATTGATGTTAAATGTTTTTTAGTCCACAGTCAAGTTATGTCATTACATTTTTCAGGGGGATGTTGGTATTTTAGAAAGATCCAAGTTCTTTAAGCAGGCAAAATGGCAAACCTTCCTATTCATTGTAAAATTTTGAGTACTTGTATCCCCAAATTTTCTTTAATTATTGGTTGGGATAAGCCAGATTTAGGGCTAAATGAAAATTACAGCACTTTGGCTGTTTTCTCAAAAAATAAAAATGCTAAATAAGTGAAAGAAAAAAGTATGAGTAGTACTAATTCCCTATCAAATGTTTACGTTCTTACATGTTGTATGAAAAACATTTGTTAAAACCACAAATAGGGAATTAAAGATTAAGATTTAGTGAGTTCTTATTCTTAACCTTTCCATTTTAAATTTATAAAAATCCAACACTTATTTTACTTGGGATTATTTTCTCTTCAAAATACTTTCTATAAAAAGGTGGAATTTAAGAAGGTTGAAATCACTGACAACTCTTGATGTGTGAATATGGTTACTGAGTCTACAAAAAGAAATGGTTATTCATGTGATTGCCAGGGACTAACAGTTGAACTTGTTTGGTTTATTCTTAAACAAGATGTGCATTTTAGGCAATTTCAAAACTTTTTGTTCAGCACACAAGAAAACTTGTTACATGTTGTCTGGCAGAAAAATGTTATTTTGGCGCTTATAGATAGTAAAGGAGGAAAAGTGAGTCACATGAAAAACCCTAACATTCACATTCAGTAACATGCTTTTTTTTTCAGTAAATGAGTTCTATACTCAGTGAGTATAGAATTTATAACAAAATATATCAACTAGAAAACTAAATAAAACTTAATCAGATACTTGTTTTTGCAAATCGTTAGTAAAACTTTCAGAACTAGAGGACAGAAATTTGATTTCAAACAGCTAGTCCAGTTGTTGAGTATCCAGTCACATTCTGTAATTCTTTGTGGATTGTTTTGTTTAGAAGTCTTATTCGTGGAGAAGGAAGTTCACTTTAGTTTGTGTAAATATGTATTTCCTTGTGTAATATAGAGCAGTTATTAACAAAATTTTAGTTCTTTTAAGTTTATTCAATTGCTGGACATCACAGAAATAAGTATATTTAAGAATTTATTATAAAGCTCTTCTACAGCTTTTAAAGATGAGGGTCTATTATGATTTTTTATAAAATCAAATAGCATGACAGACTATCAGTCACTTGCTTAAATTGTGTCTCTATTCATGGTGTTTTCCATTAAGTACAGAGAATTATCACAGGAAAGACAACTACAGTGATTAATGGTTCACTTTTTGCTGACCACCAGAACACCATGCTACCTAAAATGGTTTTAGTGACTTTAGAAAATTATCTTGGTGGGTTGTGATTGCATCAGATTGAGAGTTTACGTAGCATCTGATATCTGCTCTTATGTTCTGCTTTACCCTTAGGGATTACCTTCTAAATTTGGTCACACCAGCAATCTGAAACAGAATCTTAAAGTGTAAATAAAGAATTTATATTGACATTACTCATCCATGTGACAGTATTTTACAAATATATTTCTGCCTGGTATGTCCACTAACATCAGTATTGTTCAAGGTGTTATCCGGTATTTCATGGATGCGATGAGTTACGTTTCTGTCAATATCAGGCTTTGTATAAGTTAATTTGCTTATTTTAAAAAACATCTCAGTTCTGTAGCATCATGGGCTTACCTTTAGTCAGTGTTTTCTTTCACCTTCCAAAACCTAAGTCGTTCATTTCTATTAGTGGCAAAATCATGTTAAAACTAATTGTAAGAAAGGTTAAGCTTCTGTCATTGTGAAGTAATTGTATTATACTGGATAGTCATTCCCAAGGACTAGCCAGCCTTTCTTTTCCTGTGTTCTAAACCTTTTATTGTTTATAGAACTTAGAAAAGATATTACAATATTTAGAATAGCAGGTCTTACTGAAATTTTCTTGGTAGTTGTTTTTTTAGTTTAAAAGTAGTAATTAAACATATATTTTGTGATTGTTCTTGGTCTGTGTTTTGAAATTCTTTCCCTTTTTTCCCTAATTTCATTGATGATGTATTTGGATACAGAATGTGTTCATACTGGTTGTACCTTCAGAACAGATTTTTAAAAATAAACAATTTAAAACAACTATAGATTAATATATAGACACCCTAAAGCTCAAAGCCACCAACATAATTCATATCACAAAGGTGCTTTGACAATTACCCTAAAACATGATCTTTTTTATGTGACTACAAATATATTTCTCTTTTAAGGGCATCAGTGCAGTCTTTTTCTTTTTAAAACCATTTTTTCTGGATTTAAACAAATTTCAGACTCTAAAAATAGAAATATACAGTGGGGCCTTGACTTAGGAGTTTAATTCGTTCCGAGACCGAGCTCGTTAACTCAAATTACTGTCAACTCAATGCAAAAAATCGGCTGAGAGACAGCTGCTATCTCAAAAAACTCATTAGTCAGGACACTCGTAAGTCAAGGCCCCACTGTACTACCGAGTTCAGAATACAGAAAATGCTAAAAGTATAAACATTTTGGTGTTTTTCATGTTGCAAGTAGAAAGCACAGTTCCAAGTAGGTGTTACTATATATGGTAAGAGAAGAAAATGTTTAACATACTAACTACTGACTTACTGTCTGAAGAAATTAAGAATTACGGGAGAAAAGATTTATCTAAATTTCTTCTGAATTCGACTTACTGTAGTGTACCTTTTCTCGTATGCCTTCAATGTGAATACTTTATAAACTTAACATTACCAGGTGTGTTAATGCTACATTTTTAGGACTAATGATGAATAAATAATGAGGTGAGGTTTTAGATATGACAGTTTTATAGCGTAGGCCCCATATTAAGTGTGCATTAACTCTTAGGATAAAAGGTGTTAACTACACTGGCTTTCCAGAAATGTTAGATCTGCATGCTGAATACCCACTTATTAAAACAGATAGTTATTGATGAAGTAGGAAACTGTTATAATTGCTTTTTTTAATCATTCAATTTCATGAGCACCTAAGTGATAAACAGACCCCAAAATAAAGACCAATTTGTAAAACTGGGCCATTTTAATGTTCTTTACAATAGAATAAATAATTCTCTTGATGATTGCAGACATGTTAGCTGTTTGATAGCACTCAGAAACATCATAGTAAAGGAATTTTCCTGATTGGTGCATAATCTTCAACAATTACAAAGTTACTTGTATGAAACTGCTGTCAAACCAGTAAGACTGCATTTATGCACCCATCATTTTCAGGATTGTTGGTAACCTGAGCATATTTTCCTAAGGAAACAAAATGAAGAAAAAGAGGGATGTTAGCTAATAAAAACTTTAAAAAATATAACCTTTGCCCCAATATTTCTAATTTACTACTTTTAAGAGTTATAGAAGATACTAGAGGCCCAGTGCATGAATTCGTGCATGGGTGGGGTCTGGCTGACCCACCCCCGATCCAGGTGGTTGGCTGACCGGCCCCACCCCCTGGTTGAACTCCTGGCCAAAGGGACAATTTGCATATTAGCCTGTTATTATATAGGATTCTTCCCTTTCAAAGAACATTCAAGTTTAGGAATATCTGGGCATTAAAAGCAGAAAAGCAAGAAAATGAGGAAAAGGAATTTATAATTACATGACATTTTAGTTTTTCATTACCACTGAAAGAGTGTGGCTGTTTGATATATGCTTTCCTTCTTCCACTCACGGTTAATTTATTATATTCCAATATTTTTTAGTTATAACCATATCTTGGCATCTGTTTCCCTGGTAATTAATTTCTTTTTAAATATAGCATCAAAGTCTAGCAATGTAGTACATCTCATATAACTGAAACTAAGTTAAATTATATTCATAACTACTTTTTCTACAAAAAGTATTCTTCCTAAAGATATAAATCTGCTTTACATCAAGTGTGAACTTATCTATGTCTTCCACATTACAGTTTGCTGTGTACTTTATGTCAACTTGAAAATTTGTTTTTAGGATTACAAGAGCAGCATCCCCATACTAACAAATTTACTTACCCCAAATAACCTTGCCTCCTTGTGTCACAAGGCCCAACTCACTCACGTTCACCTCGATGACAGTACCTTTGGTAATAACACCCAAGGTTGTATAAAGTGGGGAGGAGGGATTCTTCTTTACACCAAGTATTGGCAGGCAAAAGGTAGCTTTCAGTTCAGGATGTGTTACATGGGCCTTCTTGAAACGTAAGCCCTAGTAAGTCAAATGCAAGGATGTTTGAGTCCAAAAGGTTAACAATGAGTAATGGTCTTTTTTTGCTTATCTTTTCCAAGTCTCAAAAACAAAAAACAAAAGAATTGAAAGTAAAATCTTAAGGCATCAAATAAAAATGCAATTCTACAAACTAAAAATCTCAGTTACAGAATAAATTTCCCTATAGTTAATTCTACAGACTAAAAATCTCAGTTACAGGATAAATACAATTACCCTACTTTTTTTAAAACAATAAAAAAAAGATTAGCAGGCTAAATGACTTGTTCACAGGTTAAATGGTGTATGGATGCAATCAAATTTAAGCATTCTGATTCCAAGTCTTTATGTACCTCAGCTAACTTCCATGATGAAAGTTGTTAGCTTTCTTTGCACTGATGGTAACACTGGTCAAGGACTGGAAGAGACCATAGTCACCCAGTCACCTCGATGTGGTCTTTAGGAATGTGGCATGTTAAAAAGCCACAACACTTTGCAGTCTCTTGAATGCGATAATTAACTAAATAGAGGTAGGCAGCAAATGATACTAAATCAAGTTCTTAGTAAAGGACTCATTAATCAAGCTGGCAAGGAACCATTCAGAATGCCATCTGGTTAATTCACAAAATATGTATCTGCCAAGCTACTGAGTCTAGAACAACCTGACTGGCATGTCCTCTCTCTGTAGAACAGATAAGATCACCAAATTGTATTTAGAAGATTATGAATATGAAATCAATTAAGGGGAGTCCATGATGGAATCTAGAGATTGGTGGATGGGATGATTTCCATAAATGACCTAAATTGAGCATTTTAAGCTTTGCAGGCCATATGGTCTCTGTTGAAAACTACTCAAATTCTGCAGAAAAAAAATAGCCATGGACAGTATCAACAGGCATGACTGTGTTCCAATAGAACTTTATTTATAGAAACAGCCTGTTTGACATTTTAATCCATTAAAAATTCAGGTTGAGAGCTAGAGTGACACTGCCAACTTTCCTCTGATTCTTTGTTTCTCTAAGCAGGCTGGGTACCCAGTTGGGAGAATAATTCAGTCTGTTTAAAGGCTTTTGTAAAAATGTATCTTCAATTATATTTGGTTGTGGTGGGGGGTGGAGGGGATTGGAGGGGAAGGGGAGAAATAGGTCGACTGGTTTTGACCATTACTGCTGTCAATAAGAAAGTAAAGTCCCACTTTTACATTAAACTTGCTTAATGCAATGTTTGCATACTGAATGTTTTCAAGCATTAAGCTACTCACCTTAGTAAACCAGAATTGACTCTTGAAAACAGCCCTACTCAAGTTTTTTAACTGCTCTCAGACAAGAGTCAGGCATATAGATCACTTACTGAATGAATAAAATTACTTCATGTGGAAAATGAAGATCCTAATAAGCCATTTTTAAAAGTGAAGATTCACTGACAACGTAATGGAAATTCTTTTTTTCATCTCAAATCTCTTATGAAACTGAAGACAAGATTTTGATGATAGTGGAAAAGTCCTAAGCAATCCTTTAAAATTTAAAATAACAAAAACAATCTTAAAATGTCTTTCAAGCTATACTAGTATTTTATATCAATTTAGGAATTTCAGGAAACGAATGTACTTTATCTAGTTTAATACAGGAACTAATATTTAAGCCACTGCACTCTTGCAAGGGACTTACCATTGGCCTAATGAACCTTTCATATTTAGGTGGTTTTCGAGTAAAGCCATCTCCAACAAAGCAGACTTTAGTAACCATCCTCTTCCATGCTTTTTTCTTTCTCTTTCCTGTTCGAATAACTTTTAATACCTCTGTTTCTCCCTGGGCACGAACTTTGGGCAAAGGGACTTCCCATTTTCCCTAAAAATAGACCACAGTTAAAATTTACATTGTTAGTAAAAGACAATGGGAATAAGAAGTCATGCACGTTTTAGTTGTACAAAGCCGTACTTCACTTTTTTCCTTAACCAACAAGATCATGGCTCCAATGTTTTCTAGAGGTCTGCACTGTTTCCTTACAAACCCCCGAATAATTGAAACTAGTTTACATATCATAGGTACGTTATTAAATAAAATGGTTTGCTTAAGCTAAAAATCTTAAAGCTTTGTTATGGATGAAAAATACCACCTGTACTAAGGCAATGACTTCTTAGGCAGTATATGTGCTTACTACTAAAGTGTAAAACTGGAAGACTGTCTTTTAACCTATCTTTGTATTTCTACCTCAAATGGATTTTTAGAATGCATTACTAGACAAAATGCATCACCAGATATTTTGTACTTCCCTAGAATGCACATTAAATTCTGTGAAAAAACTGAAGAAGTGAAAGACAGTAGGAAGAATTCTGGACTTATTACTAATGCAAAGGTCTGAGAGGTTATTCTACCAATTCATAGACACGTGACCATGCAGATGATTTACAACCTCCCAGACTCCAATCTCTTCATCTGTAAAATACGGAGGGGATAGCTAGATAGTCTCTAAAGTTTCTTTCGGTGCTAAAGTTCTACCATTCTCATTTTGGATAATTACGTAACAAAAAACCCGCAGTAACATCTTAAAAATGAAATTTGGAGACTGTGAAAGTTCTTTAAATATAGTTACCACATATCCTACTGCTTCCTGGATTTCTACTGATCTACCACCAAATGTGTAAGTAGCATCTATGCCTTTCCTCCATTTTTAGCAGAATTTAACACTAAGCACAATCCAGAAAAAATTTTTAAGAACTGCTGAATTTTTATTTGTGTTCAATCACCTGGGGATGTTTCTCACTATCCAACCTTTCCTTTTTTAATAAATATATTTTTATTGATTTCAGAGAGGAAGGGAGGAGAAACAGAAACATCAATGATGAGAGAGAATCACTAATCAGCTGCCTCCTGCACGCCCCTCACTGGGGATCGAGCCCGCAACCAGGCATGTGCCCCTGACTGGAATCGAACCCTTCAGTCCACAGGCCAGTGCTCTATCCATTGAGCCAAACTGGCTAGGGCTCCACTATCTAACTTTTAACCCAATTTTAACACACTGCACGGCAGCATAAACAAGCAGCGGTTGTCTCCTTCTCCACAAAAGCACAGTATTAGGAGCTGTCAAGTTTAGGAAGCTGTTAAAATACTAAATTTGAGATTCACTGCTTACTCACTTTTTGTTTTTAAATAATTTTTTAAAAACTAAAGATTCGTTGTTTTCTAATAAATTTTCAAGAAAACTAATACTAAAATGTGCTTGCTGGCTGATGAGAAAGCAATTATATTACTTAAACATTTTACACAAAATGAAATTTACAAAGACTTCTACATCTAAGTGAGAATAGTTGGACTTCATGTTTACAATTAAACTGGGCACTGGTCCGAATGTAGTGAGTTATCACAAACAACTGTACACAGTCTGTTACAATTAAACTGAAAAAACAAATCAAGCCCCTCAAATTTGATTTTAATTCTCCTGAACAAAAAAAAGGTAAAGACTTAATTTTTTATTGCTTACCGCTTTTTCTTTTCGTTTTTGTTTAATCATATTGGAAAGTACTTTAGCCCGGGACTGTCCCTCTCTGTCCAGTAGATATGCAGGTACTGCTCCTTGTGGAGTCTTTTCATCATTCTTTTGTTTGGTGTTTCGTTTTTCATGCATCTTGATACTACCAAAAAGGGAAAAGATTCAACATTACCATTTTTAATAACTTACTCAAAAGATGTTAACTTGCTACAACAAACGATCACTTACGTCTTTTTCATCTGTATTTTCTCAGCATGGCGCTGTTTATGGTAGAGCTTAGCCTTCAGACCAATCATCTTTTTCGCCTTCTTTGAACGTTCGTGAGCTTCTCGACCTTCCTTCTTTCTCTTTTTCTCATGGTAATCCAAACGGTATCCATAGCGCTTCCGGTGTAACTCAATATACTCGTTTTGTGGCTATCATGATACAAGAAATGTTAACTTTAATTTCTTTTGAGCAACATATGAGATACAGAAGATTCTATCTCACCCAAATGTTCTCTTCCTTAAGTAACACTTGCAGTATTATCTATTATCATGATATATGTTAAATAAATTTTGATCGTGGATGATATTAGGCATCAGGATATACATTTAATAATCTCAGTGAAAGTTACTGTTCACTGAAGGGAACTGCCCAAAATCCACTTAACTATACCAAAGGGATGATCTGATTCAGGAGCTCACACAGTTGTCAGTTTTGACAAACTATACAGTTGTTTAAGCACCAAAATCAAGATAGAAAATATTTCCAACCCCCAGAAAGTTGCCTTGTGCCACTTGGCAGTCATTCCTCTTTTACTGCCTCCAATCTGGTTTCTTTTGCTCTAGTTTTGCCTTTCCCAGAATGAAATGCAAATGGAATCTACAATATCTACCTGTTGCATCTCGCTTCTTTCACTTAGCATAAGGCTTTGGAGATTCCCCACATGTTGCATGTATTAGCACTTCCTTTACTTCGCTGCCAAGTAGTATCCATTGTATGGACAGACCACCATTTGTTTATCCACGGACCAGTGATGGATACCTGTTTCCTCCTACTTTTTAGCGAATAAACATGCATATACCTCTTTGGACATATGTCCAATGTTCTGAAGTGGCTGTACTATTTTGCATTTCACCAGCAATGTCTGAGATCCCCTTTGCTTTTTAACTGCCTATTTTATATGCCAATTCTGTTTCAATATGAAGCCCCAGTCCATTTGGATTTTAATACTGCAAAAATAAAATAATGACACAAAGCCAACTCCACGGAGAATAATGCTAAGTAGCAGGGTACTATGCATCAGGTGTGGTGTTTTCAACTGCTAGCACACAAACTGCAGCAACCAGGTGCAAGGTACGTGGAATTTATGTTGCACAGAAACAGAGTACAGCTGTAGTAGGACCTGGCAGCCAGGCGTGGCTGTGAGCCGGCCAGTGCCAAGGCATGCCCTCAGCTTCCTCAGCAGTGAAATGAGGTGGCGGCGGGCTTAATGCCTACAGCGTAGGGTTATCGCTAGGTTCTGGCACCGATGGCCCCGCAACATATGGTAAAACCAGAAATTTAAAAGAGTGATCCCGTCTTGCTCTCAAGCTTGTGCTCTGGCAAATACCCCATTCTGTGTCCCCAGTGTTAAGGTTTCTTTTCATCCCACGGAGCCGACCCCTCGAGGTCTATTCTCATTCCCTCCAGCTGAACCTCACTTCCGCCTACCACCTCTGACCCCAGCCCCAGCGCCCCAGGGACCCTAGACCCCACCATCTCTGACGCCCCACGTAGCGAGCGCCCGAGGCCACCTCCTTACCATGGTGACGGCCGCCGGGCCGCCGGGTGCAGTCCCCCGGGCGCGAAGAAGCTCTCAATTCTCGGGTTTCAGAGACACGCGAACCACCTCTTCGCAACTCGCGACAGGAAAGGGGCACTTCTCAAACGACCGACTCCAGCGAAAGCTCGACGCATTCGTTCCGAGCTCTGTTCTCCGCCTTTAGCGAGAAGAGCGGAAGTTGTTGGTCGGAGGCGTTTGAGTGTTGCACCACCGGAAGTAGTGTGCTGCAAGTGTCGGGGCAGTGGGGGCAGAAGCGAGAGGATATAGGATCGGTTCTAGAGGCACCACGGCGTTCCCCGAGGTAGGCGGACGTTGCGGCTTGCTGTCTGTGCAGACTTTTGCGCGGCCCGGACTCCCGCTCACAACAGCCTGGAGGGAAAACGCTGGCTTCCGTGATGCGCCTGAACGCCAGGTGGGTACCGAACCGCTTGGCGCGGCTCCGCGTGCCTAAGACCTTGCCCGCCTGGGGCACCGCTGACCTTCAAGGATGCAACAGCCCTTCTTATGCCATCGGGTGTTAAACAGCTTTTAGTGAGCACTGAAGCATTCTCCAGTCTAAGGATGAATAACTCAATGGTTAACCCTGGTAAGATACCACTCTTCTGCCCACGGGGAAGAAGAAAACCACCGAGGTGCCGTAAGTGCTATAGGTCAGAAAAACGAGGCGTTGTGCCAGGCACTGCTGGTAGAAGAGCCCTGCTTTGGGGGAGCTCACAGTAGTGGAGAGAACGTGTAAATACCCTATTTGTCATGAGTGAATATAAACTCCAAGTGTTATAAAAACACCGAGAGGGTAGTATTAAAACTTTGTGGGGAATTAGGAAAGGCTTCCAAGGAGCTTGGAGGTTGAGTAGGAATTTGCCGGGGAGGGGCTTTGGGAACTCCAGGACGCTTTCAGGCGGCGGCGACCGCACAGGTGTAAAGGTGGCAGAGCGCGGCGTGCTGGGGAATTCTGGTACAGCTCCCCAGCGTAGAGCAGGGAATAGGAGAGTGCAGAGCTGTGAAGGGAGCTGGGGTAGATTTATGATAAAAACCTTAAGGAAGGAAGTGACAAGATGTGGTTTATTTGAAGGTATGTGTTAATGGATTAAAACAGCATTTCCCACTTGAGTGATTTGAGGACTACCTTGTAAGACTGGTCATAGATGAATGTCACCTGTGTTATTTACTTCATATTTTACTATGTTATATTATTTACTTAACATTTCCCCATACATTGTCTTATGTAAACTAATTTAACTTCATCACATCACCTTAAACAACACTGTGTATAAAATCACAGGATTTGTTGGCTATTTTTTCTAATTATTTAGTAAACAATTTTTTTTTTTTTTTTGGTCTATAACCTAAAATAATGATGGGCACTCTCTTTGGGAAACACGGTGTTGGAGTAAGTGTCTCAAAATTTTTGGTCTATTGGAACCCTTCACACTCCTAAAAATGATTCAGAACTCTAGAGAGGTTTGTTTATATGGGTTATAATTGATATTCAAATATTAGAAATTAAAGCAAAACGTTAAAATATTTTAGTCACTCATTAAAAAGTTATACGTCCATTAAATGTTAATGTAAGTAATAAGTTTTATGAAAAATGCCCAGTTTCCAAAACAAAAATAGTTTGAAGAGTGTTTTACTTTGGTTTACAATTTTGTAAGTCTCTTTAATGCAGTGGTTGTGAACCTTGGCTGCATATTAGAATCACCTGGGAATCTTTTTAAAATCCTGATTTCTGGGCCCCATCCTCCAGAAATTCTGTTTCTTTGTTACTAATGTTGTGGCTCCACCCCAAAACAAAGAAACAGAATTTCTGAAGGATGAGGCCCAGAAATCAGGATTTTAAAAAGATTCCCAGGTGATTCTAATGTGTAGCCAAGGTTGACAACCACTGCTTTAATGTCTGATGTAGTAGAAAACAGCTGGCATCTCATTCCTGCTTCTGTATTTGTTACTATATATCTTTTTAAAAATTTTTTGGTTGAAGTGTAAGAAGATTCAGCCTTATACATACATGTATTTATGATTGGGAAAGGAAAGATTATTTTAATTATCTTTTCAGAAAATTGTGGACGCTGTAGTAGGCTTTGACTAGTGATAGTTTCTTAAAGGTTAGTTGCCATGGGAAAGCAAATCATACTAGTGAACTTTTTCTGTTCTGTTATGTTAGAATCCATTGTTCTATTTTAGAAGAGATCTAACGTGCATGATTTTGCAAACATCCTGCACTTTGGCGTTAGAAATGAAGAGGGAGTGGATTCAAGATATATTTAGGAAGTAAAATCAAAAGGATTTGGTGACTTCCTGAATATGGATAGTGAATATTTCTGTCTTAAGATACAGAAAAAAGCAAATTTAAGAGGAATAATAATCTTTTGACATGGCTTCTTACATAATATTGGGCACACTGGTTTAACCCTATCTGTTTTTGTCTCTCCATCCAATCAAATGCTTCCATGCATTTCTCATAGCTTTGTTAGTGTACTCGAAACATAGAGAACATTTACTAACATATTTAGTAAATGTTTTAAAACTAAAGATGCTTAGTTTCTATAATTATAGAAGAGGACTTGCTTTTGTATATTTTTTTACATATTTATGGTAGAAAAAATCAGAATATACGGATAATTAAAAAAGTTATATTACCAATGAAAAATTACCGACATGTAGGTAGATGTTTAACCTTTCTATACTTAATTCTATACATTTTACATAAAAATTTTGGTTGGTATGATATATTTTTATAATTTAAATAAATCTTTTTCTATACTATCTTTGTATATTTTTTTGAAGAATTAAAAGCATGTTGAAAAGAACAAGGAACACTTTAAGCTTGGAACTGTATTCCTCATGTTTAGTCAGAATTTCCATTTTCTGAAAAATGCATTGTTTTTGATAGCTAAAAATATTGTTCCTACTTTTTAAAAGTAATACATTTTCACCACATATCTACATACGCCTTACATATGTATTACTGACATGGAATATGTAAACTTAGTTTTATAATCTTGTATATTTCTTTTTCAGAGGATAACAGTTTAGAGGGCCAAGATGTTGTCCAACTTGAGGATATTTGCAGTGAATCATAAGAAAATATCCAGCTTGCACATTTGTGTAAGTTTTTCTTGTAAAATTAAATATACTTCATTTACTTTATTTCCCAAAGGAGATAGATAGATAGATATATATATATCTTTTTTACAGGTATGGGAGAACCTGTAACCAAGAAGAAGCATGCCTTATCATTAGTTTATAAATTCATTTTACTGCTTTAAAACCACCTTTGCAGCATTTTGAAGAATATCTATTTCTGTATTCCATTTTGAGGTCATTAGTGGCCCAAACAATTACAGTTTTTCTCTAGTGTTTTCATTGCTAATGCTTTTAGACTACACACACTGTCTTACCTTGATCATTACCTTGGTGAAAATTTTAATAGCTTTGAGTTTCTTCTTTACTTTTAAAATATTTTCCTAGGATAATAGTGCTTTATTGCTAGAAACTTGGTAACTAATGAAGAAATAATATAGAAGGCACAAGCTTTTATATTCCATGATGATATAAAAGGCAGTTTGTGGCAGCCCCAAATCATTACATACTCTTAACTGTAACAATTCCAAATACATTGTCAGCCATTAAATGTGTATCTAGTGGTCCAAGTATAAATTGGGATGGAGAATATTCAGTATCTACGTGGGACCATTCGAAGATTCCTGGGCAACTTTTTAAAATGCCAGCCCCTGCTTCCCCCACCCCAATGTTTTTTTGTTTGTTTGTTTTTTAATTGATTTCAGAGAGGAAGGGAGAGGGAGTGATAGAAATCTCAATGATGAGAGAGGATCCTGCACACTCCCCCACAACTAGTGATGGAGCCTGCAACCCGGGCATGTGCCCTTGACCGGAATCGAACCTGGGACCCTTCAGTCCACAGGCAGACGCTCTATCCACTGAACGAAACCTAGGGCCCAAATGTTTTTTAAAAGCTTTCCAGGTGATTCTAATCTGTAGGCACTCTTTTAAATCCTGAAAACATCCAATAGTTTTAGAGTTCATGACCCCCACCATCTCTTTGCAGTTGAAGGAGTAGCCAGTGAGAGACCTTTTTAATATTAATGAGTCTCTGGAAACTTCAGGATCTTGGTTCTCAAACTGTAGCTATCAGCATCACCTGGAGAGCTTGTTATAACACCGATTGTTCTGCCCCATCTCCACAGCATCTGGTTCCGTTGTTTGGAGTGGGTCCTGAGAGCTTGTCTTTCTATCAAGTTCTCTGTGATGATAAATGCTGCAGGTCTAGGAGAACTGGCATCTAAGGTCAGCTTAAAATAGCAAACTAGTCTTAATTTTATTCTTTGTCTTTCCTGTAGTATAATTTGGGTTGTCACTTTTAAAAAGAATTGGAGTTAATAAATTGGGACTGCTTTAAGGAGATTTAAAGTATTTTGTCCTCTGACAAAGCATAGTTACGATGTTAAAACTACTGTAATGAGTCATGCTGACAAAGTTAATGTCGTTTCTTTTTCTCCTCACTAGAATATGTATTGCTCTAGAATGAGAGCAAGTTTAAAACGAATAAAGCCACTTGTGCCTCTTGGAAGAAGTTACAGTTCCCTGCCAGGTAATACTGTTAGATTCTTCTCATTTTACTTACATTGCTTGCTTCTCTCTACCTCTTCCCTCTTCGTCTCCTTTCCTCCCTCCTTCTCTCATTGACCCCTCCTCGTCCTCTCTCCCTTTCCTCCTCTCCCTTCTCCTCCTTTCTCCTCCCCTTCCTCAGTCTCTCTCTCATTTGTAAGCGTCTCCCTTATTCAGGGGCTCCAACCATTTTGGAAATAGTGGCTCCTTTTACTTCTTGGCTATTTCCTTGAGATTATCAGGAGTAGGGAGTATTCTGATAGATGTCAGGAGGGAACACCAATAGACTTCTTCATGCTCCTCATCTGCTGGTCATCCTAATAAGCCGAATGAAGGGAAGGGTTGAGTCAGCTTTAGTAGCTGGCTCAAAAGTTTAGCAGGTGAGTCTACTTGTAGAGTGCTCTTGCTGAAAATTGATTTTCTAGTACATTTCTAGTTTTTATACAAAAGTGTTTTCTGTCAATAGAGCTTTACCAGAATAATTTATTTTGAAGGTTCTTGAGAAGTAGTTTGGTTAACTCTCTATCTGGGATAGTTTAGGGTAGCTAATAGGCTATTAAAAGCTGGGAGCCTGATACAACTTAACAAAAGGAAGATTAAACAATCCATTCAAAAAAGGGCAAAGGACCTAAAAAGACACTTTTTGAAAGAGGCCAAGAAACATATGAGAACATGCTCAAAGTCACTAATCATCTGAGAAATGCAAATCAAAACAACATCTCACCCCTGTCAGAATGGCTATCATCAACAAATCAACAAACGACAAGTGCTGGAAAGGATGTAGAGAAAAAGGAACACTTGTGCACTGCTGGTGGGAATGCAGACTAGTGCAGCTACTGTGGAAAACAGTATGGAGATTCCTCAAAAAGTTAAAAATGGAACTCCCATTTGACCCAATAATCCCACTTCTAAGAATATATCCCAAGAAATCAGAAACACCAAGCAGAAAGGATATATGCACCCCTATGTTCATAGCAGCACAATTTACAATAGCTAAGATTTGGAAACAGCCTAAATGCCTATCAGCAGATGAGTGGATTAAAAACTGGTACATCACAATGGAATACTATGCTGCTGTAAAAAAAAGAAGGAACTCTTACCATTTGCAGTAGCATGGATGGACCTGGAGAGCATTATGCTAAGTGAAATAAGCCAGTCAGAGAAAGATAAATATCACATGATTTCACTCATTTGTGGAATATAATGAACAACATAAACTGATGAACAAAAATAGAGCCAGAGAAAAAAATATTTTAGAATATAATAGAAGTAATCCTGTTATTTGCAGATTTTTAATATTGCCTACAACTTTCGTGATATTATACTGTGTGTATAGTCTCAGTAATATTTAAAATCATTTTTCTTGAAATATTAATGTTTATTGCATGTAAATGGCTAATTATTTTGTATCTACAATGTGGTAATAGATATATTTTGTATATTGAAAATAAAATAAAAATTCTATGAAAAATATAAAAAATAGAAAAAATAAAAGCTGGGAGCCCGAGGAACTGACTGCTCCCAATTCTGAAAGTTCTTCTTATGCTTGAAGTAAGCAAGCATATGGGAGACTTGATGAAACTAGTTTCATTCTTTTGTTCTTCTCATTACCCATCTTTGTCACGTGAGAAAAATAGAGTAAAAATACTGATTGTCTTTGTTACTTCTTTTTTTTTTTTTTTTTTTTTAAATATATTTTATTGATTTTTTACAGAGAGGAAGGGAGAGAGACAGAGAGTTAGAAACATCGATGAGAGAGAAACATCGATCAGCTGCCTCCTGCACATCCCCCACTGGGGATGTGCCCGCAACCCAGGCACATGCCCCCGACCGGAATCGAACCTGGGACCCCTCAGTCCGCAGGCCGACGCTCTATCCACTGAGCCAAACCGGTTTCGGCTGTCTTTGTTACTTCTAAGGGCATGTGAATTTAATGGCCTGCATTATTGATGTGAATCTAAGTTGCTGTATTTTGCTCATGCAAAATTATCTGTAGCAATACAGATTATCTTTCCAGCTTCAAATCTCCATGGGGTTTCCAAAATATAATACAATTCTTACTATAGAAATTTGGGAAAACTGGTTTAAACAGCAGGAAGGTCTAGATTAAATTTATAAATGTAAGTGCATTGTTGTTTTAATGTTATCAATAAAATATAATACTTTGTAAATTGATTTTCTAGTGCATTTCTGGTTAACATAGAGTTAAACAGAGTAAGTCATTATGGACTTGTTTATTCCAGAAATGCTACTTGGCCTTTTAGAAGTGTTAGATTATTATAGTAGCTTCTGTTCAGTAGCACCTCCCAGCCTGACTCTAAAGGTATTTTGTCCTTGGGATTGCTGAAGGAAGGTAGTTCCAAGTTGTATAGAAATTCATCATCAGCTGTTATGAGGAGTGCTTATCTTTTCAACTCTTGACAATGCAGGCTTATAGGACTGCATTTTATATTTTTCTTTAGTTCAAGATATACTGCCTTAAGATAATTTTTATGAGCATTAATTCTTAATCTGAAGCTCTATTATGGAATTGTAGGTGTGGCAGAGATTGGGGTAAATCTATATTTTTCGAAGGATGTGATTTAGAAATTGATGTTTAAAAACTTTACGTTGTTTTATTGCATATATAGCCTTTAGAAATTTCAGGAAAATAATTTTTAGGTAAATGAGACTTCTATTTAGCTTAGATTTTACTTTAATTAGAATTACAGTATTTGCTTAAAATTACTTTAATTTCTTTCATCTGTAAATTAAAGGAAAATTTCCTAAACAGTTTAATTTTAAACCTTTTTTTCATTAGGTTTAATAGGAAATGATATCAAATCTCTTCGTTCCATCATCAGCCCTCCTATAGCTAAGTAAGTATTGTCTTTTCGTTGATATTGTCTTTTACATAGGCTACCATGAAAAGTTACAGGTTTCTCTCATGGGTTTAATCATTAATCAGCATTGTTAGTAAATGCTCTCATTTCTGTTACTTTTGCCCTACCTTATTATAAGTACATGTTATGTATCTTAGAAGCTATTTTCACAATTGAAAGAAAAAAATTTTAATGTAGGAAGAGCACACTTTTCATAGAAATAAATATAAGATATTTATAAGATTGTAGTTAGTTCTTTTGACACTCATTTTGTCAGAATACTGTGGTCGTGATATATTTTCTATTTTTCTAGTATTTATACCAGCTTCAAAATTTGCACAGCATATTTGGGTTTTACAGTTTTAGTAATGTCCACCTGATAACACATGTCTTTTTTTTCTCCCTTTTAAACAGAATCCGTAATATTGGAATTATGGCTCATATTGATGCAGGCAAAACTACCACCACAGAAAGAATATTGTACTATTCTGGATACACAAGATCACTGGGAGGTTAGAATGGATTCCTCCTCTCCCTATCCCCCATTAGCAAAAACATTATTGGAAAATATTTTGATTAAGAAGTCAACCCAGAGATCTTGAGTATGGCATGGAGGCACTATTATCTAAACCACAACATACAAATAAGGTAGTTGCTACACCCACAAAAGGGTCTTTCTAGGTTCAACTAAATATTCAGACTCATGAGACTGTCTTAGGCCACAATGTGGGCTACTGGTCTATTCAAGCTGTAGGGCAGAAACCATAACTTACCAGCAGACCAGCAAAAGGTGTTTCTTTTGTAGGAGTTCTAAAAGCAGCCTACATGGATATCTGGGAACTGTCGTCTTTGGCCAACAGTGATTGCTTAATTGCAAGGTAACAAGATTTATAGGAGCCACTCTGGCTTAGAAGACTTATGCCCTCTAGAAATGAATCTCTCTTCTTACAGCTCCCTGGACTACCTTCAGGGTTTCCCACAAGGGACATGCCATGGCCTACTCAGGGAAACCTAAAGCTATGTATCTCCATCAGGTATATATAATCCATTTATAGTTCCTCTAATTCAGGTGTAGCTTACCAATCAAAATTTCTCCTAAAAGTTGTGTGCCTAGCTACGTAGTTGACATACTTCTGTTTTCTAGAAGAAAAGAACCAAAAAGTTAACCAGAGGTCAAATGATCGTGCCGAGAAATAAAGGGTTTTGTTAATTTTCCCTCCACAGTAGTAGTAGTCTTTACCTAAGTTTTGGATTTATTTTTTAATTATAACATGTCGAAAACTGTTGTTCTTTTTTTTTTTTAATATATTTTATTGATTTATTACAGAGAGGAAGGGAGAGGGATAGAGAGTTAGAAATATCGATGAGAGAGAAACATCGATCAGCTGCCTCTTGCACACCTCCTACTGGGGATGTGCCCACAACCAAAGTACATGCCCTTGACTGGAATCGAGCCTGGGACCCTGGGACCCTCCAGGCCGCAGGCCGATGCTCTATCCACTAAGCCAAACCGGTTGGGCAAAAAAAAAACAACTGTTGTTCTTGATCAGGCATTCACATTTCAAACCCCATGTAGCTTTTTTTGTTTTTAAATAACCATGCCCACTCTGGAAATTAAGCTTCAACAAGTCTGGTATGGCCTGGATGTTCAGCAAGTCTGAGGTACGATGCTTGGATGGTGTATTTGGCTCATACACATTTATGATTGTTACGTTTCTCTGATGAATCAACCCTGTTATCATTATGAAGTGCCTTTCTTTATTACTGGTAAAACAGTTTGTTTTGAAATTTACAATGGAGGTCATCAGGTCTCTAATACCAGAAGTGGAAATGAGTACCTTTTTCCAAAGCTCTGCAGTGATTTTGAAGTACACTGTATTGAGAACCATTTCTCTGGATTCTTGTAATCTTCTCTCAGAGTGCATTTCAAAGGAAGATTCCAGTCCTCCTCAGTGTTCTTTTCCCACTGAGCCAAACTGGTCAGGGTGGCTTGTTAATTTTATTCATCTTTTCAAAGAACCAGCTCTCTACTGCATTAGTATTTCTATTATCTTTTTGTTCTCTGTTTCATTTACTTCTCTAGTTTTTATTATTTCTTCCTTCTGACATTGGGCTTTTTTTTTTTTTTTTTTTTTTTTTTTTTTTTTTACATTGGGCTTTGTTGTTCTTTTTTAGTTCTTTTAGGTGAAATGTTAGTGGGGCTCTGGTGATGGCCGAGCCCACCATTCTTGTGTGTTGTTTGTGGAGCGGGGTGAGTAGTGCTCTGGTGTGTTCTGAAGCTGGCCACCAGATGTGCTGGTTCTTGAAGCTCTTGGGAGAGACTTTGGTGCTGGACAAGGTCAGCTGCAGTTTGTGCCCAGGTTGGATCTACCTGGTAGGAGCTACAAACTAATCTGTGGTTGGTTGGCATTTGTGCTGGGCTTAGAGGCATTTTGGAGAGGCTGTGCTGTGAACCTAGGCTGTCTGCCATAGTCTGGGCTTACGTCTGGGCGTGGGGCCCTTAGGTGGCACTACGCTGTGAGCTGAGGCCAGCTGCCCCTTGTGCTGGGCTGTGGTCATTTAGTGGAGCTGTGTTCCAAAGCAAGACTGGTCACTGTTTATGCCAGACTGTGGTCACCGGATGGGAGCTACAGAGCAAGCTGAGAGGCACCATTTAAGCCGGGCTTGGGGCCACTTAGCCAGAGGTTTAAGGCACACCAAGGCCAGCTGCTGCTTGTTTGGGGTTTTGGACCTTCGAGAGATTTTAGGAAAGTCTGCAGGTCGAACCAAGGCAGAACCACTCGTTTAAAAAAGCCGCTGGAAGAGGTTTGGTTGGGTGCACCAGTTGGGTGAGGCAGGTCTCAGGTAATCACCAGGGCAGGGCAAGCGGTGTTAGCCAGGTTAATGGAGAGCACAGATACGGTTCCTGCCTGCGCTATACCTGCTGGTTGGGGGTGGGCTCAACAAAGAAACAGTGCGCCTGCCAGCGCTTGCATCTCCAAGAGCTTTCCAGACAGACCCCAGCTCCTTCAGCCCTGACCCTAAAGCTAGCCAATTCAGTTCCTCCCAGGCGTTCCTGATGCTTTTCCAGCTGCTGCCCCTGTGTTGGAGCCCAGGGCAGATGAGTTTGAGTGAGTGAGTGGAAGTGGGCCCTTCAAGAGGACGCCTAGGTCTCCAGCTGTCCTCCTCACTCGGACCCAGTCCCTGCTGGTTTTCACAGCTGTTCTGATGGGACTCCTATTGCTGGCACTGGAGCCCTGGGCTAGGGAGTCGTGTTCAGCTGGGACTCCTTGCTCCTCAGGGGAACCACTTCGGGTGTGGGACCTGCCCATTCTGTGTCTTTCCCCACCCACTCGTCTCAACATGGCTTTATATCCTTAGTTATAGGGCTTCTGTTTAGCTAGTCTTCAGGTGCTTCTCAATGATGGTTGTTCTAGAATTTAATTGTAATTTTGACGTCATGGAAAGAGGCAAACAGTATTTACCTACTCTGCCATCTTGACTGGAAGTCCTTTTTTCATTTATTTTACTGTATAAATTCAATGAGGATAAAATACATTATGTTAAGAATTTTAGGGGAGGGGTTTGAGGTGCTGGGTGAAAAAGGTGAGGGGATTAAGAAGTACAAATTGGTACTTACAAAATAGTCACAGGATGTAAAGTACAGCACAGGGAATATAGCAGTAATATTGTAATGACTGTGTGTGGTGCCAGGTGGTACTGGAAATAACGAGGGGCACACTTTGTGAAGTATATGATTGTCTAATCACTATGCTGTACACCTGAAACCAATACAAAAATAATATTGAATATAACTGTAATTTAAAAAATAAATTATAATTTATTTTTAATTTATTAATTTATTATACTGCAGATTACTTTTCGATTATCAGGATGAACTTTATTCATGACTTTATGCTATAGAAGTTCTACCAAGACTTTATTTGGATTTGTAAAAATAAATTCCTCCTACCCAACCCCACCCCCCTTTTTAGAAAATTTAGTAATAAGAAGGGTTTAAAAAGGATCACTTGGGAGGAATTTTTCTCTACAGTGTTCCATTTAACACTTACTGAGCTAGAAGTTAAAAGTTAAATAATGTTAAAAAATAAAAAGTTAAAAAATAAACTAGGAAAAAATGAAAGAAGTATATGGTTCAGTAAAATTAAAATATTTAGTATATTTTAAACCCAATTGTTACAGAAAAATTATTTTTATGGGAAAATTGCTAATCATGCTGAAAGAGCTTTTTCTAAAATAAGGATTTGTTTAGAGAAGGATTAAGGACTCTAAATATTAAACCAAATGTTTTATGAACAATTTTTTAAAGCAAAATTAAATTGTTAGGTAGACATCAGATACCAAGAAAATGCTCTTGTGGTTAAGCTTAAGTATGTCATCTTTTTCCTGGTTAGATGTTGATGACGGAGACACAGTGACAGATTTCATGGCTCAAGAGCGAGAAAGAGGCATTACTATTCAATCAGCTGCTGTTACATTTGATTGGAAGGGGTACAGAGTCAATCTCATTGATACACCAGGTAGGTGCTGTTCTAGCAGTGATGCTGTATCATTTCAGGGTTTTGTTTGTGTATGTGTTTTCTTAAATTGTGATAAAAAACCTATAAAACTTATCATCTTAACCATTTTTAAGTGTACAATTAAGTAGTGTTAAGTGTATTGGTATTATTGTGAAACATATCTTCACAACTTTTTCATCTTGTAGACCTGAAACTCTGTACCCTTTCAACAATTATTCTTTTTGTCTCCTACCACTCCTGGTAACCACCATTCTAATTCTATAGCTATGGAATTGACTACATACCTCATATTAGTAGAATCATACAATATTTGTTGTTTTGTGACTGGCTGACGTCACTTAGCATAAAGTCCTTCAAGGTTCATTTATGCTGTGGCATATGATAGTATTTCCTTTCTTTTTAAGGCTGCATAGTATTCCATTGTATATAGATAACACATTTTATATATATACAAAATTTTGTATCTGTACCATTTATCCATCAGTGGACATAAAGATTGCTGCCACCTCTTGGCTATCGTGAATAGTGTTGCTATGAACATAGGTGTGCAGATATCTTTGTTATACTCTCCTTTCAATTCTTTTAGATATATCCCCAAAGTGGGATTGCTGAGTAACACATTTGTTTGTTTGTTTTAAGGTTTTAAGTGTTATATTTTCCATCTCTTTCTTAGGTCATGTGGACTTTACCTTGGAGGTTGAGCGCTGCCTGAGGGTGCTCGATGGTGCAGTGGCTGTGTTTGATGCCTCAGCCGGTGTAGAGGTAAAAAGTATGCCAAAGTAAAATAAAAATGGAACAGCATGATTTTTTTAAAAAGTAGAAGGTGTCAGATTTAGTTTAGTATAACCCTTTATTTGGTAAGCTGATGTAAATCAAATTATAATTAAAGGAAGTTGGAATTTAATATTGAGATGTGACCTCAGCTGTTTTATACAAAGGAAAGTATGTTTGCTTTTCCATAAGAAATATCAAAGCTAGTGTTGAATTGTGAAAGGTCTGAGATTCTACCTTATTTTTATGCTAACAAGTTAGCTTGCCATAGTTTTATGGATTTTGGCAGAATATACAAGACTCCTGAGTTAGAGACAAAAGACTTTATTAGTCACAGAAATAGTAATAGCCATTGCAGCTATTTCTTCCAGCACTTTCTTGTGCTGTTACCCCAAGCCCTTAGTCCCAGCGAGTGACCAAAGGGAGTAAGGTGATAGCTGCACCACAGAGGAACCCATGCTTAGAAAATGCAGCTATATTACCGTGGGCAGTAAGCACGCCTGCTCTTAGCTGAAGAGAGACATTCCTTCCAGGGTTGTAAGCAAACCTGCCTTTTGCTTTGGTGGGAGACACTGTTTCTATCTTTCTAATGTTCGTTATACAAACATCCTTGAAAATCTAGTTTAGAACAAAAACCGTCAGTGCCGTTCGGAACAAAACATGCAGAAATGTGAGAGGCCCATGAAGAATTGTCTCCCAAAAGTTAATATAAAACTTCTTGAATAAACCTTGAAAATGGACTTAAATTACTGCTATTGGGATCAGTTATGCTATCTTTAGCTGGTACCTCATTTGTCTTGTAATGTCAAGAACGGTTATATGTTGAATATAGAACTCACATTGTTTTTTCTAATCTTAAAATTACTAAAAATAGTATCAATGAAGTGATCAAAATTAACATCCCTAAAAATCGGACAAATTGCCCGGCCAGCATAGCTCAGTGACTGAGTGTCAACCTATAAACCAGGAGGTCAGGGTTCGATTCCCAGTCAGGGCACATACCTGGGTTGCAGGATCATTCCCCTGTGTGGGGCATACAGGAGGCAGCCAATCAATGATCCTCTCACATCATTGATATTTCTATCTCTCTCTCCCTCTCCCTACCTCTCTGAAATAAAAAAAATATATATATTTTTAAAAATTGGACAAATTGACACCAAGGAGAGAGCTTAATCTTCAGCTTGATCCTGGATGCCCCCCTACCCCCCAAAAAAGTTACAAAGGATATCGTTTAGAAATTTGAATATGGAGTATATGTATTGTGTCAACTTAAATTCTTCTGAATGTGATCATTATAATTGGTTATGTTAGAGAATGTCTTTTTTTTTTAATTAAATCTTTATTGTTCAGATTATTACAGTTGTTCCTCTTTTTTCCCCCCATAGCTCTCCTCCACTCAGATCCCACCTCACCCTCTGCCCTTACTCCTCCCACTGTCCTCATCCATAGGTGTACGATTTTTGTCCAGTCTCTTCCTGCACCCCCACACCCCTTTCCCCCCAAGAATTGTCAGTCCACTGCCTTTCTATGCCCCTGGTTCTATTATATTCACCAGTTTACTCTGTTCATCAGATTTTTTCACTTGATTTTTAGATTTACTTGTTGATAGATATGTATTTGCTGTTCATAATTTTTATCTTTACGTTTTTCTTCTTCCTCTTCATAAAGAATACCTTTCAGCATTTCATATAATACTGGTTTCGTGGTGATGAACTTCTTATCTGTGAAGCTCTTTATCTGACCTTCAATTCTGAATGATAGCTTTGCTGGGTAAAGTAATCTTGGTTGTAGGTTCTTGCTATTCATCACTTTGAATATTTCTTGCCACTCCGTTCTGGCCTGCATAGTTTCTGTTGAGAAATCAGCTGACAGTCGTATGGGTATTCCCTTGTAGGTGATTGTTTTTCTCTTGCTGCTTTTAAGATTCTCTCTTTGTCTTTTGCCCTTGCATTTTAATTATGATGTGTCTTGGTATGGTCTTCTTTGGATTCCTTTTGTTTGGGGTTCTCTGCGCTTCCTGGACTTGTAAGTCTATTTCTTTCACCAGGTAGGGGAAGTTTTCTGTCATTATTTCTTCAAATAGGTTTTCAATATCTTGCCCTCTCTCTTCTTCTGGCACCCCTATAATTCGGATGTTGGTGCGCTTGAAGTTGTCCCAGAGGCTCCTTATACTATCTTCATATTTTTGGATTCTTTTTTCTTTTTGCTTCTCTGGTTGGGTATTTTTTTTTGCTTCTTCGTATTTCAAATCTTTGACTTGATTCTTGCGATCCTCTTGTCCGCTGTTGGATCTCTGTATATTATTCTTTATTTCAGTCAGTATATGCTTAATTTCTAGTTGGTCTTTTTTCATATCCTCCAGGGTCTCACTGTATTTATCGGCAGCTTCTAGAAAATTCTTGAAAAACCTTATAACTATGGTTTTGAACTCTATATCCAGTTGTTTGCTTTCCTCCATTTCTGTCATTTGTGACCTGTTTCTTTGTCTCTGCATTTTTTATGCTTCTCTGTGTTGGTAGAGTGGCTTTGTGTCCTAGGTGTCCTATAGGGCCCAGTGGCTCAGCCTCCCCAATTACCTGAGGTGGACACTCTTGGTGCACCCCTTTGTGGGCTTTGTGCACAGTCTGGTTGTAGATAAGCCTTGATTGTTGTAGGTATCACTGGGAGGAATTGACCTCCAGGCCAATTGGCTGTGAGAATCAGCTGTGTCTACAGTGGGAGAACTTCTGTGCTAAAGACACCCTTCTGGGGCAAAACTTGCTTCAGTGGGGCTTTGGTGCTCACTTGAGTCTGCCCCCTGAGTGTGTCCCTTATGGATCTGAGGAGTTGTAGTCTGGATGGTCCCCCTCTGACCACTGGGTACACTAGCTCTTGGATCTAAGGAGGTGCTAATTTAATCTCTGCCTGAGGTTACCTAGAAGGAGCTACAAAGAGATCTGCAGATTCCCCTTCCTTGTTTGGGGTTTGGAGGTGCCCAGATGAGGCCCAACTGTGAAGCAATGCAAGCTGCTGTGGGACCTTGGGCCTTCTATTGGAAGTTCTGGGTCTGTCTGGCCCAGCTGCAGTTTGTTAGGTAATTTTCAGATTGCAAAGGGCCAGGGCATTCATATGCAAAAGCCTCTGCCGCAGCCTGAGTGGGGCAGGATCTCAAGGAATCAACAGGGCGGAGCAAGCAGCTATGGCTGATCCCGCGTCTCAGCATCCCGGTAATCGCTGCAAGCACCTTTGAGAGAAAGCCGCCCTCGAGTTCCGAGTTCTGCCCACTGCCACACAGTCCAGTTTATCCCCGTATGAGTCTGGGTCCCCAGAGACTTCCCGGAACTGGAGTTCAGAGCAGTTGGGAGCTTGTGACTCCCTCCCGATTCAAAAAGACAGCTGCGTCCTCAGTTGCCAGCCCTTGCTGCATGCGCCTCCGTACCTCTGCACTTTACTTCTGCACCGCACCTCCTCTGAGTCTCAGTGTGCTTTTCTCTTTCCTTCTAGTTGTAGAATTTCCACTCAGCCAGCCTTCCTGTAGTTCTGGACGATGTCTGTTTTATCTTTTAGTTGTATTTTTGAAGTTGTTGTGGGAGGCAGAAATTTCCTGTGTTTACCTATGCCGCCATCTTGGTTCTCCTGAGAATGTCTTACCTTAGGAAATGTATGCTAAAGTATTGGAAATTAAGTGCCATGATATCTACAACTTGCTCTCATGGTTCAGCTCCCATTCTCTCTTGCGCGCTCTCTCTCTCACTCGTTAACTTCCAGGCATTAATTCTCTTTGTGTGGTAACCTAGGTCACCTAAAGCATTATTCTAAGTTTGAAGCTTACTTTTTTTCATCACACTTCCTTACATTCTTAGCTATGTTAACCTGATAGGAGTCTCGAAGTATAAGTGCAGTGGCAGTAATTCCATGCTAGAATAAGGCCCATTTCCATGTTATAATAGAGTCTTGGATCTCTTTCTTCCATGTGTAGTAACAGTTATTTTTTCCCACATGTGCTCTTTGCTTTAGGCACAAACCCTCACAGTATGGAGGCAAGCTGATAAACACAAAATACCTCGAATCTGTTTTTTAAACAAGATGGACAAAACTGGAGCAAGGTATTTGTTTAAAATTTGTTTAAAGTGTATTTCTTTGGCTTATTAAAGTAAGAATTCAATTTGAGCTTCTGATGGACTGTAACTTAAATTTTGAAATACCTATTCCTTATAGAGTATAAATATTCCATGAAATCTATTCAGTCCCCTTAAAAAGAAGTGAAAGCCGCTAATTCCTAGGTTAAGGAATACTGTGAGATTAATACAGAGCTCATAGATGATGAACCATCCTGATTCTAATGTAGGGAGACTGTACTTTCTAGGATCCTGACAGTGATGTCTTCTGATTCCATTGGTTCTATTTAGAGCTGTATGGTGTAGTCCCTGTATGTACTCTGCTGAAAGTTATGGTGTTCCCTGTCTTTGCTAAAGGTAGAGGTTGGCAAATTGTTTCTTGTAGTTGCCTCAGAGAACAGCGTTCTTCCTTGTCCCCTGATTTTCTTTGGCTCCTACTGGGTAAAATGCTCTCCATTGAAGGGAACTGGGAGAGGAGAATTAGATGTTTAAGACCTGCATATAGTGCAAAGAGTGAATGCTGAAATGTTGTGATAATGCTCGGAGACTTACAGGGTGGTAATCCAAAATGATACATTATTCTGAGAACAGAATTCAGAATTCAGAGAATCAAGAATATATGAAGGATTTGGAGAAATTGTAAAAGGGAGACAATCAAGAATATAAGGGATTCTAGGGAAATCTGACAGGGAGATGCTGGTCTGTGGTGTGAGAGTGGCAGAAACAAAACAAACTATTTCTTCCTAAAACCACACCGTATGCTCTGTTTATGTAACTCTTGAAGGATTTCTAAAGGCTGTTGGTTTAAAGAACTTTTGTCTCGATTAGTAAAAGTACAACCTTCAAAATGTGTGAGGCTTAAGCTCTGACCCTTTTCTGTTTGGAGGTCCTTGAGGTAGATGCCTTTCCTGACTTATAGCACCTGTGATGACAGGGAGGAAAGTGAGTGGATACTAGGCTGGTTGTCAAAGACATTGGGACCAGAATACGTCAGCGCATGTGCCAAAGATGACATGTGCCATAGGTAGCCAACCCACTGTTAGCACAGAAATGAACAGCATAGCAGCTAACATTAAGAATACCTGAGATAAAAGTATAGAAAGGCTGGCTTTTGGAAGAAAGCTGGTAGCCGTGTGTAATAGCAAATGCAGTTATTAGAAGAATCCTTGACTTGTAATAACAAATCTTGCATTTGAATCCAAACTGAAATTTATTATCTGTGAACTTGATCAATTCAGGTAACCTTAACCTCAAATTTTAGTTAAGGTGAAGTTAACAAAAATAATACCTTAAATACCCATGTGGCAGGATTCTGGTAGATATTCAATTACTATTTATCTGGAATTGACATTAAAATTTTTTTCAAAATGTCTTATGGAAACTGAAGTGATGAACATTAAAAGCCATGGAAAGGGTTATACTTTTAGAGAACATTCTTAAACTTGTTTTTAAAACTTTAACATTTTTAACTACTGTTTAATTATTTTGTTTTCTACAGTTTTAATTATGCAGTTGAAAGCATCAGAGAGAAGTTGAAGGCAAAACCTTTGCTTTTACAGGTTGGTTGATTAATATTTGGTTAATCAATAGTAACAACTCCTCAGTTTCCTCATCAGTTTGTTTTATTGTGACATACACATTTCTGAAGCTACTTCAAATCATTTTTGGAAGAAGTTGGAATATAAATTTAAAAAATAGGTAAGATTGTGGTAATAATAATGGACATTTGGGGGGAAGTGGGGAAAGATAAGATTTATCTCCAATGCCATTCTAATTGAGTAATCATTTAATAATGTTAATTTTACTCTGATTTATAGTTACCAATTGGTGAAGCCAAAACTTTCAAAGGAGTGGTGGATGTAGTAAATAAAGAAAAACTTCTCTGGAATCCCAATTCAGATGATGGAAAAGACTTTGAGAGAAAACCCCTCTTGGAAAAGAGTGATCCTAAATTGCTGAAGGAGGCTACTGAAGCAAGGAATGCCTTAATTGAACAAGTAAAATAATCCTTTGAGTTTAAAGTTGCATAAATATTTATAAACTCTAAAAAATAATTTATTGTGAAATGTAATATAAAATTACATTTGGAAAATATAAGATACAAGAATAATGAGATGAACACCACCTGGCTTAAGAATTAGAATATTAGCAATACTCTTGAATCTCCATGTGCCACTTCCTGTTCGTCTCTCCCCCTTCCACTAATTATCTATTTTCCCAACCACTGTATTGACTGTAGAGTTTATCTTTCATTTGCTTTTTTTAATAGTTTACCACAAATGTATATATCCTTAAAGAACGTAGTTTTTCACCCAGCTGGTGTAGTTTAGTGGTTGAGTGTTGAACTATGATCAGGAGGTCACAGTTTGATTCCCAGTCAGGGCACATGCCCAGGTGTGGGCTCCATCCCCAAGTAGGGGGTGTGCAGGAGGCAGCCAATCAATGATTTTCTCTCATCATTGATGCTTTTATCTCTATCCCTCTCCCTTCCTCTCTGAAATCAAAAAAAATATAAAACAGAAGAACATAGTTTTTCATGGTTTTGAACTCTATATAAATAGAATGATACTTTTTGTATTTTATTACATTGTTCAACATTGTGTTGGAGATACTTCCATGTAGTTACGTGTGATTATACTTCACTCGTTTTCAGTCTTTAGTAGTGTGCCAATATATGATTATACCATAATTTATTGTCTGTTTTCCTGTGGATAAACTTTGAGGTGGTTACCTCTTTTTTTTTTTTTTGCTGTTACAAACAGTGTTGCTGTGAACATTTTTGTATGTATGTCCTTGTGCACATATGTAAGAATTTGTTTAGAGTGAAACCTAGGAGTGGAATTGCCAGGTCAAAGTGTATGTCCGTCTTTTACTTGACCAGATGTCAAATTATTTAGAAAATTTTAAAACCATCATTTTATAGTTGATATATAATTTTAGACCTCATGTCACCCTCAAAATTTAAAAGAAAATAGTAATGTTATTATTTGTAATATTTATATGATATTGTTAGTTTAAAAAACAGTAAGTAAAACATATCTTAAATAAACTCCCTGAATTTTATGGTAAAGACGAACATTTGAGTCTGAACTCTTTGATTTCCTTACTTCTAAATTAAACTGGTCAAAATTATAATTAATTATTTTCATTCATCTTTTGTATGAAGTTATTTTTGAAGTAATTCTTTTCCATCATATAGTAATTTTCAACTTTATTATGAACATGATAATGGTCATTGTTAATTTTATTAATGGATAATATTTATTGAAGACTTATGATCTAACTTAAGTGCTTTACATATATTATTTAACCCTCCGAACAGTGTATATTATCCCCATTTTACAGATGAGGAAACAGGCTTATAATGGTAAAATAAGTTGTCATATAGCTAATAAATAGCAGAGCTGGGATCTGAACCCAAATCTGTCTGTTTAGAGCTGGAGCTCATACTGCTTCTCTAATGGGGGAGGTGGGGGAGCACATAAAAAGGATAAAAGTGGAATTAACATTTATTAATCAATAATTGGGTACATAATTGGTTCTCCTTTGAGGTTTTATTTTGTTTTATACAAAAGGGCTATCAGAATAAACCTAAGGAGGATTTTATAATCTCATTGAGATACCAACATAAACTTGCATATGCTCTAGGACATTAAAGGCTCAAATTTTCTATCAATAGGTAATGAAGAGCTAATTGTAAGGAATACATACGTGTGTGTAGAATTAGAGAGTACCACCACATCACACCTGTTAGGATGGCTTCTATCAAAAAACAAAATAACTGTTGTAAGGATGTGGAGAAGTTGTAACCCCAGGCATTGCTGGTGGGAATGAAAATGGTGCCGCCATTGTGAAAAACAGTATAGTGGTTCCTCAGAAAATTGAAAATAGAATTAACATATGATCTAGCAATTCCACTTCTGGGTTTATATCCGAAAGAATTGAAAGCAAGGTTTCAAAGAGATATTTGTACATCCTTGTACATAGCAGCATTATTTATAACAGCCAAAAGGTGGAAGGTATTTATCAACAGATGGATGGATAAATAAAATGTGGTATATACACACAATAGGGTAGTAGTCAGTGTTATAATGGAAGGAAATTCTGACATGATACATTATTAATGAACCTTGAGGACATTAAACTTGCTATTTGAAATAAGCCAATCACAGAAGGACAAATACTGTATGATTCCATTTATATGAGATAGCTCTAGTAGTTTGGTACATTTTTACAGTAGTTGGCTATTAACAGGCTGCTTTTCTCAAATTTGCAAGTTTTATTCCTTTATACTATTATAATCTTTTGAAACTGTTTTATTTTATTGTCAGCTGAATTCTGTTTTATAATGGCAAATTATTATGAAAAGGACATGAATTAGATAAATACATTTTTATTATTGAAATATGTCTACTATCCCAACTTAAATATATTTCCTCAGCACAGGATTAGTTATAATAAGATTAGTCTTTTTTGTTTGACTTTCTCAGATCTTATGAGCATTCAGAATATTAGAGGAGTTTCAAATAAAACTTTGTTATGAACTAAGACCCCCAAATTTAGCTAAAAATAGCAACCCATTGTATATGTTATCATTGACTACAAATTGTGCATTTTCTTTTGAACACTCTGAGTAGATAGCAATTTAATGTTATGCTTAATCTGGCTCAGGCTTCCCATGAATTTAGGAAATTCATAATAGCATGTCTTCAATTTTCAGTTTCCTTTCCTTTGAAAGAAAACTCTCTTTTAGAAGATAGGAAGACGTCCTTGGCGTGGATAAGTTAGACCATGGAACTGTCTTGAAATATTTGGATAATGTATATTTAGAGTATTTGGCTTAAGTTAATAGTTGGACAACAAATACAAGTCATAGAACTAAAGCCTTTCTTTATAGGTTGCAGATTTGGATGATGAATTTGCTGACTTGGTTTTAGGAGAATTTAGTGAAAATTTTGATTTGCTCCCAGCTGAAAAGGTAAATTTTATTTTTCATTTACTTTGACCAAGTTTTACTAATTGGATGCACTTCGCTTTCTGTGTTTGTGTTGTTTTTGTTTTTCTAACTTTGAATAGCATTGGAAACTATGCTGACTTAAACAAAAATTAGAAGATCATGGAGATAAAGCCACTAACACAGCTACTTAATAATGGCATGATTAACTATTTTTGGTTATATTTTACAAAATTAGAAGTGGAATCTTTTTTACTTGTATTGATTCAGGAGAAGTTAATTGTTAATTCTCAACCTTTTCTCTTCATTGTAACCATTTAATAAGTATTTTTAGGGAAATCAGAGGTTGAAATTTTTTATTTAAAATTTCCTGGTTTTTCAATCTACAATAATCATTTTAATCAGAATATTTTTTTCTGAATCTCTTTTAATTTTTAGTGGAAACTCATTGCAGGTCTTTTGTTTTGTTTTGAAAAACATTAAACCAGAGACTAGGCAAGTAAAGTACAGATAATAATTGAATTATGACAGATTTCTTTAAGGCATTCCTGTTTTTTTGTGTTTGTTTCTTTTTCCTGCCAGGAATCTTCCCCCATGAATTTGGCAAACTTGCTCGTTATTTTCCTTGATGAAACATAAGAGTTACTAAAGAAAGTGTTTTTAAGTGGTAATATGTATAGTGGGATCCAAGATGAGCCCAGCAAATTCACTTATTTCCCCCAAAAAGAATTAAAGAAAAACACAAGATCTATAGATTAATTTTGAGCCATTTGAAATTACTTGAGGTAGAAAAAAATATTTTTCTTTTGAATGAAATGGCATAATTTTGACATATTTTATTGTGTAGTATTTGAGTGCTTAAGTGTGTTATTTTGCCCTACAGTCACATAACATGACTTCTGTTTTCAAAGAGTTTACAGTCTAAAGTAGAATTGACCCACCATTTCTCTTATCAGTAGCTTGCAGGTACACCCAAGCTTTTCTTGGTTTTTGAGGTCTTTCAAAATTTTCTTTCTACTTTGATTTCTCATTTTCTTTTGGATTTTATTTAATATGGATCTATTTCATTTGAAAAAATTGTTACTCATGTTTATATTTTTAATTTCTTACCAGCTTATTAGATTATCAAGGTAAAATCACAAATATATGAACTCATCTATTCAATAAATATTTTTATTTTTTTTTCTTTTTTTTTAATTAAATCTTTATTGTTCAGATTATTACATTTGTTCCTCTTTTTTTCCCCCCCATAACTCCCCTCCTCCCAGTTCCCGCCCCACCCTCCGCCCTCACTCCCCACCCACTGTCCTCATCCATAGGTGCACGATTTTTGTCCAGTCTCTTCCCGAATCTCCCACACCCCTTTCCCCCCCCAGGAATAGTCAGTCCATTCCCTTTCTATGTCCCTGATTCTATTATAATCAACAGTTCATTCTGTTCATCAGATTATTTATTCACTTGATTCTTAGATTCACTTGTTGATAGATGCATATTTGTTGTTCATAATTTGTATCTTTACCTTTTTCTTCCTCTTCCTCTTCTTAAAGGATACCTTTCAGCATTTCATATAATCCTGGTTTGGTGGTGATGAACTCCTTTAGCTTTTCCTTATCTGTGAAGCTCTTTATCTGACCTTCAATTCTGAATGATAGCTTTGCTGGATAAAGTAATCTTGGTTGTAGGTTCTTGGTATTCATCACTTTGAATATTTCTTGCCACTCCTTTCTGGCCTGCAAAGTTTCTGTTGAGAAATCAGCTGACAGTCGTATGGGTATTTCCTTGTAGGTAACTGAGTTTCTTTCTCTTGCTGTTTTTAAGATTCTCTCTTTATCTTTTGCTCTTGGCATTTTAATTATGATGTGTCTTGGTGTGGTCCTCTTTGGATTCCTTTTGTTTGGGGTTCTCCGTGCTTCTTGGACCTGTAAGTCCATTTCTTTCACCAGGTGGGGGAAGTTTTCTGTCATTATTTCTTCAAATAGGTTTTCAATATCTTGCTCTCTCTCATCTTCTGGCACCCCTATAATTCTGATGTTGGTACACTTGAAGCTGTCCCAGAGGCTCCTTACACTATCCTCGCATTTTTGGATTCTTTTTTCATTTTGCTTTTCCGGTTGGGTGTTTTTTGCTTCCTCGCATTTCAAATCATTGACTTGATTCTTGCGCTCCTCTGGTCTGCTGTCGGGAGTCTGTATAATATTCGTTATTTCAGTCCGTGTATGCTTAATTTCTAGTTGGTTCCCCAATATAAGATCGAGGGTCTCATTAGTTTTCTTGTAGATCTCATTAAGTTTATCGGCGGCTTCTAAACAGTTCTTGAGAGACCTTAAAAGTGTGGTTCTGAACTCTATATCTTCCATTGACAATTTTGTCCTGTTTCTTTGTCTCCGCATTTTGTTATGCTTCCTTGGTGCACCCCCTAGTGGTCTTTGTTCGAAGTCTTATAGTTAAATCTTGATTGTTGTAGCTAATTCCAGGGAGGGTTTGACCTCCAGGCCAAGTGGCTATGAGAATCAGCTGTGTCTGCAGTGAGAGAACTTCTGTCCTCTAGGGAGGTGCTAATCTAGCCTTTGCCTGAGGCTATCCGGCAAATGCCTGTGTGCAGGGCTTGGGCGGGGCGGGTCGCACAGGATCAACAGGGTGGGCCGGAGAGAGCAGTTATGGCGGCTCTCAGTCCTGTCCCCAGGGGCTCTGCCTCTCTGAGTCCCAGCACCCGCTGCAAAGCTCAGAGAGAAAGCTGCACTCGCTCTGACCGAAGCCAGACAGTCCCGCTTCTCCCGTTTGAGTCTGGGTCCCTAAAGACTCGCCGGGATCTGGAGCTCAGATTCTGCGACTCCCTCCCGATTGAAAACGCCAACCGCGCCCTCCGCTGCCAGCCCGCTCCGCGCACTCCGCACCTCAGAATTTGACTTCAGCACTGTGCCGCCTCTGAGTGTCCGTATGCGTTTCTCTTTCCTCCTAGTTGTAGGACTTCCACTCAGCCAGCATTCCTGTGGTTCTGGGTGATGTCCCTTCCGTTTTTTGGTTTCACTTTTGAAGTAGTTGTTCAAAGCAGCAAACTCCGGCGTTAACCTATGCCGCCATCTTGGTTCTCCTCTCTCCTTTCACTTCAATAAATATTTTTAAATACCTACTTTGTTTTAAGCACTTTTCTAGTTTCTGGGATTTAGCAGTTTTTTCATTGAACCTTACTATAATTCTTATAAATTTTACACTTAATAGAAGGGGAGATGGACAATACACTAATAAATATGTATCTAATATACCAGGTAGTAATTAATATTATAAAGAAAAACAAAGAATAAGGCCATAAAGAATGATGGAAGTATGTTTTATGTGGTTGGTTAGGAAAAACATCTAATTCTGAGATATTTTGGTTGAGACAAGTATACTGCATATATGTGACCATCTTATGGTCACATAAAATACTTATTTATACCTTTGCTTTCTAGCTACAGACTGCAATACACAGAGTAACACTTGCTCAGACAGCAGTACCTGTGCTTTGTGGAAGTGCCCTGAAAAACAAAGGGGTCCAGCCCTTGTTAGATGCTATTACTATGTACTTGCCTTCACCTGAAGAGCGCAACTATGAATTTCTGTAAGTATGCAGGTATATAGGTTAAAATGTATAGCCTCGAATCACCATTTTTTAATAACATTGGTGAAAAATATCATTGTAAATCATATAATAATAGTGTCATAGTAATTTTCACTTGGAAGGGACATTTGTTATCTCTTGTAACCTGCTGCATTTACAGGTGGAGCTAAGAATGTGGAGTTATTGCTGTGTAAACATATGTTGGCCCTGCCAACTGAGTTTTTAAAAAAAAGGTAGTATACTGGGAACGTCTGATAAATATATTTTATATCTATTCTAGATTTCAAGATTTTTCAAAAGCTCAAAATACTTTGTGGCTATAAAGAAGATCATTGTTTGACTCCTGTTGCCACTAACAACTTTGTACTTACTAATAAATCCTCTAAAATCTGAGTGTTGTGTAAAATGGCAGGTGAAACTGGACTTTAATACGTTTAACTAGGAAATTAACCACTTTTCATATCTCTCCGTTGGAGAGGCATTACAACGAAGAGATTGTGAGCGTGGACTGTGTTCTACCTGGATTTAAATTCCACCTCTTCCAAGTTGCTTAACCTCTTATCTGTGAAATGCAGAGAGTAGGGCCTATCTCAGAGGATTGTTACAAGAATCAAATGAGTCAATGTTTAAAAAGTACATGGAACAGTGCCTAGTGTAAGCTTTCTATATAAGGATTTATTGAATAAAGTTACAAACTGGAGGAATCGTATTGGAGAATTTCTGTAATAGAAATGTCTAACCTACTTTGAGCCACGGACTCCTTTGAAAGTAATGAAAATAGAGAGCTTTTCCTAAGAAAAATGTACACAAAATCTTATCAATGAGCACCAACTTAAGGACATTATTCTGTAAGAATGTTGGCTTATAAACAAGTTCAGATTTGCAGTATATGTTTATATGGTTATGTGACTGGAGAGAAAGGGGGAGGAGAGTGTACAAACAGCAATTGGAAAGTCCTTATCTATTTACTCTGTACAGGTTTTTTGAGAAAGTGCTGTGATGTTCCTCGGAATATTTTTTTGAGGAGGGAACTCTTGGTTATGGAATTATTTGCAAATTGAGGTAATATTTGGAAGAGACCCCATTGTTTTTAGTTTTGAGGAATTAATAATTCATTGGAGGAAGTGGGGAACTGACATTGTTTAGTCAGTCTGGGCAGCTAAATTAGAAGATGTGAAGGCTCTTTGGAGGACAGCAAGATTAAGTTTGTGCAGCGACTATGATCTGATCTGGATAAATATATTGGAAGTGTATTTTAAAGGCTTTTTGGAATGTCTCCTTAACTTTTACAGGCAGTGGTATAAGGGTGACTTGTGTGCACTGGCATTTAAAGTTCTCCATGACAAGCAGCGGGGACCGCTGGTGTTCATGCGCATTTACTCAGGCATGATAAAACCCCAGTTGGCCGTCCATAATATTAATGGAAACTGCACGTAAGTAGAAGCTTAGATTATTTTCTAAAACTGTACTTGTTTCTTTAAAAATACTTCTACTAATATAAATCATGGTTTTACAGGGAGAGAATAAGTCGTCTGCTTTTGCCATTTGCTGACCAACATGTAGAAATCCCTTCACTGACTGCTGGTAACATTGCTTTGACTGTTGGACTTAAACATGTAAGTGATGAAATGCTTTCTCTGGGAATTGGGTGGAGGGGGACTATAGGGGGAAGCGGGGCAGACATCTGTAATGTTCTCAGCAATAAAGATTTTTGAAAGTAGGCATTTTATAATAGCAAAACCCCCATAAATCTAAATGTCCATCAGTAGTAGTGGAATAATAAATATTGTGTAGCATAGTTATTAAATGGTTGACTCTTATACATTTAATAGAAAGAAAGGAAATTGTAGAAAACTATTAACGGTATGGATTGTATTCATATAAAGTTCAAATCCAAGTAAAATAATATACTATCCATGTATGCATACATATATTTTAAGATTATATAAAACATTGTTATTGCTATTGGATTTTTTTCTTATTTTGATCACTGCACACAATTTCATCTAACCTTATAACTGGTGAGGTATTAACTTAGGATATTTTGACAATGAAGTCTCCATGAGGGCAAGGATTTTTGTCTTTTTCTCTGTTCTTAGTCCTTAGACCAGTGAATTTAGGCACTCCATGACTTTTATAGGATGAAAATATGTGATGCTGTCTATATATGCTGTCTATATGGGTTAAAACTAAGGACATTTCACTTTTATATGTATTAAATCAAGTGCAGTTACTCATGAAACTTTGGTATATTTGGCACTTAGGATAAACATTGCTACTTTTAACATTTTAAACTCTTTATGAAATTGCAAGATGTAAAATCCTTTACAGAAAATTCCCATGGTCCGGAAATTGGACTTCTAGCATCACAGTGGCTTCTCTGTCTATCTGAAGGCAGAACTTGTATGTATTTGAGAGAGTTACAGAAATCTGGGCTAGTGTTCAGTAGGAATATCTTTACAGAGACAAAAACCGGCACAGAACTCCCAAATAGGTAAGTTTAAAAGTAAAATTATAGTTTAAAAAAAGAACTGAAGTCTATAAGGAAGCTACTGTCACTTTTGCATGGTCAAGGGTACTCTGTTTAATTGCATACTTTAGTTAATAAAGAATTAACTAAAGGATTTTGTAAAATAGAAACATTTTTACTGGTGGTAAAACACAGTAATGGACTTCTACCTCACTTGTCTACATATGATTGAAAATTTAGGAAGGTACATTTGTTTTGTCAAATGAATTTTGGATATATATTGTGGGTGTGTTGTGTTATTGTTAGACTTTTTACAGCAGTGTTTTGGATAGAATTCTTATACAGGTTAAATTAGATTTACCTGTGCAAAGTTATAATGAGTTTTAGGAATTTGTCTCTCTTTTAAGTACTGATGAAAATAAAGTGCCACATTAAATTTTTTCTTATTTCGTGAATCTTGGTGGAAGCTGAGTGCTTGCTTACAGCCTGTTTTATTCCAAGGCATCTTCTTTGTTTGCAGACGGCCACTGGAGATACCATTGTCTCATCCAAGTCCAGCGCACTAGCTGCAACTCGTCGAGCTGAAAGGGAGGGAGAAAAGAAGCAGAGACACAACAGTGAAACAGAGAGACTTTTATTGGCTGGGGTGGAGATTCCAGAACCTGTTTTCTTCTGTACCATAGAACCCCCTTCGGTAGCTAAGCAGCCAGGTACAAATAGTGTTGGTGTATTAATTAATGAATGCCCTGGTAATTTAGATAAAATAGTTTAATTTTATCAGCATTCATTGGTAAGTATTTCTTGTGATTGGCCTAGCTTTTTATTTAAGATGTTTTGATTTTTACAAACTCCTTCTATTTTTTCTTTTCTTATATCTTGGCCATTTTTTTCATATCATATTCTTAGTCCTTAGTCTTGTTCTTATAGTGCTACCTATGGGACTCTATGACCTCAGGACTGCCCTTCCAGTGTATTAAATTAGTTAGTAGCCAATTCATAACTGGCTCAGTTTCTCAACTCCATTTATAAAATTGCTACTTTTTCTTGATCAACCTTTGAAAGTCAGTGAAGATATTTATAACTTTGTTAATGTCAGTTGACCTTTCTGATCGTTATATACTTTGTTTTTTAGCATATTTGCTCAGAATTCTTCAGTGGCTTTTCATTACTTAAAGCAGAAACCTAAACTCTTTGGTATGATATATCTAGCTCATTATTCCAGTTATGTCACTTTCAATTAGATTTGGTTGAATATAGCAGAAAATCCCCAAATAACAGTTGCTTTAATGACAAAAGTTTGTTTCTCTCTGTAGTGAAATATGCCTTGAGTTGGTTGCCTCAGGCTTAGAGTCCACAGTGGGCACCCAGCCTCCAGTCTTTTGTCTTGGCTTCTGAGTGCATCACTCCTGTCCTTAGTCATCTCAGGATGGCTGCTGGAGCCTTGGGCATCATGGAGTTCCCGGCAGCAGAAAGGAGGAATAGGGAGGAAGAAGATGTGCCCCTTTCTCTTTTAAGATTTCTTTCTTTTTTTTTAAAGTATAATTTTATTGATTTCACACAGAGAGGAAGAAACATCCATGATAAGAGAATCATGGATGAGCTGCCTCCTGTGTGCTCCCTACTGGGGATCGAGCCCGCAACCCGGGCATGTGTCCTTGACCCGCATCGAACCGGGACCTGAAGCTTCAGTCCACAGACCGATGCTCTATCTATTGTGCCAAACTGGCTAGGGCCCTTTTAAGATTTATACGTCATTGGCCATCACTTAGATATATGGCTACCCAGTTGCAAAGGAGTCTGGTAAACGCAATCTTTTAGCTTGGCAGCAGCATAGAGTGGAGGTTACTTGGAACCTTTCTTGCCTGGCCTCATTTCTTGGATCTTCCTCCTTTGTTCTGAACCCTCATCTTTCACCCAAACAAAAATAAAAACAGAATAACAGTTTAAATGTGTGGAATAAGGTAGTTCATGAATCCATTGCTCAGCTCTTCACTTCAGCTACACTTTGTAGAACTTCTAACATCTTTTATAAAGAGGTAGGATATATGCATCATTTAATGATTGTATTAAAGTGCCGGGAGCCGGTCCATCCTTGCTGTTTCAAGGGACCTGGCATATATGGCATACTGTTCTTAATATGTTTGCTCACCTTCTTGGCACTATGTGTTTTAACCAAGGTCTCTGAGAAAGGTTGTTTCACCAGGTAGGGATTTTCCCCTGAAGTTAGGGAGGGAATAAAACCTCTTAACTAAGTGCCAGGCAGGTAACTAATCACTTTAACTATGAACAATCATGCTTAAGCTACATAATCTTTACTCCCTGGAGTGGAGATAAGAAACGCCCTAACCTTTGTAATAGAGATTGATAGGATTGGAATCAACTGGTATAAATACAGATGTAAGAACAGAGAACTTAGAACACAGAACTTAGAATACAGAACCAAGAGAGACAGAACCTAGGCACAGAACCTACACAGAACGTTCTCTAGAGACAGAAGAACTTCGCTGGAGAGAACAGGCAAAAGATCCTGGACTGAACCTGACTACAGAAATTGGCAAGAGAACCTGACTAGAACCTGGTGACTGAACTTGGCTGGAGAACCTGGCTGGAGAACCTGGAGAACCTAGCAAGAGAACATGGACACAGAACCTGGCTGGAGATCCTAAGCAGAACTTTGCTGGAGATCCAGACTAGAACCTGGTGATCCTAAGAAGAACCTCTCTGGAGATCCTAACCAGAACTTAGCTAGAGAACCTCGCTATGATGATCATCTGAACGCCCTCTCCGTGTCATTCCTTCTTCACTAATTCCATCCACACCTTTGGGGACCCCTGGACCTGCTGGGGCTCGACCCCAGCATATGGCGCCCGAACTAAAGTATCACTTTTGATCGTGTATTTAATGAAAATAATACGTTCTTATTTCATCTCTTTGGCTGTGATTATCATAGAGTGATTACATTACCATGTCTTTATTCATTATCTAATTTAGCTTCCTTTTATCTGATTCTCATTATTGCCTATTTTTCTGAAGGTATTTTGCTTTTTTTGTCAGCTCTTTGATTGATCTTTGCAGAGTATAATCAGATGATGCTACTGTCCACTTACACCCTTCAGTGGCTGGCTTCTTATTGCAAATCCAAACTCTTCACCATGGCCTCCAGCTGCTCACCAGTGTCACACTACACACTGGCCTCCTTGTTGTTTTTCCAAAAGCCAGTTATTCCTTGCACAGCCATTTCCTCTGTCTGGGATTCTTTTTCACCATTTTTTAATAAGGTTGCTTTTTTTTTTATATGTCTTTACCCAAATCATCCTGGAGAGGCCTTCCCAGATCACCCAATCTCAAGTAACCTCCCATCTCTATCTTACCACCTTATTTTACTCTCTACAAAGCATGTATGGCTGTTGGAAATTTTCTTTTTTCAAAATTTGTTTGCTTGTTCATATGTTTTCCTCACTATAATGTTTCCTCACTAGATATTTCATTATCTAGAAAATGAAACATAAAGACAACCATGTTGTTTTTATCCACCAGATTTGGATCATGCATTGAAATGCCTTCAACGTGAAGATCCCAGTTTAAAAGTCAGGCTTGATCCTGACTCTGGACAGGTAGGTGTATTGTTGCTTAATCCCGATATCTGTCAGTAATGTAGCATGCGTGTTGAAGTAAGTATATCTGAAACATTGATAGGTCTATGCCCCTGAAAAAGAAACTTTCTTTTTTGGTTTTCATAATAATAAACTTGTAATTATTATGTTGACTACCAATCTAAATAGATAAGTTCTCCTTAATTCCTTAAAATAATTATACCTCACTTGTATAAACTACTTTGCAACGTTTAGACCATCCAGAAGAGAGCCTTTTGTGAAATTTTCAAATGAGGTTCAACCCCAAGACAAAGCCTTGAATCTCATATACTAAGGCTTATAGAAGCAGCAAAGTAAAGGGAGGGTACAAAGGGTCTCTTAATGATAATGACACAGATGGGTGAGAAGTGATATATTTCAACCCAGCAATGTGGGAGGAAATAGAGTTCTAAAGTAGGTACAGAATTGGGCTGTATCTGGAGAAGAACAGATGTTTATTCCGTATCTTTTTAGGTGGGCAAGGTAAAGTTTACATAAGATTTTAGAAAAAGTTGCTTAAAAAGATAAAAAATGCCGATACATATATTTTAAAAATATCAAATGACACACAAGTATACAGGTTAAAGAATTAAAGTTTTCCTGTCTCTCAATCCTGTTCTGCACAGGTAACCATTAAAAACTTGATGAATACCTGTATAGCCTTTCACACTTTTTTAAACATCCTTTGGTTCTGTTTTATAAAGCACAGTATATTTTTTCTAAATATATATGTACATATATATATAACAAGTCATTCTATTTGTATTATTCTACAACTTGCTTTTTTCCAAATAATTTACCTCTTTAACTTTACATTAAAGTATAATAATCACATACTGTCGTTTTTGTTGTTGTTCCTTACCATTGTAGTTTTATTACAGCAAAAGGATACAAATTAGAATCAACTAAAGGAAGAGATGCAAAGTCTGGGACAGTTCTTTTTTTTTCTTTTCTTCTCTTACATTAGCTATTAGCTTTTATTATTTATTTATTTATTCATTCATTCATTCATTCATTCATTCATTCATTTAAAGTCTTTATTGTTGAAAGTCCCCTTTTCCCCCCATTGACCTGTCCCAGCCTTCCCCCACCCCCTACCCTAGGCCTTCACTCTATTTATTGTCTGTGTCCATGGGTTATGTATATATGCATACAAGTTCACTGGTTGATCTCTTCCCATCCACCTACCCTCCCCTGCCTTCCCTCTGAAGTTTGATAGTCTGTTCGATGATTCTATGTCTCTGGATCTATTTTTTTTCATCAGTTTATGTTGTTCATTAGATTCCACATATGAGTGAGGTCATGTGATACTTAGCTTTCTCTGACTGGCTTATTTCACCTAGCATAATGTTCTTCAGGTCCATCCATAATGTTGCAAATAGTAAGAGTTCTTTCTTTTTTAATATTCTATTTTGTGGATGTACCACAGTTTTTTAATCCACTCGTCTGCTGATGGGCTGTTTCCAAATCTTAGCTATTGTAAATTGTGTTGCTGTGAACATAGGGATGCATGTATTCTTTCTGATTGGCTCAATCACATACTACCTGTGTGTTGACCTTTAGTCTACAGCACCTCCTGTAGGTTTGGGTTGGTACCTTTACTCTCCAGGTTGAAACTGATAGGCTATTACAAAACCTGCATTATACAGTAGGTCCTCAGGTTACTTCGGAGATCCGTTCCTACGGCTTGACGTAATGCGATTTTCGCCGTAAGTCGGAACCCACCTACATAAGCACCTACGTCACTCACATGGAGCACATACACAGCAGTAATGAAGTGAAACAGTAAAAAAAAAATTAAAAGAAAGACAATTCCTGACCTTTACATATGGTAAATAAATAATAAAAAACATAAAGCACATATGTACATATGTCGAGATGAGGAACTTTTTTTTTTTTAATAAATAAGTGGGAGATGGCGACGTAACCATGAAACGATGTACGTCGAGTCTGACGTAACCCGAGGACTGTCTGTAAATCACAGTTTGACTAGCTGGTAGACAGAGCCCCCTAACAGGAAAAGATATTTCTATCAGGTAGTATCTTGACCTAGAGATAATCTCTCAGTCACTGAGGGCAACGGCCAGATCTCTCTTTGGGTAAATTCTTCACTACAGAGATGGCAAATGAATAAAATGGAGCAAATATGGGCTTCTTGCAACCTTCTTTAGGAATAGCCATTGTTGCTAAAAAAAAAAAAAAAAATGCATGTCTTGATTGCTTTTGATACAAATTTGGCTGTTCTAGCAAGGGCTCAAAATAACATTGGTTCATAGAAAATAAAAGTCAATTTCTGTCACATAAAGGCCGAAACTAGTCTGGAAGTTTGGACTGCCCAATAAGCTGTAAGATGGCCGGGATGGTTGGGGATGTTTGGGAGAAAGGGTATTTCCCCATTTTATAAGATGTTGCCCTCATCCACATTCAAGACAGTTTCCTACCTTTTTCTTAAGAGAATTTTTTCTTTCCTTAAAAGCACAGCCCAGAAGTTGCCAACATCAGTTACACTCAGATCCCATTGGCCAGAGCAGGGGTCCTCAAACTACGGCCCGCGGGCCACATGCAAATACAGATACTGTATTTGTTCCCGTTTTGGTTTTTCACTTCAAAACAAGATATGTGCAGTGTGCATAGGAATTTGTTCATAGTTTTTTTTCAAACTACAGTCCGGCCCTCCAACGGTCTGAGGGACAGCGAACTGGCCCCCTGTTTAAAAAGTTTGAGGACCCCTGGGCCAGAGCTTAGCTCTATGGTTGAGAAATGTAGGCCTCGCTAGATGCCACTTGCTCAGCTGATAAGTGTCATGGAATGGTAATATAATGGAAGAGAATGGCCTAGTAATTCACTTTTAATTAATAGTTCTAATCAGAAAAGTTAAAAACAGTGTTTTGATGTAGGAGCAAAAAAAAAAAAATTGCAGAAGAAACTCAGTTTGTAATTAATGAAAAAATAACTTAGACTGATATACCTTTATATAGTATTTTGTGGTAAACATTTTTTCTTGATGTTTGTTTTTCTTTTTTTAAAACAAGACTGTCTTATGTGGAATGGGGGAGTTACATATTGATATTATTCATGACCGAATCAAGAGGGAATATGGACTGGAAACCTATCTAGGACCTCTTCAGGTGGCATACCGAGAGACCATCCTAAATTCAGTTCGTGCTACAGGTAAAAAATAAAACATCTTCTGTTTTTGTTTATCTCTTTCTCTCCAGGATCTGTCTTCTGAATCTCTTGTTTAGTTGTAAGCAGGATTCACAGTCACTAGTATGACAGGTTTTTTTAAACAGCCCTATTCCATTATCACTCACTACATCTACTGGATAAGTGACTCATCAAGCAGATGTGATTTTCAGTGTCATGGAATAGAATGAGCCATGGAAGTTGGTGGCTTATCCTAGTCCTCACTTCCAAAATGAGTAGTTGGATCAGATGCATTCCAAAGGAAAGGGACTACTGTATAGATGAAGCTTTCTTTTGCATAAACCTAATGGTAACCACACACCCAAAACCCAGAACTGAAGCACATAGCTTAAAAAAGGAGGAAATAGAAGAGTGAAGTTGATGTGTTATTTTTACTCTATAAAGTGAGTGGAAAATAATTTTCACTATTTAATAAATATGGTAATCCTATACTGATGAAAATGCAGGGTTTTTTTAAAAAAATATATTTTATTGATTTTTTACAGAGAGGAAGGGAGAGGGATAGAAAGTTAGAAACATCGATGAGAGAGAAACATCGATCAGCTGCCTCCTGCACACTCCCTACTGGGGATGTGTCCGCAACCAAGGTACATGCCCTTGTCCGGAATCAAACCTGGGACCCTTGAGTCCACAGGCTGACGCTCTATCCACTGAGCCGAACCGGTTAGGGCGAAAATGCAGTTTTTATATTTCTGTCCCAGAATGAAAGAATTCATGATTCATAGTTTTAATTTGGTTTCCCTTAAGCAAAAGAACGTGACATTATTGCTGTTCTTCCTAGGAGAAAACATGGACATGTTTGTTAAAAAATATATACAGAAAAGATGTTTAATATACCAGGTGCTTTTAGCCACTCAGTGATTTCTAAAAAGAGCAAATGATTACTTTTCACAAAAACTTTAAAAACTAAATGAATAGAATAAAGGAGCAAATGACACATGTATTTCTGTTTCTGAACTTAATACCTGGAAAAACTAAAAATGCTGGGAAATATAAATAACACCTTTAAAATTAATGTCTGAGCTGGTTAGAACTTAGTGGAAATTTCCAAGGTTGAAAGGAAACTGAAGCAGGAACCTTGGAAAATAAGTTAGCACCAACGCCACTAGATATGAGGGCCACGTCCTCATGGAAATAATTAACAAGGAAAATCTCCTTCATAAAAGAAAACTTGTCTAACTGGCTCTGGAGGCAAGGGACAGAATTTCTAAGAATGTGTAACCATAGGCTTCTGATGGGGCTTTCAGCCTAAATTTATAGAATCAAAATGACCTGAAAACCTCCAAACCAAGAAGAATTTAGTGTATAGTGCTCTCATGGGTTGGCAATATTCCCAGGAACCTGGTGACAACAAACAAAGGACTTCTCTACATAAATGTATCTTCAGCCCAGGCCTCAAAGAAAATTCCACAGAAAAACAAATATGAAGTCACAGTTTTAAAATCATAAAATCATGAGAAAAGGCACAATGAGCAAAAAGGCAATTGAAGCAACAAACATTCGTCAGACCAGCAAAGGCCTCTAAAATTGGAATTATCAGATGCAGAATATAAAATAAGTATATTGTTTTTTGAAGAAATAAAAGTGAAAGGAAAGTATTGATAAGGAACAAGACATTATAAAAAATAAACAGGCAATGGAACATCATCTTGTGTAAGAAGGAAAGGAAATGCTCAAAAAATTATGAGGGCATGTCATAAGGACACAGGAACCAACGTGTAGAGGCTCCATTGGCCAAATCTGGGTTAATTTGAATACCAGAATAATTAAATACAGTAATTATAGACCACTGAGGAAAAGTAGGAATTCAGGAATCTCTAGTCATAAATACGTGGGGAAGAAGAGAGGGTTCTTCCTTATACTGGAATGCCAAGTGCTGTTAGTTGTCAAGGAGGCAGGAAAATAGTCATTTTGCGACTATTGTGAATGCTTAATGTTGGGTACATGGTTGAGTAGCATATTTGCATGGTTTTAAAATACCCACAGATTGCTTATTAGTTACAAGGTTAAAAAAAAAGTAACTGGATGCTGCACAATCGGACCACACCTTGACTGATGATCAAATTACTATTGATAATGAAGGGCAGTTGGGCATTGTGTACATCCAGAAAATGGAAAATCATACTGTTCATAGACAAGGAGACTAAATACCATGATGCTATCAATTCTACCCAAAGAAATATATCCGACATTAATACTTATTATAAAGCCAATAGTTCATGATACTAATCAAGCTATAAATCGACCAGTAGAACAAATCCAGAAAGCCTAGAAACAGACTCATACATAATGTGGGAATTGGGTTTATGTCAGAGTAATATTGCAGCTCAATGGGAAAGGATGGACTGACTATTCAGTAATGTCCTGGGATAATTATCCATATGGAAAAAGACTTGATTCCTACTTAATACCATTCACAAAAGTCAATTCCAAATGAGTGTAAAAACCTAAATATGAAAGAAGAGCTGCAAAATATCCCTCAGAGCACAAAATATAAAGGAAATAAGTGCTAATATATACCAAAATAAAATTAAAAGCCATAAACTTTATTATAGGCAAACCTTCAAATTTTGGGAAGAAAATATAGGGGAATAACTTTACTAACCAAGATAGGGTTGGACTTACATAATACCAAACATTGAAATGTTGAAGTAAAGTTTACTAAATTTGATGTTATTAAAATTAATAATTTGTTTATTAGAATAGATGATAAAGCAAAAAGATATACCAAAAGCTAAGGGAAGATATTTGCGTCATATAAATTAATAAAAGATTAGTTTCCAAAATGTATAAAGAATTTCTAAAGATCAGAAAAACCTGACAACAAAGTAGAAAAGTGAGCAAAAAATATTGCACAGATATTTCACAAAAGATGATACCCAAAAGGCCCATGAACATATTAAATAAAAGATTCTCAATCTCAGTAATGATTAGGATCATGCAAGAATATGAGACACCATTTTATATCAACAAAATTGGGAGGAATTAAAATCTGACAATGCAAAGTGGTGAGATGTTGTGCTTTGGAAATTCCTATGGGAGTCTAAATTGTATAACCACCACGCAAACAATTTGGCAACCTTCTTGTGAGTTGACCCTGTTCATACCATACTATTCAGCAGTTCTACTCCTAGGTATGTACCCTAGAGAAATGCTTATACATGTGCATGGAAAGACATAAAAATCTTCACAATAGCGCTATAATAATATTTTTTAAAAAAAAAGGTAAGTGAAAAAATAGCCCAACTATTTGTGGACAGAAGAATAGATAAATAAATGGTACCATGATCAGACAATGAAATATTATATATCAATAAAAAATAATGGGCTCTATCAACACATATCAGCCTGTATGACCCACTAATGTGAAGCCAAAAAAAAGCAAGTTGCAGTATACATAACAAACAAGTTCAGAATGAAGCAGAAATAAACTCTAAAAAAATCATAGTAATGATTAAATATGATGTCATGATAGTGGTTGCTTCAGAAGGTTTCTAGGTTACTGGTAATGTTCTCTTTAGTAATTATAGGTTTTTTGAATGTTCATTTTATTTTTAGCTTATGCACATATCTGTAAGTATAAAATAATTCACAATATAAAAGTTAGCTTAGAAAGGAATTATGGCCCTAGCCAATTTGGCTCAGTGGATAGAGCATTGGCCTGCGGACCAAAGGTTCCCAGGTTCGGTTCCAGTCAAGAGCCTGTACTTCGGTTGCAGGCTTCTTCCTGGCCCGGGGCCCTGTTCAGGGCTCACGCAGGAGGCAATCAATCATGTGCTTCTCTCAGATTAATATTTCTTTCTCTTCCACTCTCTCTAAAAATAAATGGAAAAATACCCTTGGGTGAGAATTTTTTAAAAAAAAGGAATTAAGAAGAGGAATTGTATACTATAATTACTTGTTTTGAATTTGGACCATGAATCACTGCATTACATAGTCATATAAATATATCAGTTTTGTTTAATAAAATACTGCAGATTAGTGACAGCTATTGGTTGTTAGCTAATGAGAGATAATATTTTTAGTATCTCTGAAATTTTCAGTTTTACAAAAAGACATTTCACTAGTTTGGGGGGGGGAAGCATAAACTTCAAATACATATTATATTATTAGAAGAATATATGAAATTTAACTGTACGTTTTATCAGGGTTAATGCCCTTTTAATTTTCATTAGATGACTTTTTAAATAAAACTTTTGTGATTAGAATTTCAGTCACATAAGAGATGTTTCAAAAAGTTTGAGTAATCTGCATATCAAAATTTGTGTGATCATCTGCCTCAGAGCATCTTAACTAAAACAGTATTAGTTGGTGATTCAGAGCAGGCTTATAGCATTGATAAACGTGAAAGCAGGTATTTTCTTGGTGGAACTACTTACGAGTACTTTGACATGTTTATACTGCATTTAGTGCCATTGTTAGTATTTTCTCGCACTTTGTCTTCCATGAGAGTTTGAACTTGTTGATTGCAGTTTTCCCAGTTGTGGCACCTTGACACCTTTTCAGAACAAATCTCTGTATATTCGTTTACAGATACCTTAGATAGAACTTTAGGAGATAAACGGCACCTTGTGACTGTTGAACTGGAAGCAAAGCCAACTGAAACATCATCTGTTGTGCCAGTTATTGAGTATGCTGCAAGTATTAGTGAAGACATTTTGAAGGGCTCCCAAGAGGCCATTGAAAATGGAATTCACAGTGCATGCCTCCAAGGTAAGGTATCTTGGATAAGAGTAAGCATGAATATCACAATCAGTCACTCCCAATATTACCGATTATTTCAGTCTCTCTTCCCATCATGTGTATGTTATGCCTTTTATAATTATCCCATCGTCCTTGAATATTCTGTTCTGTGTTGTTGTTTTTTTAGTCTTATGTTCAGTATGCTTTTCCAGTTTTGGAGGCTTCTGCTGATATATAACTCAGAAATAGGGGTTGAGAGAGACAGACAGACAGACGCATCGATCAGTGGCCTCCCATACGCGTCCCGACTGGGGATCAAACTGGTGTACAGGACGATTCTCTAACCAACTGAGCCACCTGGCTAGGGCTGACTCGGAGACTAGTTTCCTCAGCCTATCCTGTCTACTTACTTGTAAGCCCATCAGAGGTATCCCTATTTCTGTGATGGTGCTTTTGAGCTCCAGCATTTGTTCGGGTCTTAATCAGGACTTCCCTCTATCTCTGCTCTCATGCCCATCCATTCTTACATGCTGTCAGCCTTATCTGTCAGAGCTCTTAGCACATTAGTCATAGTTGACTTACATTCCAGGTCTGATCATTCCAATATCCCTGCTGTGTCTGGTTCTGATGCTTATTTTATTTAAATTGTGCTTTTTGCCTTTTAATATGCCTTGTAATTTTTTGATAGCCAGTCATGGTATACTGGGTAAAAGGAACTGCTGTAAACAGGCATTTACTAGTAGTGATGTAGTGAGGTATGGGGATGGGCAGCCTTCTACAGTCCTAGGATTAGGTCTCCGTCCTTTAGTGATCCTGTGCCTCTGGACTGTCAGCTGCACACGTGTTTTCGTTTTTTTCACTCCGCTCAAGTGGGACAGGATGGCTGGAGTGCACTGGAATAGGGCACTTCGCCCATCAGGCTCTGATGATGATGATACGCTTGCAGGTTAGGCTTTGGTTAACCAGGTCCCCCTGAGTGCAGACCTTGTTAGGAACAGAGCGCTCTGGCCCTTGTCAGTTAGCTCAGTTCGTTAGAGCATTGTCTGGCTACACCAAGGTGGCAGGTTTGATCCCCAGTCAGGGCACATACTAGTACGAGAGTCAACTTATTGATGCATTAAGTGGAACAACAATTCGATGTTTCTCTCTTTCCCTCCCTCCTTTCTTCTCTCCCTCTCTCCTTTTCTCTCCCTCTCTCTCAAAATCAATAAATTAGAAATGAAAAGAGTGCTCTGAAGTCTAAAGTACTGTTATTTTTTCAATCCTCACCCAAGGATTTTTTAAAATTGATTTTAGAGAGAGAAACATCGATGTGAGAGAAACATTGATTGGATGCCTCCCACACATGCCCCAACTGAGGATCGAACCTGCAACGTAGTATGTGCCTTGACCGGGAATTGAACCTGCAACCTTTCAGTGTATAGGACAACACTCCAACCAGCTGAGCCACACAGCCAGGGCCTGAAGCACTGTTCTGATTTGTAGTTGGTGGAATCCAAGGATGCAAAGGGGACGGGGCCAACTCTAAGTTTTGAAGGAGTCAAGAACTACACACAGGTTTTTGTCTGATTGGGGGTCGGTTCCCCTAAATTCCTTGCATTTTCAAGGGTCAACTGTATTTCAAAATTATTTTTCTTCTTCCCCCACGAAGCACCAGGAGGCTTTTCTCTGATAGTTGCTGTGAGAACGTGCTTGAGCTCCTAGAGGCAGACCTCACAGAATTGTGTCCCCTTCATGACAGCTCCCCCCAGGCTTGTCCACACCAAGCCTCCAGCCACTTGTCAATGACAGCTCCGTTTTTCTTACCCTGGTGCTGGTTCCTGGGGCGTTTTCTCTAGTAAGTCTTTGCTCCAGGAAGCCATGACCCTCTGCATTTGCCCTCGCTCCATTCTTGGGAGCAGGAGTTTGTCCTTTGTCCTCCCACCTTGTAGATCCAAGAAGAGCTGTTGATTTGTCAGGCTGGTTTCCTTCTACTTGTTGTTAGGACAGAGTGGTGACTTCCAAGGAAGCTCTTTATGTGCTAAACTGGACGTCCTCTCCCTGTTTCTTTCTTTTTCTTTTTTTTTAATATATTTTATTGATTTTTTTACAGAGAGGAAGGGAGAGGGATAGTTAGAAACATCGATGAGAGAGAAACATTGATCAGCTGCCTCCTGCACACTCCCCACTGGAGATGTGCCCGCAACCAAGGTACATGCCCTTGACCGGAACCGAACCTGGGACCCTTCAGTCCGCAGGCCGACGCTCTGTATCTACTGAGCCAAACCGGTTAGGGCCTCTCCCTGTTTCTTTGCATTTCTCAGTTACTCCTCACTGCATATTGAGTCCTAATACAAATGTTCCCCCTTGCCTAGGACCATTGCTTGGATCCCCAATTCAAGATGTGGCAATTACTTTACATTCACTGATGATTCATCCTGGTACCTCCTCAACTATGATTTCTGCCTGTGTCTCAAGATGTGTACAGAAGGTATATAACTACCCTAATCCTTTTTGCTTTAAGGTGACTCTTCTGACAGTAGTGGACTCTGATCCGCGGCAGCTGTACTTGTAGTGCCAGCCTTGTCTTTGCTTCCTGAGCCTTGTAGTCAGTGAGAGTTTTTACCATGGAGAATTTTTGATTTTTTTAATCACTGGGTTTTATTTGCAAGAGGATCTAAGGAATCACTGTTTAACATAGTTAGCTATGAAATATCCCTTGGTTTTGACAAATAGTCAAGTTTCCTTAAGTGGCAGCTCTGCTTTCCCTACCTCAGACACATAGCCGGTAGAAACAGCCATGGTAGGTTTGAGTGGAAGACATTTCCAGGGTCAGCTTGGCCAAAGGTGAACTATAATCTAAAGGACATTGAGGATCTAATATTGGTTCCAATATTGGAGTTCCTATTTATTCAAGTAAGATTACTTTAATCAAGAATTGCTGCATAATAGATTCAGGATAAGCATCTTCCCTTCTCAAAGCATCAAGCAATCTGGTCGTCTTGGCATGGTTACCCAATACCTACCGGGGCCGGATGAACCCCAAGGGTCCTGATATGCCAAGAAACGGCTCCATGCATTCCTCAGTGTGGGGATGCTTTAGCCTCGTAGGTGACTGATTTTGCATTAAAATACTTGCTTTTATAACCATCTTCTAATATTTTACACTGTGAGACCTGGTTTTCTATAGTCTTATTTGAATCCATAATTATAAAATTAACTTATTTGAATCCGTAATTATAAATTAACCCCAAGCTCCTGACTTAAGAAGGCTGAACTTATTATCTCTACTCTAGAAGTTAAAATTCAGACTTTGTTGTTGTTAACCCCCACGTGAGGATAGTTTTCCATTGATTTTCAGAGAGAATGGAAGGGAGGGAGAGAGACAAAGAAACATCAATGTGAGAGAGAATTATGGATTAGCTGCCTCCTACACATCCCCTATTGGGGACAAAGTCTGCAATCTGGGTATATGCCTGGACTGGGAATCAAACCGGTGACCCCTTAGTTCCTGGGTCTACGCTCAACCACTGAGCCACACCAGGCTGAGCTAAGGAAACTTTTAAACAGAAATTTGACTTCCAATTTAGAAATGGATTGGCATTCTTTAATATTTTTAGGCTCTGAAGACCGCTGATAAGCAAATTTTGGAGCCCTTGATGAACCTGGAGGTCACCGTGACTAGAGACCACCTCAGCGCTGTCCTGGCAGATCTGGCACAGAGAAGAGGGAGCATCCAGGAGATCCAGACTCGTCAGGACAACAGAGTTGTTGTTGGGTTTGTTCCTTTAGCAGAGACCATGGTAGGTACCGTGTCACTGAAAAGTACATGTTCTTCATTAAGGAACAGATAGGCTGAGCAAAAAGAGAATCAGTGACATCTGAAAGAAGCATCAGGGCTTTGAGGTAGAGGTTGCATGTCCCGTTTCAGCCATCGGGAACTATTAGGACTTTGAATTTAAATTGTAGGAGATTCAAGCAGCATGGGGGTCCTTTCCAGTCCTCCACGGTAGTAGATGTGTGTTGAACCAAAACATGGCACCAGCCTACCATTTTGCCCCTTCCAAGTTCTTACCCTGTTTCTTCAATTGCCAGTTTTTAGGCAAGTGTCAATTCTCCCACCACCAGCCTCTCTGCTCCAGAACAAGCAACTGAGTGCTGGCAGGCATCTTACCAGATGCCGGAACCAGGGAAGACACCTGAAACACACCAGTGTTTTCTGTCCATGTTTCAAATTTTTCCTGAGAAATTATTCAATGACCATTTGAAGAAATGATATGGTTAAGTTACTTAATCACCTTTTCTGGTAATGGTCAAAAGATAAGTGGCAGGAAGAGAAATTTGAGGCTTAAATTAGAAGAAGTAACTGATTTAAATTGTTTTGATTAGGGTTATTCAACTGTGCTTCGAACGCTAACATCAGGCTCAGCTACGTTTACCTTAGAACTCTCTAATTACCAAGCCATGAATCCTCAAGACCAAAGCACGCTGCTCAACCGAAGAAGTGGCTTGACCTAAGTGCTTCGAGGTCCTTGGGGAGAAGTTCAGGAGCACCTACCTATTCGTTTTTAGTAAGAACAATTTTTATTGCTTTTTTTATTGGGCAAATAAATTGTTTCAGTACATTCTTTAAGTGACTGAAAAAATCTTACTTAAAATTGACAGTGGCATCATAGCTGCCATTCTACTTTATGTCATGAGAAATGTGCTTTGATGTTGAGAGTTAATGTACCTGAACTACACCGAGGTCATTACTGTCAGTAAAGACACAGCCCTTTGGAATATATTGAGTAATATCACCAAGTTATATTTTTATTTTTTTAAGCTTCTCTCACAAAAATATGCCAGCCTTGTATATGTAATGTGTAAGATAGCATTTCAATCAATACAAAGATATTTTATTTATACACAGTGTACCAGATCTTAATTTTACATGATTTCCAAACCAAGTTGATTGTAGTAGACAGCTCTGGGCCTTTTCCCCTCCTAGTTTCAAATCATTTCAATACATTGTCACAATATCCAGTAAAAAGAGGTTCTGCAGCTATTCCGCGTCTGTAGAACAGATAGAGAATAAATAAAAGATGTTTTAGATTGATATCACTCATTTCCATCTTAAAAACTTAGTAGTTTAAATCAGAATCACCAACCACAGCATTCATTATTTTTAAAAGATTGTTAAAAGTGATTCAAGATGGAGGTCCAAATTTAACATAGCTATATATATAAGTCCAAATATATCTTCTTCTTATAGGTATTATTCCCTAATTAAGTCACTACTTCTTAGATTATATACATTTCTATTTATAGCAAAAATACCCAAGAAACAAACTAACAGTGTATAAGGTTAAAAGTCACCCTGGACTTAATAATATCCCAGCTTGAAAAGCAGACTTACCGGACCATTCTGCAGCGGTGAACTGTTAGTCTTCTGTAGGCATCATCTAAACTTCTGACATCTTGCCGACTCCAGAGTCTCTCGCCGATAGCACTTGCCCGAGGCCTAAAATGTAAACCATATGTCTCCCAAAGCATTTTAAATTCATTCATTCTTAAAGAAGTGAGTATCTAAGTCAGGGGTCCTCAGACTTTTTAAACAGGGGGCAAGTTCACTGTCCCTCAGACCGTTGGAGGGCCGGACTATAGTTCAAAAAAAAAAAACTGAAATTCCTATGCACACTGCACATATCTTATTTTGAAAAAAACAAAACGGGAATAAACACAATATTTGTATTTGCATGTGGGCCGTAGTTTGAGGACCCCTGATCTAAGTCTTATGTGGCCGGGGGGGTGGGGGGGGTGAGGGGGGATTCCTAATGCTTTCCGACTTGGATGGAGAAGAAAAACTAAGGCACCTTAATTCAAATGTGATCACTTAAATTCCATACCATAGTCTCGGAGAGAGGTTAGTTGCATCCACGTATTCTCCCCACAGACAAGCTTCTCCACCAATGACAAGTTGTTTCTGTTCCTGAGTACCTACGTTAAAAATCATTGGATTGATGTACGTTAGCAGTTGCAGCTTAAGGCTTAGAAACAGAAGGATAAGTCAGTATTGCCTCTATCTTTATCCTGGGGCTGCATTTTTCTCCTGTGTCAGCAGAATCTTGGGAGATTTCATGGTAGTGGCACTTGGCAAACTTTATTCCTGCCCCCGACCCTGTGGTTCACACAGTGCTTTTTAGCAAGTGCCAACTATGTGGTGGCCAGTATTAAAGATACCATTTTATACTGGTTTTCTGCAAACTGATTTGGGCACCAGAAACATTTTTTCCCCTGGTTGCCTATGAATAGTGTACCAGGGAGCACAAATTGGAATACTAGTGACCACCACTCCTGTCTTTGGGATCTGTCTCTTGGTAGTAAAAACAAGACCAACTACCTAACACCGAATCCCAATCAGGGCACATACCTAGTTTGTGGGTTTGATCCCCAGTCAGGGTGTGTACGGGAGGCAACTGATCGCTGTTTCTCTCTCTTCCTCCCTCACAATAACAGTAATAACATATCCTCAGGTGAGGACTGAAAAAATGTGGGTAGAGAGTAACAAGACTCATCCGTGAAAATTGAGATAAAATCTAAGGGAATCCACTTTTGAAGTTCTTTTATTTAGGTAAGGATTTGGTTTATTTCACATTTCAAATAATACTGAGGCCTTCCTTTTTAAGTAAACACAAAACCAAGGATCAAACATAAAAGGGAGGAGAGTTAGTAGGTAATACCGAGGTAAGGATTTCCTAGAGGGGAGGGTAGTGAAGAGGGGTAATGATGTTGCTTCACTTACCACTAAAATTGAGAGGTTCCACTGCATAGTATAGTCTCCAGTCTTGTCCATAACTGATCCTGTCCAAGTACCACGGAGCAGAGATGATCACAGGGAAGCCAGCTGCTGTGATTGAACTCAGTTCCTTAGCATAATTTTGCTCTTTCCATACTTGAACTACAGTGCCTGACTGAAGCTATTAAAGTTAAAAATTGCAATATATATTATTAGGTCTAGCAAATTCAGTAGGTGATATTTAAAGTCCAAGACTTGTAACTAGAAAACTAACTTTAAGATCCTTGAAAAACTTAAAACATTGTCATCTTTACCCTTCCTCTTCAGTTAGTGTCAAATGCTATTTCTTATAGAGACTTAAATTTAGAAGTTGCATTAACCTTCAGGTTGGATACTTAACTTTTGCCTATTTATGACACCATACAGGTGTAATGAACCAAGGCTTTAGTCCCATCCTACCACACTATTGTTTTACTTACTGTCAAACTGTGAGGTTGCCAACAGCCCTCGGGAAAGTTCATACTAATTGCTGGAGTTGCAAATTCTCAGTTGCCCCAAAGGAAAATAAAGAATTCTGACTAAGAATTAGAGAGATGCCATGTAAAATAAAAAGTGTACGTTGGCAATTTTACCTAAAACTACCTTAATAGCAGTGAAGACTCATTTGTTCTTATCTGTTTGTTCTGCCCTTTCCTGAGGGAAAAAAAAAAGGAGCTTCAAAGTACTCCCATTTGTGATTAATGAGATGGCAGGGGATGAGGGAAAAGAGGAGGAGGAGGCCTGAAAGAGTGAAGTAAATGGAAGAAAAGAAACAAACACCATTAATATTGGCCTCAGTGCACAGCTACTGCCTAATAAAAGTTTAAATGGAACAGGAAGCTAATTTCCCTATAGTGTTGGGGAATGGAGATATTAGAACATGAAGCCTGTCATAGTATCAGAGTCAAATGTAGTTTTCATACTTCTCACCTTTGCGTTATTATCAAAAACCTCTTGCCAGACTATGGATCCCTTCTTTAGAGTTGAAATAATATTCAAAAGCCTGCCATTGTGGGAGGGAAAAAAGTTATTTCAGATCACAAGCTTAACAATATGTTGAAAGCATGCATATTTTCTACCAAGGACTGAAACACTGAGAGGTACCTTTCAATATAGCACAGCTTTATAGCAGAACCTGCTAAATTTGGTGGTAAGCCATGTGGCTCCTCCTTCCTAGAACATGGCTCAGAAGCTGACACAGCAGAGGGGTTTAACAGTCATTTGCTGAATAAATGAGCTAATAAGTATGCGCCCAAAACAGGAAGACAGGGAAGCTAACAGGGAAATGTACAAACAACAATCTTTAGTAATTTCATGGGTATCTTAGAAACTATGATCTAGACCAGCGGTTCTCAACCTATGGGTCGTGACCCCTTTGGGGGTTGAACGACCCTTTCACAGGGGTCGCCTAAGACCATCCTGCATATCAGATATTTACATTTCGATTCATAACAGTAGCAACGAAAATAATTTTATGGTTGGGTCACAACATGAGGAACTGTATTTAAAGGGCCAGAAGGTTGAGAACCACTGATCTAGACTATAATGTCACCTAAATAACACTTAACAGTTGCTGACAATCAGTCCATAAGTATTTCCTGATATTTAGACAATGCCATGAACTCTGCAGGATAAAAAAAAAAAATAGAATGTATCATACAAAAAGCTAAATAGGAAAAGACTAGAATATGGGCTTGCCCAGTGCAGGCAAACTACAGCCTGTTTTTGTGTGGCTCATGAGCCAAGAATGGTTTTTACATTTGTAAAGTATTCAAAATTTTAAAAAAAAGTGCAACCAGATGTGGCCCACAAAGCCTAACATATTTACTTTCTGGCCTTTACAGAAAAGTGTACTGGTCCCTCGTATAGAACAGCACTGCCCAGTAGACCTTTCTGCAGTGGTGGAAGGGTTCTTGTCTGTGTACCTTCCCATATGGGAGCCACTAACTAACCCCATCCAGCTATCGGACACTTGAAATGTGGCTAATGTGACTAAGGATCTGAATTTTTAATTTCTTTAAATGCAAATAGCCACATGCGACCATGGCTACCGTACTGGACAGATATAAAGTAAAAAGAAATGGTCCTGGAAATGAATTACAGGGGCTGGATGGTGGTGAGGACTTCATAGGGTAGCCAAGGGCTTTCAGTGGAGTTCCTAGAACACATGACTGCTGTCCTATCGTTACTGCAAAAGGCTTAGAGTTACCATGTTAACTGATTTGAAGAAAGCAGTGGATCATGCTTCCTTCTTTATGATTTTTCATGCAAAGTATACAACATTTACACTTTAGCAAGGGGTGGAGAGAAAATAAAGCAGTACTAGTCATAGCTAAAACTTTTACAAAAGGCATTGATTGAAGTAGGCTTTCAAGTAACTTACTTTTGAATATAGAAAGATTCTAGTTTACTAAAATCAGTGCCAAAGCCTTTCTGCTTCATGAAAGTCTGGATATTTGGATTGGACTCCCTTAAAAAAAAAAAAAAAAAAAAAAGAACAATTAAAATTTCATTAGTTTGATATGCCCAATCTATTTAAAGCAGCGTACATCTTACCATCATTTGTGCCAATTTAAAACTGTTAAAGTTGTAGAGTAAAAATAAGCTTAAAAACTTAGTTATGAGTTATCTTTGTTTTCCACAACAAATAATTTTTTCCAGAAGCTGATTTCTTGTAAAAATGGCTTTCCCTACCTCCTGCCTCTCTCCTCCATTTATGGCTATTCGCAAAGAGGATTTTTTATTTGAAAAATCCCCCTCACTTACTGCCCTCTTTCACTAAAGCTGTTTTCATTCACTATAGTCTTTTTTTGTTAAGTCTCCATTCTCTTCTGCATTTTGATTCTCCTTCCTAAAAGCTTTTGTTTTCTCATACCACCCCAAATTCACCATCTCAGGAGTTGTGTTGCCAAATGAAAACCGTGCAAGCAGAGATGATATCCCAAATCTTTCCTTTCCATGTGGAGGCCTTTAAACCTACTTCAAATGCAACGGTTAAAGAAAATAAGGGTTTTAAAGAATCGTCATACCAACAATCATATTCCACTTCATCTCCTCCCAAATGAATGAACTGATCTGGAAAAACCCAACTGATTTCTTTGAAGAGCTTATACAGGAAACTGTAAGTTGTATTCAAAGTAGGGTTTATAGGTCCAGAAACTTCAGGCTGATAGGACCTATAACATGGAGTCAGGAGACCTTCCTGGCCTGGGGAAAAACAAGAAGATTCTTTCCTTAAAAAGTAATTTGATTACAAAGATATGGCTTAGCACATGACCATACTTTCTTTTGTTGGAGAACTGTTTCCCGAATCCTATCCCGGTACCTCTGTTTCCTTTGCATCAGCCTCTGAGATTTTACCCACTTCACATATTATCTTGACTAATGATTCCCAAATCTTCAGCTTACCCCAACTCTTTCTTGGGCTTCCATCCATATTTCAGATTCCTTGCTCAACACAATTAAAAGTTCAACTTCACTATCCTATCTGCACTTCAAATACAATCCAACAAAAACTAAATTTATGTTCCCTAAGCTCCTTCAGGAGCTTCTCTTGATCTTTGTATTCTGGTAAGGGCACCACCATCCTCCCAGTCTGTAACTCTTCCCCTTCCTCCTAAAGTCAGTAAGTTGCCAAATTCTATGGATTATTTTTCCAAAATGTCTCCCAGTTCTGTACATTATTTTCCATTAGGACTTCAGTATCTTTCCCCTTCCAATCTGTCACTTTCACTTCGGTTTTCCTGAAGTGTGGCTCCCTCGTGTCACTCTTCTGCTTTATTACTTTCACTGGTTTCTACGTATCCTGAAGAGACCACATTCCTCAGGCAAGACCTCTCCATTGCACTTTTCCAGATTTATTTTCCACTATTCTCCATGTCTACTCCATGTCTACCCTAATAGTATTTATTGAACAGTTATAAATGTTAGTGGCTGTACTGTGTGCTTTACATTCATTATTTAATCCTCAAAAAGTTACATGGTAAGGACTGCTAACATTCCCATTCTAGAGATGGGGAAACTGAGGATGAGATGTTCTGTAATTTGTCCAAGGTCACTCAGTTATAAGCAGCAGAAGCAGGATTCAAGCCCAGGCAGTCTGGCTCCAGAGCCCGTTCTTAACCACCCTGTAATAAAAATTCCTCCTACTCTGCCTTTTCTCATGTGATTCCCTCCACCAGAAACACAAATATATTCTTTAATCTCTCAGAAGCATTGTAAGTGTTAGCTCATCCATAAAACCATTTCTTTGTGTGTGTGTGTGTATGTGTGTGTGTGTGTATTTTATTGATTTCAGAGAGGAAGGGAGGGGGGGGGGGGGGGGGAGAGAAACAACGATGAGAGAGAATCATTGATTGGCTGCCTCCTGCACGCCCTCTACTGGGGATTGAGCCTGCAACCCAGGCATGTGCCCTTCACCAGAATCAAACCCAGGACCCGTCAGTCTGCAGGCCGACGCTCTATCCATTAAGGCAAACTGGCTAGGGTGATAAACCATTTCTTGAATTCACTTACTTCTACTTGTCATAGTCACTTTATGTGTTTTCCTTTATCCTGTTTTTATACTGTGGGCAATGCCTAGATAACAGGAACTTGCTCACAACAGACACATAATAGTTACTGAATTGTTATTTGTCAATAGTGCTACTTTTTGTGTAAATCACAACTAAGAACAAAATGAGCCAACACCAAGTCATAAAATAAGAGATGCAGGACCTCAAATGTTCACTTTTTGCAACTCATAAAACACGTACCTTTTCCCCAAGACTGTGTATGTCCGGGGCTATCAAATTCTGGTATGACTCGAATCCCCCGTAATCGGGCATATTCAATCACCTCACGAACTTCATTTGGTGTATAAACATGAGAGAGAGAATAGCTTCCCTGTAAAAACCACGTTGATTAAAATTTAAATGTATGAAATGCATCCTGAAAACTGTTAACAGTCCTGATTGCAATTTGATATCTCATAGCTGATTTTTTTCAGTATCACAATGTATTAAATAGTTCCATGTGACTTTGCATGACTCATTTAAATTACTTACCATATCTTATCTCCATAAGCTTTCAGCATACTTTAGATTAATTCCACATTTACTAATAGATCTATCTAAAACAACCCCTCTTGTTTCAGGAATGTCTTCCATTATTCTGTGTCAATCTCATGTAACCCATACAAGACAGAAATAAAATGTTTGATTCCAAAGTGAAACCTCTGAAAATGAAATACACTGCCCTTGGCAACTTAGAATAAAAGTTTACAGGTTACTACAAAGCATAACTATTTCTCTTAAAGTCACTTTAATTGCTATCAGCTTTAAAAATTCCCCCAGAAACACTCTGGTAAGTGACCAGCTATTTCTTTAAGGTTACCCTCAGTTTCTTTATAGGTCACTTGAAAAACTAGAACTCAACACTGGTTGTAACTAAAGATAAAGGTCCATTAAAGGTATTACTGTAGCACATTTCTCAAGGTATAAATATCCTCCTATATAATAAAAGCCTAATATGCTAAGTGTCCAGTCATCTGTTCAACCAATCAAAGTGTAATGTGCCAATAATATACTAAGGCCACTCAACCACTCGCTATGACATGCACTGACCACCAGGGAGCAGACGCTCTGATTGGTAGGTTAGCTTGCTGCTGGGGTCCGGCCAATCGGGACTGAGTGAGATGGGCTGGACACATCCTGGAGCTCTCCCAAGGTCCCTCCCAGGTTGGCCAACCTCCCGCATCCCTCCGTGCACCACTAGGGTTCCTCAGTCTGGCCTATACCCTCTTGCAATCTGGGACCCCTCCGGGGATGTTGGAGAGCCGGTTTCAGCCCAATCCTGCAGGCCAGGCCCAGGGACCTCACTGGTGCACGAATTCGTGCACCGGGCCTCTAGTAATATATAAATGTATATGTAATATATAAATATAAATGCTCAACTCCTAAAATTAGCCTTGCCCCGTCCCCCAAATCAAATTTGTGTCTAATCAAGATTAGATCTAATATCTAGTCCACCAGTTTAAAGTAAATACTGAAGAACATGTTAACTGACAATATGGGAATGCAATTAGCAAAACCCAGACTATGGGAAACTATTTGGACAAATTAATTTCTTCATCAAAAAATAAATTCTAAGGGAAAAAAGCCCAACTGGGGTGGCTCAGTGGTTGAGTACTGACCTATGAACCAGGGGGTCATGGTTTATTCCTGGTCAAGGCACATGCCCAGGTTATAGTCTTAATCCCCAGTATGGGTCATGCAGGAGGCAGCCAATCAATGATTCTCTCTCATCATTGATGTTTCTATCTCTCTCCCGCTCTGAAATCAATAAAAATAAATATATATTTAAAAAAAGAGAGAGAGATAGACTCTGGCTGGTATTGCTCAGCAGTTAGAACATCAGCCCTTGAACTTACTAAAAGGTCGTGGATTCAATTTCTGGTCAAGGGTTTGTACCTGGGTTGTGGTTTGCTCCCTGCTCCCCATCAGGGCTCATGCAGGAGGCAACCAGCCTCTCTCTCTCTTTCCCACCCCACCCCAATCCCACTCCTGTTCTCCTTTCTATATGAACTGACCACAATGTATGGACCTTACTTGTACCTCAATGCAATTTTTTTTTTTCTTTTTAAGAAAAAGGGCTTTGGGAAATGGCTGTCTAGATTTTTAATTTTTTTTAGCTGCAATAATGTTTTGGTGTTTTTTGTTGTTGCTTTTAAACAGCCCCTGCACAAATGAGATAGGATGTCTTAGATTTGCTTCAGAATACTGGCGGGGGAAGTACAGGTGATAGAAGACTGGCTTGTACTGACTATTGAAGCTGGGTGATGAGGACATGGAAATTCATTAAATTCTACTTCTGTGGATGTTTAAAAATTTCCATAATAAAACGTAAGACAAAAGCAAACACAAACAGGAGTGCTGCTAGCATTTCAGCCTATACTGTGTTGTAACATTGGAGAAAGCTTTGGAATTAGGGACAGAGAATGAAATTTTGAGTCTTGGTTCTGCCCTTTCCTAACTACAATTTGGGACAAAGGCATATAGCTTCTCAGTTACTGTTTTTGGATTATATGGGATTAAAGTAGATGATACTGAAGCTCATTCCCATCTCCACTCGTCTATAATACAATCAGTTTGAACACTCTGAGACTACCATTATTTTCTAAGAAGGCGTTCTGATTTCTACAATTTTCTACTTCTGGTAGTTTTTCAGAGAGAAAAAGAAAGTCATTTAGAGAATTCAAAATAATTGTTTAAAACAAATAAACAGTTGGACTACCTGATAAATATAATTTCTTAACCGTATGAGAATCATGAAATGTGTCAAGGTTTCCTATATTCATTAAGGTTTTAAAATTTTATTTATATAGCCCCTTCAGATTGTTTACATTTATAATAACTATTATAAAAATGGAACAGTTTTATAGATCTAAAATGCTAAGTCAGCCCTAGCCAGTTTGGCTCAGTGGATAGAGCATTGGCCTGTAGACTGAAGGGTCCTGGGTTCAATTCCAGTCAAGGGCAGATACCTAGGTTGTGGGCTTGCTCCCCGGTAGGGGGCATTCAGGAGGCAGCTGATCAGTGATTCTCATCATTGATGTTTCTCTCTCTCCCTCCCCTTCTTCTCTGAACTCAATAAACATATTTTTAAAATAAATAAAAATTAAAAAATAAAATGCTAAGTCACAGCCTAGTAAAAAAACATTTAAAACCACAAATATCTAACTTTTACACTTTAATTCTATCCATCAGAAACATTAAAGCTACAAATTTCTAATGAAGCTACCAAAACTTTTTGTAAACAGACTACAACATAAATTACTCACTTTGTTGCTTAACTCTGGAAAAGTGGTGCTTTGATAAGGGAAAGACTGGTCATCGACTATGTGCCAGTGGAGAACATTAAACTTATTAAAAGCCATGGCATCCTGCAAAAAAAAAAGGTTAAAAAATTATATATCACAGATATAACACACAATCCAATTTATATATCTCCACTCAGGACTGTTCCCAATGTGTCTGCTTCCTTTTAAAATTTTCAGTGAAGAAAGAGTGTGGAAGCAGTATAAACCCTATTTCTTATATACTTTATGTGGCATGCCATATTTCAAATAGAAAAGCCAATATGGAATCTGTATTCATTCTAAATAGTGAGCTCTATGAGAAGGGAGCAAGCTTATACATTCCCAATAAGTATTTGGGGATCAGCCAAGAATGGAAATACTTCTTGGCTGCTCCTACTGCTATGAAGAAAAAGGAGGCATTCATTCAAGTTCCAAGCTTGTAATACCCACCATTCTAAGATTTGAGTGCCAAACCATTCCTTAGAAATAAGAGAAATATGGTACAAATGCAATACACTTCTAATCAAAATCTCAGAAGTTTTAGGGGAAACTGACATATTTACTCTGGAGGAATTAATAATCCTATCTAATAAAAGGGTAATATGCAAATTAACCATCACTCCATCACAAATATGGCCGTGTCCATAGTGGCCGGGGTGCTGGACGCTGCCAGCATCACCCCGGCGATGAGCCCCAGCCTCCCATGCACCCCGGCCCATGGAGGGAGGGAGGTTGGGCGGGCTTCTGGCCAGTGGCCGGCCGGGGCGCGGGATGCTGGCGTCATTGCAGGCCGGGCTGAGGGACACCCCCCACCCCCGAATTTCGTGCACCAGGTCTATAGTGTTTATATAAAATATAAGTAGATTATTATTATTTTTTAATATTGATTTTTTACAGAGAGGAAGGGAGAAGGATAGAGAGTTAGCAACATCAATGAGAGAGAAGCATCGATCAGCTGCCTCCTGCACACCCCCTACTGGGGATGTGCCCGCAACCAAGGTACATGCCCTTGACCGGAATTGGACCTAGGACCCTTCAGTCCCCAGGCCAACGCCCTATCCCAGTGATGGCGAACCTATGACATGTATGTCAGAGGTGAGAGGCAAACTCATTTTTTTGGTTGATTTTTCTTTGTTAAATGGCATTTAATTTCATAAAATAAATATCAAAAATATAAATCTTTGTTTTACTATGGTTGCAAATATCAAAAAATTTCTCTATGTGACACAGGACCAGAGTTAAGTTAGGGTTTTTCAAAATGCTGGCACGCCGAGCTCAAAAGGTTCGCCATCACTGCTCTATCCAGTGAGCCAAACCAGCCAGGGCAAATAGATTATTTTAAAAAGGTAAAAAACAATAAAGTGGGATATTTGCCCTGTCAGATAATCAAATTTAAAGATTGCCTTCTCCTTCATCAGGGCCGAAGGGATTTGCTGGTGGATCTGGGAAATAGCTCACGTACAAGGGAATTATACAAAGGAATATGTTGAGAGTAATGGCAGGATTTGCATTGTCAGAAGGGAGTTCCTTGTGGTTTTTAATAAAGATCAGGAGATGGCAAACATTTTACATGAAGGGCCAGATAGTAAATATTATTTTGGAGCCACTTATCCTGCAGTTGTAAGGCAAGACAATATATAAACAAATGGACATGGCTCTATTCCGGTACAACTTCATTTGCAAAAATAGGTGACTAGCTGGATTTGGTCCTTGGGCTATAGTTTGTCAGCCTCTGATATAGTATATAAATAGGTAAAGATGTATTTGTTCGCATAAATGAACATAAACATACACACATATGTTTTATAGCTCTGTCTGCTGAGAGGGCCTAGAAGCAATGAATACACCTACAGCTCAGGTCTTGGTTTCAAAATACATTCACAAAGTATTGCTTAGAGAAAAGTCTGAGTCCAGAACTGGGAAAGAGAAAAGGTAAGCCTGGGATATTATGTGCTAAAAAGTAAGAAATTGCTCAAAGATTGAAGAAGACATGCCATTAGGCTACAGGAACCAGTTAGGATTCCTGCTGGCCAACACTGAGACAACTTGACTATTAAATGGGGATAGTAACAGACTCCAGTCCCTTCAAAAAACAACAACACAGTAATCCCTGAGTACAGATTGACTTAAAAATGAATACTTTTAGAGAAACTCTATCTTACAGTAAAACTAGAGGCCCAGTGCACAGATTCTGCACCAGTAGGGTCCCTTGACCTGGTCTGTGGAGATCGGGCCAAAACCAGCAGTTTAACATCAGCAGTCTGACATACCCCTGGGGGTCCCGGAGTGCAAGAGAGCACTCTGCAAAGTTGCTGTCACTCAGCAGCTCCTGCGTTGAGTCTCTGCCCCACGTGGTCAGTGTGCGTCATAGCCAACGGCCAGTCGGCCAGTCGCTTAGGCTTTTATATATATAGATGCCAGGCCAACTAATAAACATAGAGGAATGATGGAATTTAGAAAATCTCCACCTGGCAGCCAACTTAGTAATAACTAATTTAGGCAAGAATCATCTGGGTGCTAAAACTAGTGGGTAAATGCTGGTTGAAGAACAGGAATTTTTTGTACTCTCAAAATATTGTTCCACAGCCCTAACCGGTTTGGCTCAGTGGATAGAGCGTCAGCCTGCGGACTCAAGGGTCCCAGGTTCGATTCCAGTCAAGGGCATGTACCTTGGTTGCGGGCACATCCCCAGTAGGGAGTGTGCAGGAGGCAGCTGATCGATGTTTCTCTCTCATCGATGTTTCTAACTCTCTATCCCTCTACCTTCCTCTCTGCAAAAAATCAATAAAATATATTTTTAAAAAAATATTCTCTGTTCTTAAAGTTATAAGCTTTAAAAAATATATACTGTTCCACAAGATACTAAATTACTTATTAATAAATACAAAATACCTTTTAATTAACTTTCCCTGGAGAAACCTGGCAGATGACATCTTAGTCAAGTTATAAGAGTTAACATTACCAGTAATGGAATAAATGACATGCAGGGAGAAGAACAGAGTATCACTTCTGCCTTATTCCTGCTAAAAATTGCACAGCCTGAATCTAATATGTGGAAAACAGACAAACTGAAGTATATTCTACAATGTAATTGTCCTATACTCTTAAAAAAATGTCATGGTCTGGAAATACAAGGATAGATAAATGGTTCTAAATTAAAGGTGGCTAAAGAGACATGACCAATAAATGCAATCCCTGACCCTGCATTGGATGCTGAACTGATAAAGGATTATTGGAACAACTGATGGAATGGGAATGGGGCCTGGGGATTAGATGGTAGTACTATGTCAGTTTCCTGGTTTTTGATGGTTGTACTGTTGTTATTGAGATAAGTGCTATTTTTTAGGGAATCCAAACAAATATTAAAGGGTACTGGGGCATCTTCTATGCAACTTGGAATAAGGCAAATCTGATACAATTTTTAAATTGAGTTGTCCGGGTAAACAGTATATGGGAGTCCTTTGCGCTCTTCTCACAACTTTTCTGTAAGTTTAAAATTATGTCAAAAAGAAAAAAACTTCTAAAGTTATAGAAATTAAAACCATTTATACTGGCCTAAGAAGATAAACTGGTAAGTAGGACAGACTGAGAGTTCAGAAAATGATTTGTGCATTTATGAAATTTAGTATTTGCTCGTCATGATATTGAAGGCAGTGGGGAAACTGTAGATTGTTCAAAAATGATGTTGGGACTACAGGGTAACCATTGGGGGGAGAGGGGGAATGAAAATAAAATAATCACCCATAATACACTAGATTCTAACTGAATCAAAAACTTAATAAGGAAAAAATATAATATTAAAAGAAATTGTTTTTTATATTTATACCCTTGTTTTGGAGGCTTTTTTTAGAATGCCTCCCAAGGTCAAAAACATAAAGACAAGATTGAAAGGTAATACTTCATAAAAAATTAAAACTTCTTACAAGCAAAAGACACTATACTATTAACATAATTTAAAAAACAAATTTAGAAAACTTAACAATATATGATGGATAAAAATATTAAAATATAAGCAAGTATATAAAAGTACCATTGACATATCTATAAACAAATATAACATTAAAGAGCTTTTAAATCAACAAGGAATTAATGTTCTAAAAGACAAAACAGGCATTGAAAATTGACTTGTTTGCAATGCAAAAAGTACAAATAGCTAGTAAGTAAAAGAGGCTTATAATAACTAAAAATCAAAGAAGTGCAAATTCAAACAAGGAGATAGACTTCATCACCAGATTAGCAAAGAATGTAGCAAAGGTGTGTCCCAGTGTTGGCCAAGCATACAGTGGTACGACCTCTCTAGAAGGCAGTCTGACGTACCAAATATAAAATGTATAGTCTTTAAGCCCAGAGATTCACATTCTTAGAAATAATCCTGATGAGTATACAAATATAGGAACACTTACTCTGCAGTGCTCTTTGTGATAATAATAAATTAACCTAGATGTCCATCAGGAGACTAAATGCACATATCACAGTATATAAAATGGAACATTCAACTGTTTAAAAAGATGATATAGATCAGTGGTTCTCAACCTTCCTAATACCGCGACCCTTTAATACAGTTCCTCATGTTGTGGTGACCCCCCAATTTCACTGTTACAAATTGAACATAATTAAAGCATAGTGATTAATCACAAAAACAATATGTAATTACATATGTGTTTTCCGATGGTCTTAGGCGACTCCTGTGAAAGGGTCGTTCGACCCCCAAAGGGGTCGCGACCCACAGGTTGAGAACCGCTGATATAGATCTTATATATTCTTTCATTGAAAGATGTCCATAACTGTATTTTAAAGATAGCAAAGTATAATCCCATTTAAGTTTTTTAAAAAGTCACATTATTTGTTAGTATATTTTTTAAGTCTAAAATGAGATAAATGAGACATGAAAACTTAACGTTGATCTTTGGTAAATTATGGGATTACTACTTATCTTATTAATATCTATATTGGGTGAAGTTTTTATACTGCACTGTTTTTTCCCATAAAAGTGACTAATGCCCTAACCGGTTTGGCTCAGTGGATAGAGCGTCCGCCTGCGGACTCAAGGGTCTCAGGTTCGATTCCGGTCAAAGGCATGTTGTACCTGGGTTGCGGGCACATGCCCAGTGGGGAGTGTGCAGGAGGCAGCTGATCGATGCTTCTCTCTCATCGATGTTTCTAACTCTCTATCCCTCTCCCTTCTTCTCTGTAAAAAATCAGTAAAATATATATTTTTTAAAAAAGTGACTAATGCCTTTTGGAGGAAAAAAATCAGGGTATTAATATAAATGTAAAAATAACTTTTTAATAATATGTATGTGGCCCTAGCTGGTTTGGCTTAGTGGATGGAGCGTCGGCCTGCAGACTAGAGGGTCTCAGGTTCCATTCCAGTCAAGGGCACATGCCCGGGGTTGCAGGCTTGATCCCCAGTAGGGGGCGTGCAGGAGGCAGCCAATCAATGATTCGCTCTCATCATTGATGTTTCTCTCTCTCCCCCTCCCTTCCTCTCTGAAATCAATAAAAATATATTTACAAATAATAATAATATGGTGTGTTTGTAAATGATCAAGAGAAGGTGCAGAAAAACGTGGGAGGAAATCCTCCCACTGCTACAAATTGGCAGTGATGACAGGGATGAACCAATAAAAAGTCCACAGGAGAAAACAGTTATTGTCAGCCTGGCACCCAGCTCTGACCACCCGAGGTTCCGTATTGCTTTGGAACATTTCCCTGGGTACAATGCAGTTCCCAGACTTCTATGTCACTATAAAAAGAGTCAGTGGAGGTCACAAAATGGTAGTAACTACATATTCCTAACCAGAAGTCTGGACCCACGGTTTGACAAATGGGAGTACACAAAGAGAGCCAACGGGCAGTATTAAAACTGTCTTTCTCTTAATCCTGGCTAAACTTGGGGAGTTTTTCTCCTCCTCCTACTCTCCCCCCATAAAAACAATAGGGTGATTCCCTAGGGGAGTCTCTACTTCAGCTGAGGAAATATACTTCACAAGGGAGAGAGAGGAGAGCCCCGTGCTTACACTTAGTACATAAAAAATGAATCCCCCACTGCAGCCTACATAATAGCATAACCGACATAAAGTAACAACATAAAAGGACACATCTTCAGAATGCACAATGGATTAAAAGAATTACCTACCAGAGTTCTAAGAATGGTCTTAACTGACAGAAAGTGTCTGGCTGTATCAATTAAAATTCCTCTATGAGGAAACCTTGGAGAATCACTAATGGTGGATTCATTGACGGTGAACTGTAAGACAAAATAAATTTTGACTTATTTTCAGAAATTTCTCTTGACATGAGCTCAAAAAAGACTACATCTATCTATGCAAGTATTGGATAAAATATATTAATTTAAAGCCCCCCAAAAAGTGTGAAATTTACATTTACCAGCTAACATAAATATTTGGGGAGAAGAAATCTTCAAGAGGTAATAAATAGCTAAAAAGCTTGCATTTTTCTTGTAGTAATCTGTCTATCCAAAAATGTTAACATATGATAATCATACTTACAGTCCCATATGCATCTTGATATATTAACTGGCTAAAGGTCTCTAAACCTAGGGAAAGTAAAATTTATAATTTATTGCATAATTTACAAAATAACAAATTGAAATAATAAAAGTTGTATTATCCAAACACAGAACCATGACCAGGTAAAGCAAATAAAATTAAATACAGGGTGTCCCAAAACATGTATACACACTTTACAGCTGCTAGTTCAATTTATGTTTCTTTCTTTTCAGCCAGGCTAAGCTTTGAACAAAGGAAATTCATCCTAAAATGCTACTGAAAGTTTGAAAATCCAGTTGAAGCGCAAATAAGGCCTTTATAGTTATTCAAAGTGTGTATACATTTTGGGGGGGACACAATACACACACTTTAACAGATGATAACTCACTGAATTTTCATTCCTTTTCAGGTTTAACTGATTTGAAATAATGGACGAAGCCAGACTAAACTTTGAACAAAGAAAATTTATCCACTAGACTTTTTTGTGGGGATACATAAAAGATAACATTTATGGCACAAAAACAGCAACAGTGGACGAACTGAGGGCACACAAATACCAAATGAAATAATTCTTGATTATTTGCGATTCCATTGCTTTGAATTATCAGCAGTGCCTGGACCAGAACGGTCATCAGTTTGAAAACAGGCGTTGACCAAAAACATTATTCTTTTCTGTAGATTCTTTTAAATTTTGAAAATGAACTGTATGTTAACAAACACTTTATAATCATTCAACATGTGTGTACATTTTGGGGACACCCTGTATATAGTGTTATACCTTTACCCTCTACATATTTTCTAAAATCAAAGCTCAATTTTTTTAAAAAATCCTGTTGCTATAAATAAAGTTTTATTTCATTGTTAATTCCATTTACATTATTTGTAATGGGAAAAAATGATTCAGTTTTCAAACAAATAGCTTCTCAAAAGCCTTCCGGAACAAATTAAGTTCAAGAACCAAAGTTCCACTACATATATCTAATCTAATAAAAGAGAAACATGGTAATTGGCATATGACCGCTACCCTTCCCATTGGCTAATCAGGGCAATATGCAAATTAACTGTCAGCCAAGATGGCGGCCGGCAGCCAGGCAGTTTGAAACTAACATGAGGCTTGCTTGCTTCAGTGACGGAGGATTCCAACATTCCCCGCCTGCGTTGCCCAGCTCTGAGCCTGCAGTTTGAAACATTTTAACAAATATAGAAGCGAAAAAAAAAACCCAGAAACCAGCTTTCAGCGAGCTGGGATCTCAGAGCTGGAGTCAGAGCTGGAGTTATACACTGTTTCGATTACCTACTTTCAGCAGCAGAGGCCTAAGAGCTGGAGCCTCAGAGCTAAAGCTGGCCCAGAATTAAAAAAAGAAAAGAAAAAAAGGAGCGGTTGGGAGCTTCCGTCACCCGTCAGCCTGAAAACGGCCCTCAGCCCCTCACCCAGGCTGGCCAGGCACCCCAGTGGGGACCCCAACCCTGAAGGGTGTGTGACCAGCTGCAAACAGCCCTCAGCCCCTCACCCAGGCTGGCCAGGCACCCCAGTGGGGACCCCAACCCTGAAGGGTGTGTGACCAGCTGCAAACAGCCCTCAGCCCCTCACCCAGGCTGGCCAGGCACCCCAGTGGGGACCCCAACCCTGAAGGGTGTGTGACCAGCTGCAAACAGCCATCATCCCCTCACCCAGGCTGGCCAGGCACCCCAGTGGGGACCCCCACCCTGATCCAGAACACCCTTCAGGGCAAACCAGCCAGCCCCACCCATGCACCAGGCCTCTACCCTATATAGTAAAAGGGTAATATGCCTCCCGGCACCGGGATCAGCAGAGCCGAGAGGCCTCCCGGCACCGGGATCAGCGTGACAGGGGGCAACACCCAAACCCCCTGATCGCCCTGCGGCTGTGTGTGTGACAGGGGGTGGGGCCACAACCTCCCTATCCGCCCTGCTCTGTTCGTGACGGGAATGCGCCCCAACCTCCTGATCAGCCCTGCTCTGTGCCTGATACAGGGGAGCTCCCCAACCTCTGATTGCCCTGCGGCTGTGTGTGTGACAGGGTGCGGCGCCCCAACCCCCCCAACCCCACGGGCCCTGCTCTGTGACAGGGTAGAGACATAACCTCCCCATCGGCCCTGCCCTGAGTGTGAGAGTGGCGGCGCCCCAACCCCCTGATCGGCCCTGCTCTGTGGGTGATAGAGGGCGGCGCCACAACCCCCACCCCTCCCACGGGCCCTGCTCTGTGTGTGACAGGGGATGGTGCCACAACCTCCCCATCGACCCTGCCTTGAGTGTGACAGGGGGCGGTGCCCCAACCCCCAATCGGCCCTACCCTGAGCGTGACTGAGGGTGGCATCGCAACCTCCCGATCCGCCTTGCTCTGTGCATGACAGGGGGCGGCGCCCCAACTCCCCAATCGGCCCTGCTCTGTGCATGACAGGGGGCGGTGCCCCAACTCCCCAATCAGCCCTGCTCTGAGCCTGACCAGGGGCTGCACCTAGGGATTGGGCCTGCCCTCTGCCACCCGGGAGCAGGCCTAAGCCAGCAGGGCGTTATCTCCCGAGGGGTCCCAGACTGCGAGAGGGCACAGGCCAGGCTGAGGGGCCCCCCCTTCCCCCCCAAGTGCACAAATTTTTGTGCACCAGGCCTCTAGTATATATATATATATATGATCTTCAGTGGTTCTCAACCTTCCTAATGCCGTGACCCTTTAATACAGTTCCTCATGTTGTGGTGACCCCCAATTTCACTGTTACAAATTGAACATAATTAAAGCATAGTGATTAATCACAAAAACAACATGTAATTATGTGTTTTCCGATGGTCTTAGGCGACCCCTGTGAAAGGGTCACGACCCACAGGTTGAGAACCACTGATCTAGATGGTAATGATTGCAGTTACATTTATAGTAAGTATATACTGATATATTTATGTTCTATTTTGAAGTAAGATGATCATGCCATTTTTATTATGACTATAAAACATGATGATTATTTGATTATTTATATGTGATTATTGTATTTGAGATAATGCTCAACCTGAGTCAAACCCAAAGCTGCCTTTATTTTTAAGTACTGTAACTTTGGTTGGTTAGCTCACGTTAAAGACAATGATCCTTTTTAAAACTTACTATTTGGGCCCAGCCTGTGTGGCTCCTGGTGTGTGCCAGTGACTCTTCCTTACCATGTTTTCTCACAAGACCCTCAGAATCAAGTGATTCCTGGCTAAGAGAGAGAAGCAGCACTGTCCCATTCCCCAGGGCATTCAGATAAACATTGGTAATAAGATCAGATATGACTCCCAAGAGAAGACACTGGAGAAGAACCCGGCTGAGCTATAAGGACTCCCACGTGAGATGGCACATGTATTCATGCTGTGTCAGAATCTTTAGCATCTTACCATATCAAGCTGAAAACATCACCACTATATGGACAGTTGGACATATTTTTATTGGGAATATGGTTTTCTCTTTGTATGCTACTGTACTAGTAGGTTGGTTCAGTAATAAATATAGGAGAACTTTTATTTTAGTAAACAACCAAAAATAAAATTGGAGGGGAAAGGCAGCAAGAAGTGACAGTGAAACAAAGTCCCCTAATCAGATCAGGTTGGGGCCATGTATAACCCCGGAACATTCCAGCTCTGATAGCATCAATGAATTACAGCACTGCATGTAATAATCCTCAAGCTTTTTTAAAAGGTCAAATTGAAATCACTTTGGAAATATTCAACAAGCCATTCCTTCAAGTGTCTAAGGAAGCAAAGTTTTGCTGTGCTTACTTTCCCAAAGCACCAACTGAAAATCTTTCTTTACTGGAAAGTAACAATGAAACTACATAGATCTTACCTCGTAATACTCCCCAGACTCTGTTGGCCTTGAGCAAAGCCACTGGTTCTTTTACAACTAAAGAATCTGTATTGGGAATTAAAAAACAAGTTTATTAATCCCTCAAAGACACACAAGTAACTTTCTAAACAAGTAACTGGTATTTCTAACCAATCTTTTCTCCTGAGCTCCAGACCTGTTTCTCCAGCTGCCTTGCATACATTGTCACTTAGATGTCTCCTAGATTCCTTTGACGCCACATGCCCCAAACTGAATTCTTCCCTCGGTCCTGCTCCACACACTCCACCAGCCTGTCTCCACAGCACCCACCCTTGCCAGCTGAGTTGTTCAGGTTGGGATCTTGGGTGTTATCTCCATGATTCCTCATTTTTCCCTCCAGGAGAGTTATTACCTCCAACTGCCCGTCAACCAAGTAGGGTTTATGGTTAAGCTGAGACTTTGTCAAAAGTGCAAACGTTCCTCAATACCCATAATTCCTTTGTGCAGCCTCTGGTATCACTCAAATCTTCCACTCCCCACAAGACCAGACTTATCTCTACTCCTTTCCTTCTGCTTCTCTGCTTGCCCTGCACTGACCTTTCCCAAATAACACCCTAAATCTGCCTTAAGACTCACTTCCTAACTAAGGTTAGCTCAATTCAGCTTTGTCCCACACAATAAAAAGCTCACACTCATCTAGGGGCTCCAATTGGCTGCTACTAGGCCTGGGGGCGGGGAAGAGGGGCCTAAATCTTTCAGTCCTTGAAATCATACTTTGCCAAAGGTGGCCCCAATGGTCATCATAGTTTTTACAGTTTGGGGTGGAGCCCCCGCAGGTAAAGTAAAGCACCAGACAGCACAAAAAACTAAAGGGTGACTGATGCAAACAGTAAAGAACTCCAGGGCTGCAGGTTAATGACTCAATATTGTATCTGGGCTACATCCTCACCCTCCGCTTCCTCCACCACCACCATCCAGACAAAGACGAGATAGTTGGCTGCAGGTACCAAAAGAGGCTTATCAACAGCCAATAATCATGTGACCCTTTCAGGTGACAGTCTTCTGACAAGGTAGCCTTTTCTATCAGAAGACCAAGTGATGAGTTAGCTAAAGTCCAAGCTAAGTACAGTACCACTATTATGACTACAATCTAATCTTGATTCCTCTCCAGCTATATCAAATCTTGACCTAGAGCTCACAGTTCCATTGGTCACTGTGTTAAAAAACAAACATGTTTTGCCATGTTATGTATAGTTTGAGATCTCCCAGAAATAGCACAGTCATCTAAAAACATTATCATGTTGCATGTACTTGATGCCAATTATTTTCCAATAAATTGAGGACTGGCTGATATTAAAAAGGATTTTGATTCAACTCAATGCAAAAACCACAATTATAAAGCAGAAGGAGAAACTGTTTTCTAAATGAACACATAAGCTACAGAATTTCAATATTTATTTCAAAACCAAATTTTTAGTTTTAACAATGATTACCTCCCTGATTTGAAATGGGAGGGGCATCTTTGACTCTTCAGTTATCCCTTCCTGTACTTTTTAAAAATATATGTATTTATTAATTTTTTTGGGAGATAGAGGGAGAAATATTGATCAGTTGCCTCCCCCACACACCCCAACTAGGGACCGAATCTGAAACCTGGCCATGTGCTCTAACCAGAATCAAACCAGTAACCTTTTGGTGCACAGGAAGACGCTCAACCAAAAGAGCCACACCAGCCAGGGCCCTTTCCTGTACTTTTGCACTTTGGTTTTAAAGGGCGTACATACAAAGAACATCAATATATTCTCCTTTAAAAACTCTGAAATGTTATAGGTCTCCTTTGAGATGCCCACTCAACTCCCTCTATTGTCCTCAGAAGAAACATCAGGCTTTTCATAGGCATTTTAATACCTATAACATGAAAATATAGGACTGCTCTAATGTGTGTTCCTACTGACACATAAACACACAAGTAAATTGTATCAAACACCCTTGATATATGTAAATATTTCTCTACAGTAGAAACTAGTCCACTTCTGTTTCTGAGGGAGTGCAGTGTTTACTAGGAGAGAATGCCGTAACACTTGTCACTTCCTTTGACATTTCCTCACACTGGAACAACCACTGATAACTTATTTCCGTTTGTGTGTGTTACTTTTATCATCATCATCACCTTGTTTAAACTTAAAACTAGTTTATCCTTCCATGAGGAAATTTCATAACCAGCTTGTCTCAAGAAACTCCCTTTTCAGAATCAAAAGGGTTTGCAAAACTGAATGGAAGATAAGCTGTAACTCTCCAGTCTCTATTTTCTGGAATGTATGTCCTTGTATTACTAACAGTCAGCAAAGATTCCTTGATAATTTAATGACCATTTCTATCTTCTTCAGATTGCAAAACCTAATTCATATATAGTGTCTGAGTGCTGTCTGTTAAATGAAATCACATGGCTAATGTTGGCAAATTACCTTTATCTCTTCCAAGAACGGCTGCAGCATTGAAGAGAAATGTATTAAGAAATCTATACCATGAGGATGGGGCAGTCTAAGGACAGAGGAGTCACTCTTTTCTCATATACAGTATCCTTTCTATTTTTATACCCAGCTCACCAGTCTGCTCTCTCTGCACTAATCTGTGTCACCCACGTCCTCATATTGCTCCTCTTTGATTCCTTGATATAATTCCACACTATTCCCATTCAGCACACCCTACGGGAAAGGTCTGCACAATTGCTTCTAAAACAATTACGGAAAAGCCATAGAGAATATTTTAGGCAACAAAAAAATAACGTAGCTAGCCCTAGCCGGTTTGGTTCAGTGGATAGTGTCAGCCCGCGAACTGAAGGATTTCAGGTTCTGATTCTGGTCCAGGGCACGTACCTCAGTTGAGACTTGATCCCGGGCCCTGGTCAGGGCTCCTGTGGGAGGCAACCAATCAATATGTCTCTCTCTCGTTGATTTCTTTTTTCTCTCTATTCCCTTCCCTTCCATTCTCTCTAAAAATCAATGGAAAAATATCCTTGGGTGAGGATTAACAACATGATTTTTAAAAAATCATGTAGCTACATATTGATTATATTATTGAGCAAAGGAAATACTTCCCCTCTCCCAGAGTTCTGCATTATCTTTGTGTCAAATTATATTATAAATAGAGATCATGAATATAAGCATAGATCTGTCTTCAAAATAAAAGTTAAGAAATTAGATGTCCAAAAATAAGGGATTAACCAAGTTAGTTATGGCACATCCAGTAACAGGACATTACTTAGCCATTAAAAACGATGTCTCAGAAATAGAAAAACATTAGTAAAATACATGTTTATAATGTTATATAAAAAAAGCAAAATACAAAAATCACATGTACAAAATCCATTTTCATATCATTAACATGTTTATGTATTTGTAAAATGTTTAACTGTTTTTTTACAAAATTTGAAATAACAGTGGTAAACTGAGTGCTGGAGTTATGCGGGATTTATTTCCTCCATTTACAGCACTTTTATCATCAGATTTTAATGGTAATTTTAAAAATAGGAATTATAAGTGCACTAACCAATAACTCACAATAGTTCATGGCATGAAGACTGCTTTTGGCACTTAAATCTGTAACAGCTTTAAATGCACATTCACATTACACAGGTACTCACAGGACTCATCTGAAGAAACACTGGGATACATCTCACATTCTGAGTCACGGACAACTGAGACGAGAAGTTGCTGTATGTCCGCTTTAACGTGAAATTTAGCAGGGAGGTGATACAACAGGTGGTCTCCAAAAATATAGTTATGATATCTGTGTGAGAAATAAATTCAAACAAACTGTAAACCACTGAAGCTTTAAATACATATGTGGTAGCAGACATTGTCATTGACCCCTCAAATCCACGCTACTCCTTATTAGTCCAAGTACAGCAGGGGTGGGGAAACTTTTTTCGGCCAAGGGCCATTTGGATATTTATTTCACCATTCTCAGGCCACACAAAATTACCAACTTAAAAATTAGCCTGCTATATTTGGACAAACATTTAATTAACTCACCTATAATGCCTTGGCAGGGCCAGACCAAACAGCTTCGAGGGCCTTTGATGGCCAGCGGGCCAGATGTTCCCCACCCCTGAACTAGAGGCCCTCATCCCAAACTGCACATTGGAATCACCGAGGAAGCTTTTTGAAAATACTGATGTCCAGACCTTCAGAATCAGGGTCTTGGGAGAGTAGGATCCAGGCATGGGAATTTGCAGAGTTCCCCACACTCCCAGGTGACTCATGAGAAGTCCCCAATAAGAGCCAATTATCAAACCAGTGATGGTAATCCAAACTGGCATGAACAAGCCAGTTCTGACCAGTAATGGGGTGGGGAGGAGGTATAGTAGGAAGTTTCCTCTCCTCTGTGAGCCACAAGAAGAAAACTTTGTATGTGATACCTGGACCAGTTGCACCCACACTAAAGACGGCAGAGCACAGGTGGAAAGAATACTGATTTCCTAAGGATCCTGGTGGGCCAGTTAGCTGTGCCTGAAATCCTCCCTGCCTCTGGACTTCCTGATGTGTGAGATAATAGGCTTTCTTCTTGCTAAGCCAGACTGAGTCAGGGTCCTGTTATCATCCAACAAAAGTATGCAAATGCATAAACCTCCAAGAAACATCGCCAGACCACAGAATGCTCACTAGGGCCTTGAAAATGTAACATATGCTATTACTAAGTATCAGAGAAAGAGGATATTAAATAAACACTTAACTATGATAAAAGATTAGATTGTTTAAGTATTTGTTGTGGCTTTTTTTTTAAGGGCATCTCGCTTTTAAAAAAATGCTTCTGTTGATTTCAGAGAGATGAAGGGAGTAGATAGAAACAGCAATGATGAGAGAGAATCATCCATGGACTGCCTTCTGCACGGCCCCGACTGGGGATTGAGCATGAAACCTGGGCATGTGCCCTGACCAGGGATCGAACCAGCAACCTTTTGGTGAATGGGATGACACCCAACCAACTGAGCCACACTGGCCAGGGCTAAATATTGTATAGGTGCTGATAAGCCAGAAGGCTGTGTATGCTATCTATGTGTAAGAACGTCTTGTGTTTTTCAAAAGTGAGGAGAGGCAGGAAAGTTCCGATGAATTTGGAAGTGTATGGAAGGTAACCAGTGCGAAGGGAATGGAGAAGGCGCTGAGGGCCCTTTTCATAGAAAGGCTTGGACAGATTCAAAAGGAAACTGAGATCACTGATCTATACTTAAAAATGGTTAAAATGGTAATCTTATGTATATTTTACCAAATTAGGTGTTGGCTTGTCCCAGATAAGGAAAATACTGGCCCTGGGTATTAAAACTCTAGCAGCAAACTCAGAGGGCTCAGAAGCAGTGGCATCCAAGGTATAGGCATACCTCATTTTTGTTTGTTTTTTACAAATTGAAGGCATACAGATTACAACTCATTTTATTGCAAGGCTGGCTTTATTTCTGTGGCTGGAACTGAACCTGCAGTATCTCTGAGGTGTGCCTGTATGTGGGTTAATCCAGCCTTTTAGGAACTGAGAGTGAAGCTATTTGTTCATTTAAAAAATGACTAGGCCTGGCCAGTGGTTCTCAATGGTTTTGCATCAACCTATGAAGCAGGAAGTAAGGGTTCCATTCCTGGTCAGGGTTCAGTTCACAATCAGGGCACATGCCGGGGTTGCAAACTCGATCCCCAGTGGGGGGCATGCAGGAGGCAGCCAATCAATAATTCTCTCTCATTGTTGATGTTTCTATATCTCCCTCTCTCTTCCTCTCTGAAATCAATTAAAAAATATATCTTTAAAAAACAACTAGCATGTGACGGACCTGGTTCCAGAAGCTGAGCAAGCACCAAGCTTTCTGCCGGCAGACTGCTCCAAAGCAGTGTCTGTTACAGAAGTCAGGCTTGCAGAGACAGGAGCCACGGGATTCTGAACAATCTGGGGCCAGGCTGTGTGTGTTCCTGACGGCTGGAAGCTCTGGATCACTTCCTCTAAATCTTTCCAACCCATCATGCTTTTCCTCTGAAACAGACACTGCCCCTCCTGAGTTCCTAGAACGCTCACCTGAATGCTTGCAAGTCTTAGCCACAGGGCTGTTTTACAAGCTGCTTCCTAACAAGGCAGGGTATAATTAACAGCTGCTTCACACCCAGGGCACGACGAGTTAGGCAAACTCCTGCCCTGCCTCTGAATGCCAAGCCTTGTTTTTACACCATCTCACAGCTGATTCAAGTCCGGGTCACCTCACCATTGCTGACTTGTCACCCATGCTTTCTTGCATGCTCACCTCACTTCAGCCTATCACCAAGTTCTTGTTTGACTAGTGGTATGGCCCAGAGGAAACTCCAACCTTAAAAACCAAGTCCCAAAGCCAGTATGAGGATGTGTGCCCAGCCGTGATCTTCCTTTAGATGACCTTCAGGTTCTTTTCCGTCTCAATACCCCCCAAGGCAACCAACCACCTGGTTTTTACTTCTTCACCTGGTCTCTAGCCACTATGACCGTAAAGGCTCATTAGGGTGTGCCTAGAATGAAGGTAACAATACCATCCAGTTGTACGAAACTGAAGGAGAGAATGAGGCCCCTCTGCTATCAGCATCTGGGGCCAGCAGGTGTTCTTAAGCTAGTTTTGCGTTTTTCCACCAACTGTTTGGTGTCCTGCAGGTACAATTCGGCTACAATACCCACTGGAAACAGACACAAAATGCGGGGGTGGGGGGTGAGGGGGGGTGGGGACAGTACCTAGAGGATGTGGTTACAACCCTTCAGGGCACTAACTCACCTACACACACCCCCGCAGTGAGGAGACAGCATGTGGCATGAACCATCTCCCCAAATGCAATCTGCTTTGTGTGCTGTTAGCAAAGCTAGGCTGTGGGCGGCCTCCCCTTTACACCATTCACCCGGCCTGGGAGCTGCTAAAGGAGGACGCGGCAGCTGGGAGCACGTGACAGCTGCTGGGAAACAAAAAGTCAGATGCCGCAGCGCGCTGACCAAAGTCATTAGGTGCGAACATCAAGCGTCTTGGAACAGGGCTTTGGGAAGGGAAGGGAAGGGGTGTACTAGGCAGTGCGCTCCGACCTAAGCGCTTTCCGCCATCCCAACTGTTACCAGACTGGGGGTGGCTGGGGAGCCGCCTATAAATAACAACCAACTTTGAGGAACCCGGGTCCCCAGGCTTTAAGCACTCCTCTTCCTCTTGAACTCGCTTCAGATACGAAGCTGCCGTTTCCCCTTCCTCTCACCCTCTCCCCGCCTCCATCCACCCTTTCCTTCCCTCCGAGGGGAACATGGTCACAGACTCTGAGCAACCTGCTCCACTGAGTGTCCCACACGCGAACCAGGGTCCCCGGGCACCAGGCTGACCCGGCGAAGGCAGGGGGGGGGGTGGGGAAGAGCTTGGGCGTCGTTCCGGTTCCGAGCTGGCTCTGCACCTGCTAGAGTAGACTTTGGTCAAGTCTCACCGGCTCGGAGACCGTTTCTTCATCTGTGAAATGGGGCCAAGAGCGCCTTCGGGGCTCGGCGCCTGTGCAGGTGCTGAGAGGCGCCCGTGTCGCCCCCGCCCGCGCCCAGCACAGCGCCCCAAGGTGGCGCGCACGGTCCCGGGCGCCCCGGCCGCTGGGCGCGGGGCAGGGGCACTCACCGCCGAAAGGCCTCCTGCAGGATGGTGCAGGAGGAGCTGGCCTTGGAAGAGGGGTCGTTGGCGATGTGGAAGTCGTCGGGGGAGAGGTGCAGCACGCGCGGGGCCATCTGCACCGACAGCGGCAGGGGCCACAGCGCCGGACCCCGCGTGGCGAAGGCGCGGGGGACCTGCGCCGCCAGCAGCGCCAGCGCCGCCAGCAGCCCGGGCAGCCTCGGAAGCGCCAGCCCGCACAGCTCCATGGCGCTCGGCAGATCTCCCCGGGGTCCGCCGGGCTCGGCCCCAGCCGCACCTTAAGCCCGGCCCAGCCCCGAGGAGGAAGCGCGGCGCGGGCGTCACCGGGTCAGCTGACCGCGCGCCCCGCCCCGACTCCGCCCCCGAGGGTGGGACCCGGGAGGCCGCCGCCCGCGCTCCACCTCCTCGCAGCCGGAGCCCGGACCCTGCGCCTGCGGTCAGGTCCTCCCTGAACCTGCAGCGCCCAAGCCGCGATCACCCCCCGCCCCGGGTACCCCACCGCGAGCAGCAGGTCCCTGCGGCGGTGCTTTCATGTACTTGTTCATAAGCCCAGGCTTTGCCATACGCATTCATTAAAGCCTCCCACCAGAACTCCCCAGGGCAGCGTTTTGAACAGGTGGGAGGCTGAAAACGATGCCGAAGGTATTCCGGGAGAGAGTATCTTGGGGGTGAGGGTAGAAGACTTTTTAAAACTTCAGAAGGACACCGTGGACCAAGTTAATAGATGATACAAAGAGGGAATATATTTGTAATGAGGGACTCATATTGTCAGTATAATTTTCAAAAAAAGTTATGACCATGACTCTATTACACAACAGAATGAAAATGTGTCAAATATTTTATTCAACTCATTAATTAGTCAGTTATTATAATGATGCCTGGTTTAAAGGCGATTTAATAAAGCAAAATAGTTTTAAAATTGGGTAGTTTCATAGTGACTCAGCCCTATGTGTCTGAAACTGGGCACTCCCATCCCCACTCCAGAAAAAAAGAAATTGTTTATAATAAATTCCCAAGAGCAAGGTAAGTATGTATTTCAGACAGGTCTCTATCCTATATAATAAAAGGGTAATATGCAAATTGACCCTAACCAGGAACGACTGGTCACTATGACACGCACTGACCACCAGGGGGCAGATGCTCAACACAGGAGCTGCCCCCTGGTGGTCAGTGCACTCCCACCAGGGAGCTCTGCTCAGCCACAAACTGGGCTGAGGGCTGCAGGCGCAGCAGTGGTGGTGGGAGCCTCTCCAGCCTCCACAGCAGCACTAAGGAGCACTAAGGATGCAGACTGTTGAACATTCCCTGAGGGCTCCTGGGCTGGAATGTCTGACTGCCAGCTTAGGCCCACTCCATGGGGGATCAGGCCAAGAACAGCAGGTGGACATCCCCAGAGGGGTCCTGGACTGCAAGAGGGGTGCAGGTCAGGCTGAGGGACCACTCCCCCCGTCCAAGTGCATGAACTTGCATGATCTGGGCCTCTAGTATATAATATTTGGAGATAAAGCAGCATATTTAGAGCACGCAGAAACAATGTAATTGAATCCAATGTGGCAGGGATAAAAAATTTCTTTCCCTCTTTCCTCTATTCCAGTCTTCCCTCACCCTCATTCCCCAGCCAACCCCTTTCCTTTCATTTCCTCTCCTTATATTCCTTTACTTTTCAACTCAGTTTTCCTGCATTGGCTTAATTCTCCTACAGGCTCTTTCTTCCTTGGGTATCAAGTACAACCCCTCCAGAAAGCTTATGTCCCGCATTCAACCATATTGGTCCTGGTAAAGGATCCCAAATGCCAAGCTTGATTTCACTCCCACCCCAAGGCAGAGCTAGTGGAGTCACATGACCAATATGAACTAGAGATCCCAACTTCCCCAACAGGAGAAGAGGTATTTTGTTTCTCAAGAGAAAGAAACTGATCTTAGGCCAAAACAACAGATCTACTACTGTTAGCACGTATTTTGAAATGTTGAGGAAAAACTGTAAGAAAAGACTTCGAATAAACTTTATGGGGCATGCTTAAAGTTTTATAAAAGCAAGGCTTCATGTCACACTCTGTTTCCCTTTTCATATATTTTATTTGCAGAACCATTTACTGCCAATTTTTACTGTTAGCTGGAAGCTAACCCAGCATA